GAATTTTTTTTTTTGTTTCTCCGTTTGGTTACACAGGAGAGAATCTGCACTATGTGTAGAGCTGTAATACCCTTTCATGCACTACTGTGACTGTGAGCGATTTTACCTGTGTCCTATGTCATGTGATTATGGGTATGTTCGTGTCAGTCACACGCAAGGCTGCTGTCTGTGGACACAGAGGTTGACGGTACCTAAAGGTAGACATAACAATGTAGACCTAATGAAGGTAGTATGGTTATTATATAAATTATGTTTATTGTTAGAATACTTATTTGTGTATTCCTGCTAGTGCTGTATGTTGCACACTGGTTAGGTTGAGTATTTATTTAAGTATTTATTTTTGTACTACTTATTGGTACTTGTTGGCAGTACTGTGTACTGGCCGCAACATATTTTATTGCACCCGTGTAGGCTACAAACATTTGTTTTAGTTTTAGGGCTACAGTTTTTTTTCTTGTTTTTGTTTCATTATTCATCTCTAATCGTCGTACTACTGTTGTTCTACATCGCCGTTATGGCTCGATGTAATGTTGAATAAAGTCAATCAGTGGACAACAGCGTCGCTTCAATTAGTCCTAAATCTCAGGGTCAGTCCTTTTAACCAGAACACCTCAGTGGGTAAAGTAAAAGCATTCCAACTGAGTGAGGGTTACATTAGTCCTTAGATATCTATCTATCTATCTTCTATCTATCTATATATATATAAAGCAATGTATGTGTGTGTGTTTGTCCTTTATGCATTACTACACCTCTCATCACATCGCCGTGAAACTTTGGGAAGTTGTTGAGAATATTCCTGGGGAGGTTTCTGCGAAAAAAAAAAATTTCAAATTCGCAGGGGTGGCGCCCCGGCAGGGCGCGATTTGTTTTTCTCTATATACCGTATATAAAAATAAAAGTTGATTTTGGATTGGCATCGTTCATCTGATAGCCATGAGACTTTGGGGAGTTCATTATACCACTCTAGGGAAGGGTTCTGTAAAAAAAAAAAAATTTAATTTCGCAAAGGCGGCGCCACGGGAGGGTCCGATTTTTCTCTATATACGGTATATAAAAATAATAAAAGTGAATTGCATGCCGATAGCCATGAGACTTTGGGGAGTTGATTAGAACACTATAGGGAAGTGTTCTGTACAAAAATCAGTTTTTAATTTCGCAAGGGCGGCGCCACGGGAGGGTGCGATTTCTTTCTATATACGGTATATAAAAATAATAAAAGTGAATTGCAGTGACACCGTTCATCCGATAGGCATGAAACTTTGGGGAGTTGATTAGAACACTCTAGGGAAGGGTTCTGTCCAAAAATCATTTTTAATTTCGCAAGGGCGGCGCCACGGGAGGGTGCGATTTTTCTCTATATACGGTATATAAAAATAATAAAAGTGAATTGCCGTGACACCGTTCACACGATGAAACTTTAGGAAGTTGTTGAGAATATTCCTGGGGAGGTTTCTGCGAAAAAAAAATTTCAAATTCGCAGGGGTGGCGCCCCGACAGGGCGCAATTTGTTTTTTTCTATATACGGTATATAAAAATAAAAGTCGATTTTGGTTTGGCATCGTTCATCCGATAGCCATGAAACTTTGGGGAGTTCAATATACCACTCTAGGGAAGGGTTCTGTAAAAAATAATTTTTAATTTCGCAAGGGCGGCGCCACGGGAGGGTGCGATTTTTCTCGATATACGGTTTATAAAATGTCGGTTTCACAACGTTCATCCGTGTACCATGAAACTTCGGGGAAATGATTAGATCCCTCAATGGTAGGGTTCTGCAAAAAAATATTGTTTAATATTGCAAGGGCGGCGCCCCCCGGGGGGAGCGATTTTTTTTCTCTATACACGGTATATAAAAAATAAAACTCGGGTGCGGTTCATGAAACTTTAGGGAATAGATGAGAATACTCCCGAGAATATTTCTGCGAAAAAGAAAACTAAAGTTTCTTACGGGCAGCGCCATATAGGGTACAACTTTCGGTTTGGCGCCCAGAGTTTTAGAGCGACTAAGTTGGAACTTGGCATCCGTTAATCGAGCGTCCTGCATAGCGAGTAAGGGGTACTACTATATTCAGCGGTAAAACTACAACAGGCTTCTAAAAATAACTTTGTAACGCGAGGAAATCCTTCTGTACAGTTTCGTCACCTTGCGAAAGATGAAAAAATAACTTTTTGAATATGAGGAGCCTACTGTAGAGTTTCGTCACTTTGCGAATGATGCAATAAGCATCTATTGTTAGACAATTCAGTCAGAAATTGAGATCGAGCGTCTAATAATAGACCATTAGTAACGCTAGCATATTGCATCAGTAAAATACTGTTCATTTGTGTCATTTAAGCGAATGACGAAATCTGCATCATTATTAACAGGATACTATTTGGCACGATGGCACCGGTTAGTTTTAAGGAGTCAGGGGTCGAACGCCGCGCCTATGCGGTAGTGTAATCGGGGGGTGGGGGCCCTGAGAGCGCCCCTCTACGTCTCTGACACAGAGGCGGTCACCGAAGTGTGTTGTACCATATTATTTCGGTTAGTGATTAATGTACACTCAAGGTTTTCATGCGGTAGTGTAGGTAAACCCGTGTCCTGATATTTATGATCCAAGAACAGGCATTGTTTACATTTAAATAACTCATTTTTAGAAAAGAAGGTCACGCGTCTAAGAACATATAATTATAATTGATAACGCGTTGGTGAAATCCTAATATATTTCGTCAAACTTTCTTCTATCCCCGCGGCAACGCGCGGGGGTCGGGTACGCTAGTTTGATATAAATCTTTACCTTTTAGCGTCAAGCAGTGGCGTAGCGGGGGGGGGGGGGTGTGCGGACCGCATCGGGTGACATTTAGGGGGGGGGTGACACCAAGGCAAAAAAAAAAAGCAAAATATATAGAGAAAATGATAATTCCACTTGTGATTAATTCGAGTGTTAAAAAGTCTGTTAAGAGCAAATTTGACAAATCCCAACAAGGGTGGAGGGGGCGCAAATCGAAAATTTGTCCCCGGGCGCCGGGAAGGGTCGCTAAGCCTCTGGGGGGGGGGGGGTGGTGACACCATTAAGTGCCGCACCGGGTGACACCCGACCTCGCTACGCCACTGGCTTCACGGATCATCTAATTAAAAAATACAAGAGTCTAGACTCTAAGAGTTAAGGCGAAAACACGGCTTAACCAAACCAGCCGTAGAATCTAGATAATTATGAGTTGCTAAACTATTTCAAACCTTCATTATTTTATATAAATCTTTGTTTGTTCAGCTATGGAATTGGCTAATTTAAGATAAAATTTAATTTGAAAGATACTAGATTTTGGGCCTATTCGCGTAAATCAAGTTTCATAAGCTGACTTAAAGTATTACTATATAGCACACAAAAAAAAGATAACAACGTCACGAGTCTAGATAGCTATGTTATAGGCTTCTACTGCGGATGGCACGGGTTCTAGACACATCATGTCAATGTTGAAAAAAAATTCCATTTTTTTTAAAGATGTGAATGATAAAGAAAGTTGCCTATTCTTTGTCCTCGGCGTATGAAGGGATAGTGTGGTCAGAGACTTGTTCGGACACTGGGCAGGTGAAGTACAATTGAGTAGGTCACCAGTGACGTCAGTATATGAAGGGATAGTGTGGTCAGCTCAGCCGAAATCAGTGTTTTTAAAAGATGAAAACAGTCTTTTTAAATGTGGGGTCTGGTTATTTTGTGATAGGTGACAGATGTGATGTCATTTATTTGATGACCCTCGAAACCCAGTTATATCCGTTGTCTAACTAGATAACGGTTAGTCTAGTAAACTATAAGAACTAGAATCACAAACTTGTTTATTAAGTAGCTAGATCTACATGTTTTTATTTATTTTACTGACCCGTCAAGCCTCAAAAACTTGCTAACCTCAATTTAGAAAAGTTTGGTGGTGCGTTGTTAACGAAGAAAACTGCAATTTTCTTCGATCGGGCCTAGAGCTATTTTAGTGATCGTTATAGTGTGTTTAGTTACCCACCATACAATGAAAAAAAAAACAATTTACTACGAGTACGAGATAGACTGTCACTATGGGTGTAGTCCACCCAGTAGCCGGGAATCAGAAGAAATAGTATTTCCCATTATAAAAAGTGTACTGGTGTAATTCGGTAAACGGAAAAAAGTCACAGGAAAAAAAAAAACAGAAAAAAAAGTCACAGTGGAAAAATTTTATCGGAAAAAAAATCACGGAAATAAAGTCACCAAAAAAAAAGGCACAAAAATCTTTTTAGAAATATTTTGATTTATTTGTTAAGAATTATAAAATTGTGTGTGTTTATTGTTGTGGGTTGTATTTTTTATAACATAAAAATAAATTATTTATAGACGTTAAAAGCATTATGGTTTATAACAATTGTAAGATAGTTTGCACAACAACCTCAACTTTTGTTACGTATTTTAGTTAAATACGGGTAGGAAAGTTAATTATAAAAGACATTTTGGCACATCGTGTTTTGCATATTTTGCCGTAGGCTATTCTAGGGTCGGCCTCTCCTCAGTAGGCATTGTCCGAACATATTTTGTGTTGACGTTTAGCGTCAATGACATCCTTTGAACCTTGTCGGCTTTCTGTTTTGATCCTAAGTTTTGTTATGTAATGAGCGTGATAAATGTGGGCAGTAAAGGTGGTTGAACTAAACATAACTATTGTTGCCATGAGTTGAGGGCAGCAAGTCAGATGAACTTAGTATTTCACGGTAATTTAATGTTGGTATTTTTAAAAAACAACATGTAAACCGTGGACTTTGTAGCATTCTATTAAATGCTATAAATCATACGTTTATCATAATTACAATCTATATAATTCATACTAAATATTTTTAGATGAATTGTAAAAATTACTATGCGTATACAACCAACACTCATTACATTTAATTATTCCTAAGTTAATTTGCACTTTCTAAATATTTAATACATTAAAATTATTAGTAAATATATAGTTGTGACTTTTTTTGTTTTTTTTTTCCTGGTTTTTTTTCCCTACAATCGTGTAATCCACCCAGTTGATGGGGACAAAGGACAATTGTAATCGCACAAAAATCTAAAACGAGACTGACAACTTTTGAAGCTTTAAAACCTTCAGAAAAGCTGTTTTCCTATCCTACCCCTGTGTTTAAACTTTAAAGTACCGTTTCAATAAATTTAACCAAATTTCAAGGATCTATCACATTGCAATTCGACATAAATGTAACTAAATTGGATGTTTAGTTAACTTTTTACACGCTTTTATTTAACTTGCTTCCTCTGACTGTCGTTCTTTTGGCATCATGGATTGAAACTGGCAAACAAAATTTCAGCCACTTCTAACCAACAAATTTCAATGAAACTTGGCACGTGCGTCAAGACCCAATAACAATGCAATCTCATCAAATTTGACTTGGATGCTTTATTGATTTTAAAAAAGAGTTAAAATTTCTTAATTGAAGGACTTATTACTGCGCTATTACAAGCGATTTTTCAAGTCATCTGACTTGTCCTGCTAGCTCTGTCTTATCCATTTGTCTTGTCCCACTAGCCATTGGTCTTGCACTGTACTGTAAATGCTAGCCACGTTTTGTACTCAGTGTTAGACAAAAGCATTAGAGCTAGAGAACAAGCTGTAGTGTCTGGGGAAATTTTATTTCTGCCTCGTTAGGTACAACTAATAACAGCCCACGTCACATTAGATTTTTTCATAAACTTGAATAGAATACTTAATCCCATTTTCATCAAACACATTATCTGGTACATAAGGGGGATTGGGAATCTGCTTAAACTGCTTGTCTGTGATATCTGGTAAAAAAGTATCGCACAAGAAATCGGCAGCAATGCGTGTCAAATAAATTCTACAAGGATGTTCTCCTTCCATTGCTTGTTTATAAACAGTTGATCCCCCAATAACAAAAATATTTTCAACATTAAGAGATTCAAGCAATGACACAGCCTGGTTCAAACTTTTTGCCAGTTGAGTTCCTTCAGGGGCATCTGTCATCTGGGTACTAAGCACTACATTGATCCTTCCAACAAGAGGGCGAAATTTAGAGGGAATGGAGAACCAGGTATTTTTTCCCATGATAACTGCATTCTTTTTTTCAGCATCTTGTGTTCTTAAAGTTATCTGAAATAAAATTTGAATCAAACATTTAAAAACATATCTAAAAAGAAAAGAACAGGCCTATATATTATTATAATCAATATAGCATACACAGTAGCGTACGCAGGGGGGGGGGGGGGGGAGCGGCCGCTTCCCCTCTGGCCATTTGCAGCAAAGTGGCGCCTTTTTGGAAACTTTTTAAACACTGATATTTGTTAAAAAAATATTTTTGGTCGGCACATCTAAGTAAATCACAAGTTTTCTTTTCTGCAGCAATTAAGCATTATTGTACTAGTCTAGTAGTGTCTACGTTTACAAAACATATTAACAGCTGCATCAGTTTGCCATTCTAAAAATAACCATTATGATGCATTGCAATGTTTACAAAACCTCTACAGGTAGTACCACTTGGCAAGAGGGGTTTTAAGTTTAAGGCAACTGTATAGTGCATTTGCTTACGAATAATTGAATTAGAAAATGTTATACATAAAACTTCACACATAATTACTTTATAATACAGTTTGAATTTGAAGGTCAACAACATCATCATGATGAAGTAGTAGTATTCTTACAGTTTGGGCGATAGTGATTACAATTACAAATTATATGAAACAGTTACAACCCCCCTCCCCCATGGACCCCTCTGTAAAAAAAAATATTGTCATAATACCACTGCTACTTATTTAAATCTGTTTCTGTAATATATATTTGTGTAATATATAAGTATGTTTAGAACAGTACTCTAAAAACTGACGCTATGTTCACTCTGAGTTGGTTATCTCCCCCCCCCCCACACACACACACCTCACCACCACAATTGTGTAGAGCGACATAAATGTCACACCTAGGTATACACTGGTTTGGATAATTGACCTTAAGTGACTGGACAGTGGTGAATGTAGTTGAACCCCTCCTCCCCCCAACCCACCCCGAACTGATCTGTTAAGTACATGTAGAAAAATGCGTAATGATGTACTAAAGTACGATGCCGCCAGAAAATTAGCTTTTTAAATGTAAAACTGTGAATATTGTTTTTGCAATTACCAGTAAAAAGGTGTGTGATCAATACAGTGATCTAACCCATACCTATCACTATGTTAAAAATGATCTTTAAAGAACACAAAGAAGCAGTAGTTAATTAAAAATATATGATCTGAACTAAAAGACCGAAATTTAGTTAAATGTAGGCTGTTATTCCGCATGTTTCTTCTATTATATCGAAAAGAGTGCTTTTATACCAACTCTGATTTTAAAAACTTTCATTATACTGTAATACTTTAGCATTTATGATGACGATATATTAAATTCTGATTATAGACAAAAACATTTTGTAAACACGAATAGTGTTAAACAATTTCATTTTATTCTAAAGTAATTAATTATTTGTTTTGACATTTATAATTAAACTAGCCGTCCCGGCCAGGCCCTTCTGTGGCTTCTATGAAAAACCTTTCTGTTAAAGACCATTACCTGTGTGTTTAGTAATCATCATAAACCCGGCATTGCCCACCCAAATCACAACCAACCAAAACAACAAAACGCAAATATAACGCTACTAACACAATTACAAATACAAATGAAAACAAAAACCTAACAACAAACCCAACCACAATCACAAATACAAACACAAAGAAAAAACAAACAAAAAAGCAAACGAAAACAAAAACCTAACAAGAAACCCAACCACAACCACAAACACCAATACGAACACAAAGAAAAAAAACAAACAAAAAAGCAAACGAAAACAAACCAAATCCAAACGCAAAACCAACCACAAACACAAATACAAACCCAAAGAAAAAAACACAAACGAAAAAAGAAAGAACAAAAACGAACCAAATCAAAACGCAACCACTCACGCGAACATAAACGCAAATTGCTCACAGTCTAGCCCGGGGCAGAATCGCCTGTTTCAGCTTAATAATCGACTATAGTACCCCAACTTATTCATAGTCTTTTGCACTCACTTAAACGAACGTAGGTGCCAAACCAAACGAACAATTATAATACTCCAAGCTTATTCGTAAAATACCTACAACATTTGCACTTGATCAATCCCCGCTAATTATGTAATTATTTTTTTCCCAACACCAAAACAAAGTAATAAAAAATAAATTATTTTCCACTAATGCAATGTTTTATAAAGGGAAGTAATTGTGTTTTCCTAATTTATCAAAGGGAAGTAAGTGCTAAAGGACTAAATATAAATAATTTTTCGACATAATTAGAATTTTTGCTATTTTTTTTAAATTGTGTTTAATGAACATGCCGACAATTATTACTATCAGTTTGAAAAATGAAAATTATTTCCCAACACTTTCAATAGTATTTTTTAACTCATAAATTTAGACTATGAGCACGATAATTGATCTAACACTTAAATCCATCGAAGTATGTCAACGACAAACTTATTACATACAGAATTGAGCTTTATATATTAGATGTGTCGATATATACATATTTATATTAAGAGAGTGATTATTTCCCCTATTTCACTTGTCTTAAATAATTTCCCAGGAATTATGTAAGAAATTTTTTTTACAAGAATTAAAAAACAGATTGTGTTAAGTTCATTGTTTTTGGTTGTAGTGTGTGTATGTGGTGTCAAATGTTCTCTTAAGGGGTAAGGAAGTTAATGGTGTATTTAAAATAACAGAATATTTTATTTAAAAAAATCCATAATTCAACCTACAAAAAAGTGTGGCTCTTAACGCCCTCCTTTACCCTACTCACGGTAAATAACTCACCTGTTTAAAAAATGACATGTCGCTTTTTAAACGCCATGGTAAACGACCTTCAATGCCTATACCATTGTTATTGCAGGCAGCTACAATAATGTTTAGCTTTGGCATTGTTTATTTAAGTTACAATTATATCGCAAAATATGTAGATCTCTAATTTCCAAAATGGAAATTTAAATCTTTAGTTTAGCATGATTATGGGTAACTCATCTTGTTTTCTCCATCCACAACGGAAGCCAGATCAAAGAGTCGGAAAAGATAGCCTAATCAATGCTTTCACATTTGCCTGATAGAAATCTAGTACTCGTAACGGGCAAGTTGACAAAGTGGCCTACAGCCATATTTTGATCACTTAGTTAAAATTATTGCTAAAATCATTACATACTTGACTTTTAATGGAAGTAAGGAAGCAACACTCACATTTTATTCTGCACCAACTTTAAAGTTTAAAGCAAGTCAAATTCGAATTTTCAAAGTGGGTTTTGAATTTTTTAAATTTTGGTGAGAAAACATAGATCTACATTTTATGAAAATATTTTTAGCGCAATTTCCATTCTAGAGAATTGCGTTTATTAACTCGTCATTTCTGGGAATGGATGGATGAATGAATGAATGGATGGATGTGTGTCCGCAGCTTTAAGTCGTCTTTAAGTCGTATCTCCTCCTCAACGAAGCAATATCGAGGACTAGTTCCAAAGCAAATATGTTAAGCAAGTTCCGAGGATGAACATAGGCCAAAAAAAATCCCGGAATTCCTTCCTGGATTTCCCGGAAAAGCCAAAAAAAAAACCTCGAAAAAATGCAGTTTTTGGCCCATATCTCGGCAACCAGACCACTTAGCGACTTAAAACATTTACCAATCGATTCCTGCCATAATTTAGAACAATATTGCCGAAGAAAGTTTTCAAAAATATCCTTTCGTTCGGTCACAATTTTTTTTTTAAAAGCGCGACAACTAAACACCCCTTACACGTCCGCATTATTTAAAATTACATTATACTATACATAATACATTACAGTACTATATAGCAAAGAAGGCAGTGGAAGGCGAAGTAAAGGAGGGTAAATCATGTGACCTGGCTGGCTTAGCAGCGAACTGCGCGAGAAGCAGGCGAAGGAGGAGGAGCTATGATTTATCTCGATTTAAAATTGTTATGGATAACATAAGGAAATTGCGCTTAAATTGTCACTGGACTTTTTATTAACTTGTTTCTACTTTTCTGTATATAGCACTATTATTGGATACACACAAGCAACACTCTTTTTCTTCAGTCACTTTTTCATACAAAGTTATTAAAATAAATGTCAAGTAGACACCTTGGGTAAGATTAGAAGTAATAATTTTCGTTTTGGTAAACTTTGATATTAATTATATGAACGTTTTCATGAGATTAATATTATGTTCACTGATGGCCATAATCTGCTGGTTTTATGTTGATTATTTTGCAGATGTCAAAAGAAATAATATTTTTTATCCAGATAAACATTCGAAACAGAAACTTGTCTAAATCCATCAGGAATTGAAGAAAGAATAGATTTATATTGCACATGCAATTAAAAGTGACGTAAAATGACTTTAAGTCAGTTTAAGAAAAGCTCTTCTATAGAATATAAAAGAAAATAATTCATAAAAAAAAACGTTTTAATAGCAAACTTTTATGTAATAATGCACTAAAAAGGAGAAAATAAATGATGGACTACTATTTAAATAACTATAAAGAAAAGCGTGGCCGGGTCACTTTAGTATCTATTGGATACCTTTACTAATATTTAGGAAGAGACCCTCGCTTTTCTTTATAGTTATTTAAATATTAGTCTCTAATTTATTTTCTCCTTTTTAGTGCATTATTACATAAAATCTTGCTATTAAAACGTTTTTACAGCTTTTATTTAACTCACTTCCTCGTCAGTCTGTCTAGATCGAAACGGTCCAGCGAAATTGCAGGCACTTCCAACTGACAGATACGGTTCGTAGTTGGTACGTGGGTCAAGACATAAAGACAATGCATCGTGACATTCAATTTGACTTAATTAGTTGCCTAATTAATTTTTTATGAATTAATTAAAATTTTGACCAGATTAGTAGGCAGTCTTATCCACACGCGTCATCACGACAAAAGCGCGTCATCACGTTCAATAGCTGCGCAATGGTTTTTAGTCATGTAACTCTATTGTAAATAAAACATGTAAAGTACTGAAAAAAAATCCATAAAATAAATTATACACTACTATTTAAATAACTATAAAGAAAAGCGTGGGCCACTTTAGTATATATTGGGTACCTTTACTAATATTTAGGAAGAGACCCACGCTTTTCTTTATAATTATTTAAGGGGGGAGGCTCCATTAAAAAAAAAAAAAACTTTTTTAATACTCGATCGTTAGAAAACAGTTAGCCTTAGACCATTTCTTTACAGCTTTATTAAGATACATCCGCATATGCGTTTCCACTATATAAAATAAACCGGGAGTGATCTCCCCTAAACTTTCTCGAATATTCTTATATAAAATAACAGGGGATGGGAACTCGGGCTATAGACATGATTTTTAATCCATTTTAAATACTTAAAGTTTTAAAAATAGAATAAAATCTCGTAGACAAATTAATTGCACACCAAGTGAACGCCAAATAAAAAAGCGCATAATAGTGCGCAATATTATTATTACTTTTAAAATCTACATTAGTTTTTTGAGAAATCGGAAGTAGCGTAAAGTACTACTTCCAGTCAACGGAAATGACTCAAACTTTATAGAAGGTAGAGAATTAGATCTTTTACTTACATATGAAATTTCATTTATCTATCTGAAATAGTACTCAAGTTATAGGCTTTTGAAAAATTCAAAGTAGGAAAAGTACCACTTCCGGTTATCGGAAATCGCTCAAAAGTTGATACGGATCTACGATTTTGATAAAATACTTATATATGAAATTTCATCAACCTAGCTGTAACGGTACTCAAGTTATCGTGTTTACACACGGACAGACAGACAGACACACAGACAGACACACAGACAGACACACAGACATACGGACAAGATTGCAAAATTATGTTTTTCCGTATCAGTGAGGTGTGAAACGTCGAGATTTGTAAAAATCTCGATTTTTTTTTTTGCACGATTACAAGACTTTCTCTATACTTGGTATATACGAGAAAGTAAAAATGGACACCAGCGAGTTGACGAGAATCTTTCCGTAATGTTGTTGACATGGAATTAAAATGTGCTTTTTACAAGCTTTTATTTAACTCACTTCCTCTGTCTGTCGTCAGTCTGTCGTCAGTCTGTCTAGATCGAAACGCCGGAGCGAAAATTGGGACATTTCTACTTGACCGATACGATTCACAGTTGGCACGTGGGTCAAGACATGAAGACAATGCAATCTGAAACTAAATTTGACTTAATTAGTGGTTGTTAAGTCAGATGTAAGTAGTTTTTCATCCAAAGGGGGTGGGGGTAGGGTGCCGACTGCCAGAGCCGGCGTTAGGGGGTGGCAAACGGGGCGGTCGCCCCAGGTCTCGCGCTTAAAGGGGGCCCCGCGCTTCATCACCGTGATTGTTATCTGAGTTAGTTTGTATACTTAAATAATTCTTGCTTATTTCATTTGGGAAAGACGAAATGGTCGAATGTCGACATTGTTGATTGCTGTAACTGAGGCCACGGTTGATGTTAGTGAGTTATCACCCACCTAAACTGGGAAAAGCCGCAATTCGATACAAAAACAGTATCACACCAAGCTGTGTGCTGGGTACGGTCGCCTCGCATTTGACCTAATGTGATTGGAGATAGTTGAACGCGAATTAGCCCCCGACGTGACATGGGATGTAAATTTGTGAAGTCAAGGGAACTCACTCTTCTTGTATTAGTCTTATATTTATAATGTTGTTTTGAGTGATGTCCCTTGTATATATATATATGTCATGTGACTTCCTGTTCCGTCATGGTAGCTGATTAAATATATATAAACAATCAACGTGGCTTTATCGTCAGTGTATCATTAATAGAAACATCAATCTATCACAGATACCTTATTCTATGCGGACCAACGAAGACGTCCTTTTAGTGAGCAGACGGGATACATGTAGTAGACTGTTAATGACCTGATGAAAGCTGGTCTTGACTTTCTTATTTTGATATTTTTTTAACGACAAAGAGTGGTTGGAGAAAATATCATACCTAGCAGATCTATTCGAACATCAACATAAGCTTAACATGAAGCTTCAGGGAAAATGAACGTATATTATCTCTTTTCATGATAATCTCTTGGCGTTTTTTTTTATAAAAGCTGCAAAATTGCCGAAGAAAATAAAATATTGGAAAGATTGCCATGTTTGAGAAACTCTGCAGTGTGGTAGATTAATCTAATTGTGAGATAAATTTTTAAAAAATTGAAAGAGGATTATGGGCATCTTGAATTTCTCGAAAACGAACTGCGACGTTACTTTCCTTGAGCTGAAAGAAGAAGAATCTGCATTGACTCGTTACCCATTCTCTGTTTCCCTTGATGTTGCCAGCATTCCCAATGAATTACAAGAGGAATTCTCAAATTTGCGGAATGATTCCGCGTCACGTATTAAGTTAAATGAAAAACTGCGCAAACAATTGGGGGGGGGGGGGCACTTGATGTTTTCGGGGGGATGGGGCGGGGGCGGACACTAGTAAAAGTGTATGTTTACTATATAAATTCCATCTCGTTGGGGGGGGGGGGGGGCGGTAGACTTTCTTCGGGGAGGACGGAGCCCCCCCCCCCCCCCCCGAAGAGATGCATGGAAGAAACTCTGCGTTCAAAACCAAACGTGAAATCGATAGCCTTTCGAGTTTTAGTTCCAATTAAAAACAAAACAAATAATAAATTAGATGCTGAAAATGACATGAGATTGGCGTTAACAAAAACAGCGAATGTTGAGGCTAGTGATAGGCATTCAATTTTACCCATTGAAACAAGTTATCAACAATAATTACTATTGAAAGTCTACCAGAAAAATCGTATTTTAGTGCTTATTAATTCCCCCACTAATTTTTACTTTTTAATTCTATGGGGGTCGCGGGTCACTTTAAAAAAAAATGGTGTCGCCACACGAAAAAGTTTGGGAACCACTGAGCTAGGGTAAAATCACGATATAGCCTCGGTTATTATTCCGAAATTGTACAGCAGTAAAACCACCGGAAATACTGTAAAACATCATTTATTTGCCGCCATATTATTTTTAATCTTCTTTTTAAAAAAAGGGGGTGTTGGGTTGTTAGTAGTACTTAGTAGTATTGTAATCTCGACTAATTTTATGGTTAGAAATTAGGGTTAGGCGTATGATAGGACCAGGGTTAGGGTTAGCATTGACATTAGCCAGCCATGTTTATAAAGTAAAGTATTTAGTTAACCACCAGTAATCTAACACCCCCTTTTTTAAAGAAGATTCCATTATCGGACACCGGTGTAAACATTCTCCCAAATTAATAGAATCTATAGATAATGCACTTAACGGTAAAATCACGATATAGCGTCGGTTATTATTCCGGAACTGTACAGCAGTAAAAAACAGTAAAACCATGGCGTAGTCTGTCGAGCCGTTCCGGAAACCACCGGAAATACTGTAAACCATCATTTATTTGCCGCCATATTATTTTTAGTACATAATGTTTAAAAATGTGCAAGGATTGATTTTAGTTGCATTTTAAATACTGTTTTCCTAATTATTTTGTATTTCTAACTATTTTAAGTGTAAGTGCTAATTATTGCTGCTACTAAACATTATTCTAGTTATTCTTACTACTTTTAACTTTAGTTAATCTAGCCTAATCGTCTTATTTACTAACAGAACTAGATCTAGAGCTGGTTGTCGCAAATCTTCTGCAGATTTTATCTGTTTCTTAAAAAAAACCATTAATTACTACACTCGACTTTATTAATAATATTTAGATTTACTAAGTGTTGCTAATTTTTTGTCAGTTAAACATTAAATTAAGTTAAAACATTAATTTAATGCACTTGACTTTATTTTTCTTTCACCGGTCAAATAAAGTATGGTTTACAGTAACGAATGTTACCGAAACTCAACGAACATTACCCAATAATTTCCGACGCTATATCGTGATTTTACCCACTTAACTTTATTTTTTATTTCAACGGTCATATAAGTAAGCTTGTTTACAATATCAAATGTTACCGAAACTCAACAAACATTACCAGATAATTTCCGACGTGAGATTACCCTCTAGATCTAGATTCTAGATGATCTTACTTAGTCTTGGTAAATTTAATTATTTTAGTTAGGCCTAGATTTTAAAAATTATCGGGTAATGTTTGTTGAGTTTCGGTAACTAGAGTTACGGTAAACCATGGATTATTTGACCATTGAAATATAAATAAATTGAAAGTCGATTGTAGTAAATTAATGTTTTATTTTTTTTAAGTTTAATCGACAAAAGGAAACAAGAATAACTATAATTTTAGATTTAAATTAGTAGATCTAAAAAAACATATATTAATATAAATATAAATAATGAAGTCAAATGTAATAATTTAATGTTTTTGGCTTGCAGCGGATTTGCGACCATTAATTAATTAGATCTAGATCTAGATCTAGCTATCTGCTAGGCCAAGTAAAAAAAATCTAGATTACGAAAATAGTAAACATTATTACAAAGATGTAAAAATGATTACAAAAAGAGTAAAAGTGACTAGAAACAGGAATCGTACACTATTTTGAAAATGAAACAAGACTTTGTAACCACACCATTATTTGTGCTTATGTTATAGCTGAGAAACTTTTGTCTGCTATTAAAAACTACCGGTATCCCCCCCCCCCCCCACAACAAGAGACGGTGGAGGGGTCACTGTGAGTAGCATAGTCTAATGCGTCATATCATGAACTGTACCGTAACTTTTATTCCCCTCCTCCCTCACCTAGCCAGACAGCACCATCTACGTACTTGGGGTCACCGTGAGTTCATACAAGTTTAGATATAAGTGACCTTAGTTACTGGGGCGGGTTAGTCTAGCCCTAAACGTTTTCACGGTCAGTCAAGCAACAACAACAAAAAAGACAGTCTTACACTCTTCCCCCCTCCCCCAATGACGTAGTAACTGAGAAATCAGGTTTCATCTGCGATACCCAGCAAAAACGTCATACCACAGTGTAGACACGTCCAGACTTTTTAAAGTCAAGACTTTTTTCAGACTGCGTACCCTGTTAAACAATCATACAATGTTTAGTAGCAGAAATATTTAGCTGAAACACTTAAAAATAACTAGTTATACAAAATGAGTAATAAAGCAGGATTTAACACGCAATTAAAATAAATCTATCCAAATTTTAAACGTTCTGTATTAAAAATATAAGATAACGCCAAATAAAGTATGGTTTACAGTACTTCCGGTGGATACCGGAACTGTGTGACAGATTTTGCCATTGTTTTACTGTTTTTTTTTACTGCTATACGATTCCGGAATAATAACCGACGCTAAACTAAGGTTTTACCTTTAAAAGTTATGGCTATCAAGTTATTTTCAGTCTTCTCTTGTATTAAAAGCCTAAATTTATCTAGATCTAGAAACTATGTAAGTCGAGTAGATCTCTCATTACTCTCAGTAAAAAACAAAACACCACAGGCGAATATTTTTTTGAGAAGGCACTTATGTTCAAAGTCACAGTTAGATTTTCATAGTAAGAGAAACATTGTTAAAGACACACAAGTTTATTTTCACTCAGACGATGCTTTCTATAAAATTTTATCCTATTTTGGGATTTTTCAAATGGTGATGTGGAGTTATTTGTCACTGTTTGCTGTCCAACAAATAAAAGTTAATCCAGTCAAAGATGTTTCTAATCTCCCATTGTGGAAACGCTTGTTATACAAAGAAGGACAATATAAAAATGCACTTAGTTTACTCAGCCTCACTGTTGGTAAGTAAAAAATAATAGGCCTAGGTAGTTAGTAGGCCTATTATTTATTAAATTATTATTAATCAGTATTAGTATTAAGCCTGTTACTTGAAACTTTCAAGTGGAAAGGCATATAAAATGTTTAAACCTGTTGGTCTATCTTAAATTAATCTTAATCATTTATGTGGATAAAGTTAAAGTCTGTACTCTGTGGTGGTAATCTATCCTTTTAGGTACGTAAAATCGCCCGCGGCTAGTAATGTACGAAAAAGTTACCTCATCGTCAAGGCTTTTATAGAAGTATATTGTGATATATTTGTGTCAAATATTATAAATAAATGAATAATAAACCTAAATCAATGGCTAAGTTAATTTCTTGCCTATATTGAATATTGATATATTTAGTAAATACATCAATATTCAATATAGGCAAGAAATTAACTTTAAACAGCAGTGTTTGCGAGCAGGATTTGCTATATATTAAAAAGCGGCCATCTGTAAGTTAGAGTGGCTTCCCCTGAATCTTGCGCTATAAGTTTACAATAGAAATAAATAAACAAGATGGCTACTATAGTAAATGAGCATGGTTGCATATGTTGGAAACATCGCTAGTCTTCATTTATTACTGAAAAGTTTTAATTCAGTTGTTTAAAAACAGGTATATAAATGAAACAAGGAAACATTTCTGTATTTTTCAAAACATAAATCCTCCTCAAAATGTGAAATAATTATTAAAATTTAAGGAGTCACCTGTTTTTCACATTACTAGTCGTGGGCGATTTTACGTACCAGGGGTTAGGATCAAGGTTAAAAAACGAACATAAATTTATCATATAATCATTGATACTTCTTTTACTGACTTTGACGCTGGTTTACATTGGAAAAAAATTCTTTTGTAAATTAAAATTAATCTAGATCTAGGTTAATCAACGCTGACTGAGCTCAATAAATATTTTAGAGATGTGACATCATTTTGCTGTTGGGCCCTGGCTTTTTGTGACAATGTGTGAGGTTGGGGGTGAGGTTAAAATCATGACGTCGCTTATGATATGGATGACCCCAGTGTAGGTACAAATACCATGATTTATTTACACGTTAAGCTGTTTATTTAAAACACAAACAGTCGTCTTAGTTTTAAGCTTTAATTTTTAAATGCAAGATAAAAGGTTTTATATTTGGATGTTGAATTCAACATTTGGACATCCAATCGGACCCCCCCCCCCCCCCCCCCCCCAAATAAGTTAATTTTATTTAAAGTATATGCTTATCTCAAGTGTAATTATTGACATGCTTGTGTCCTAAACTACTACCAGTGATAAAGCACCATTTGACACTCACCTTTAACATCAGGTGAGTTGGTTCACCTGGCACAGGGAGCTAGTATGTTTATTTCATTATATTGGTAGGCAGTGGCGTAGCGAGGTGTCACCAGGTGCGGCACTTAATGGTGTCATCCCCCAGAGGCGTAGCGACCCTTCCCGGGGACAAACTTTCAAACTTTCGATTTGCAACCCCCCTCAAGTTTTCGATTTGCACCACACCCCCCCCCCCCCCCCGCTCAAGTTTTTCTCTATATATTTTGCTATATTTTACCTTGGTGTCACCCGGTGCGGTCCGCACCCCCCACCCCCCTACGCCTCTGTTGGTAGGCTAGATTGGGTTACAAGAAGCCTATGTCGTTCAGCTCTGGCTAAGAGCCCCTTCTTATGTCTGGCTTGCTTTAAAAAATCACTTGTGAATTGAGTGCTCTCAAAAAGTTTTGTTTTTTAAATTAAACTACTTTTCCCATTTGAATCCATTGATGCAGTGAATTGACGTAACTGAATATTTTCTCAAAACTAATTGAATAATACAGGTGAAATTGAGGCCATCTATATCACAATAAATTTTGAGTGTCTGTTGGTTGTGAACTTCATCTACTTAGTTTGCTAATTTTTAGCTATCCAGTATCTAAAAAAAAAATTTCATCCTGGGCATGCATGCATATTTTTCAATCATCTTGCAAATATTTAACTTTTCAATGTTGTGTTAGCTGCTATGGTGGTCACGCTTTAGGAAGTTTTTTTTTTTTAGAGGAGTGTGTTCTTCTTTTAAGCTCAGACCTTTTATTTTACTTTTTGTTGAATTTTGTTTAGGATTTAGAAGAATCTATACCCCTTCTGTTTATCAGAAACTGGTAGGCCTACTGAAGTCATTGAGTCACCACACAAAATGGCAAAACTAGTGTGAATATAGTATTAAGTGGTGGTGAACTCCCCTAAACTTTCTCAAACATATAACACCATGGGGGATGGCAACTCAGGATATAGACATGATTTTGAATCTTTTACTTACTACAAATTTTGTTTATCTAGTTAAAACAGTACTAAAGTCATAGGCTTTTGAAAACCTAAAGTAAAATAGGTTCCGGTTACCGGAAATTGCTAAAAAGTTAATACAGAACTATAAATGTACATATAAAAATTTCATCAACCTTGCTGTAATGGTACTCTACTTCACTTGCTCTATAGACCGTCATGTTTTAAAAGGGAACTTTACTTTTATTTATTCAAGTTATCATGTTCATAGACATACACACAGACATAATTGCAAAACTGATTTTTCGTGTCATGGAGGCGCAAGCGTCAAGATCTGTAAAAAGCATGATTTCTTGTACGATTACAATACTTCCTCTATAATTTTGTGTACAAGAAAGTAAGAATTCTGTATTTCCACAGGAGCAGCTGTTTTGTTTATATCTTTGACATACCCAAGAAGGGCCATTAAAAGTCTTTGGATTCTCAAAGGTGGACAAGATGTAAAGGTGACAACGTACAGCTGGTTAGGAAAAACTCAAACTTTTCAGACACCAGTTGAGCACATTAGTTGTATGCAGTCTCGAGCAGGTGTTGGCCAGCATATTCCTCTCAAGCTTAAGGGGAAGAATTTTTACTTTCTTGTGGATAAGAAAGGCTCCTTTCCAAATGTTGAGTTGTTTGATTTTGTTATTGGCGTCAAAAGAAGAATTTGAACAATAAAGTGCAAGTCTATTTTAAATAAATGTATTTTGTTTGGTTAATTTAGTTGCAAAATAAACAGGCAATACTGAGTTACTGTTTGACATATATTTATTAGTCATTGATAAATATCTACATTATAGTACAAGTGGATATAGCAGCATAATATCAACCACAACTATCAGGCAACACTTTTATCACTTCGAAAAATTCAACTGACACGTTTAAGAAAAAAAAAACAACAATCAACCCTTCACCCCAAATAAGCAATCTATAACAAAACACTGCCAATGATCAATGAAAACAGTAATTCCTTACAAACAAGTATTAAAATGTACATGTATTCAACACAAGTGACCACTCAAGACTTATTCAAACATTCAGCACACACTACTACACAAGACTAGGAAAGGAGTCAAATGTTGGATTTGAAACCCATCCTATTGACTTAATCATTCCAAGGAAGTAATGCTTTAATTAAGACCTGCTATATCAAGTCTTATAAGAGTAAATCAGTCAATTACATTGATATCTGTGTTAGCCTCCTTATCAGGCAGTCTTAAAACAGACTAGCCACAACTTGAAAGTGTCTCTGTACATCAGACCACTCCCAATGGGTAAACATTGTTCAATAGTGGCTCACTCCTACTTAAGTCCACCATACATCAAGATGCACCAATCCACAAATTTTCCTGTAAAAAACCTATAATCTTTCTTCTGTGGGTTTTATCCATACCACCTGGATAACGAAATTTTCCAACATCTTTTCCGCTGCATCTTTGTAAGTAATCCTGAAAATATATTACAGAAAACATTTGAGTTTTTTCTTCCTGCCCATGACAGGCATAATTTGGGTTTAACTATTCCAATCAGTTACTGCCTTAGCCATATCAATCACAAAACAGTTACAGCTTAGTAGAGATCAATGATCACTGAAACCCACGATATTTCTAACTGCTTTGGGGAATGTTCAGCAGGAGGCTGTACTTGATGCAGACTTTGAACACTTACTTTTATAATACAAGTCTTGATGGTAATATAATTAGCAGGTGACATGCCCATGGAATTGCAGAGCTGAAAAAAAAAACATAACTAAAAATAACTTTAAAAATAAATAAATTGTTCCACTATAATGTTATTTTAACATTACAGTCAAAGAAATAATAAATTTCCACCATTTAAAAGTTTATTTAGAGGACAGAAAACTTACATATATCTGGTGGATCACATGTGAGACAAGGGCTATAAATGACATATCTGGTGGATCACATGTGAGACAAGGTCTATAAATTACATATATCTGGTGGATCACATGTGAGACAAGGTCTATAAATTACATATATCTGGTGGATCACATGTGAGACAAGGTCTATAAATTACATATATCTGGTGGATCACATGTGAGACAAGGTCTATAAATTACATATATCTGGTGGATCACATGTGAGACAAGGTCTATAAATTACATATATCTGGTGGATCACATGTGAGACAAGGTCTATAAATTACATATATCTGGTGGATCACATGTGAGACAAGGTCTATAAATTACATATATCTGGTGGATCACATGTGAGACAAGGTCTATAAATTACATATATCTGGTGGATCACATGTGAGACAAGGTCTATAAATTACATATATCTGGTGGATCACATGTGAGACAAGGTCTATAAATTACATATATCTGGTGGATCACATGTGAGACAAGGGCTATAAATTACATATATCTGGTGGATCACATGTGAGACAAGGTCTATAAATTACATATATCTGGTGGATCACATGTGAGACAAGGTCTATAAATTACATATATCTGGTGGATCACATGTGAGACAAGGTCTATAAATTACATATATCTGGTGGATCACATGTGAGACAAGGGCTATAAATTACATATATCTGGTGGATCACATGTGAGACAAGGTCTATAAATTACATATATCTGGTGGATCATATGTGAGACAAGGGCTATAAATTACATATATCTGGTGGATCACATGTGAGACAAGGTCTATAAATTACATATATCTGGTGGATCACATGTGAGACAAGGTCTATAAATTACATATATCTGGTGGATCACATGTGAGACAAGGGCTATAAATTACATATATCTGGTGGATCACATGTGAGACAAGGGCTATAAATTACATATATCTGGTGGATCACATGTGAGACAAGGGCTATAAATTACATATATCTGGTGGATCACATGTGAGACAAGGGCTATAAATTACATATATCTGGTGGATCACATGTGAGACAAGGGCTATAAATGACATATCTGGTGGATCATATGTGAGACAAGGGCTATAAATTACATATATCTGGTGGATCACATGTGAGACAAGGTCTATAAATTACATATATCTGGTGGATCACATGTGAGACAAGGTCTATAAATTACATATATCTGGTGGATCACATGTGAGACAAGGTCTATAAATTACATATATCTGGTGGATCACATGTGAGACAAGGGCTATAAATTACATATATCTGGTGGATCACATGTGAGACAAGGTCTATAAATTACATATATCTGGTGGATCACATGTGAGACAAGGTCTATAAATTACATATATCTGGTGGATCACATGTGAGACAAGGTCTATAAATTACATATATCTGGTGGATCACATGTGAGACAAGGTCTATAAATTACATATATCTGGTGGATCACATGTGAGACAAGGTCTATAAATTACATATATCTGGTGGATCACATGTGAGACAAGGGCTATAAATTACATATATCTGGTGGATCACATGTGAGACAAGGGCTATAAATTACATATATCTGGTGGATCACATGTGAGACAAGGGCTATAAATGACATATCTGGTGGATCATATGTGAGACAAGGGCTATAAATTACATATATCTGGTGGATCACATGTGAGACAAGGTCTATAAATTACATATATCTGGTGGATCACATGTGAGACAAGGTCTATAAATTACATATATCTGGTGGATCACATGTGAGACAAGGTCTATAAATTACATATATCTGGTGGATCACATGTGAGACAAGGCCTATAAATTACATATATCTGGTGGATCACATGTGAGACAAGGTCTATAAATTACATATATCTGGTGGATCACATGTGAGACAAGGGCTATAAATTACATATATCTGGTGGATCACATGTGAGACAAGGGCTATAAATTACATATATCTGGTGGATCACATGTGAGACAAGGTCTATAAATTACATATATCTGGTGGATCACATGTGAGACAAGGTCTATAAATTACATATATCTGGTGGATCACATGTGAGACAAGGGCTATAAATTACATATATCTGGTGGATCACATGTGAGACAAGGGCTATAAATTACATATATCTGGTGGATCACATGTGAGACAAGGGCTATAAATGACATATCTGGTGGATCATATGTGAGACAAGGGCTATAAATTACATATATCTGGTGGATCACATGTGAGACAAGGTCTATAAATTACATATATCTGGTGGATCACATGTGAGACAAGGTCTATAAATTACATATATCTGGTGGATCACATGTGAGACAAGGTCTATAAATTACATATATCTGGTGGATCACATGTGAGACAAGGTCTATAAATTACATATATCTGGTGGAACCAGTCCAAGCACATTACTAGAATTTCAACTAACAAATTACTCTAAAGAATGCCAAACTTTTCCAGAGATTGGAGTAATAATAGTTCTTGTTTCTGGAAAAGTGCAAAAATTCAAATGTGTCTTTGGTAGTGTAGCAATTAATAGAGCTATAAAGAAATACCTTTTTTTCATTTTCTGAAATCAACTCAAATCCTGGCATGCTGTTGTTGATTTCCCTGTGAGATTCTGTTACACCTTCCTCACCTTTTCCTGAAACTTTTTCTGCGCTTTCTTCTGAAGATGTATCCATTTTTTCTTGTTTTACCCTAGTTCAGTATCCAAAATAACTCACATCAAAAATGTTTAAATTACTTCTACTTAGAATGGTGGACATAAACTTTGTTTACAATAATGTTATTGATTTTCCATTAGACATCTCTTTTTATAAAGTAAATAAAATGTTTTATCATTGTAGCTGGTTGTTCTATCTACATTTTAGGACAGTTAAAGAATAAATAAACTACTACTCATACTCTGCCTTTTTGGAGACTTGGGAATTCCTCTTTGGCGTTAAAGAGGTCACCTACATGAAGAAAAGGGGAAAAATTATTTGATTATTGAGGTTTATTTTAAAATCAAGTTCCTCTTGAATCTTGCAATGTTAGGATGTCTCTGAATCATGTCAATAGTTCATGTTAGGGTGTCATACATTTAGGGTGGCTATGTAGCATGTCAATCATACATGTTAGGGTGGCTATGTAGCATGTCAATCATACATGTTAGGGTGGCTATGTAGCATGTCAATCATACATGTTAGGGTGGCTATGTAGCATGTCAATCATACATGTTAGGGTGGCTATGTAGCATGTCAATCATACATGTTAGGGTGGCTATGTAGCATGTCAATCATACATGTTAGGGTGGCTATGTAGCATGTCAATCATACATGTTAGGGTGGCTATGTAGCATGTCAATCATACATGTTAGGGTGGCTATGTAGCATGTCAATCATACATGTTAGGGTGACAATGCAGCATGTCAATCCTACGTGTTAGGGTGGCTATGTAGCATGTCAATCATACATGTTAGGGTGACAATGTAGCATGTCAATCATACGTGTTAGGGTGGCTATGTAGCATGTCAATCATACATGTTAGGGTGACAATGTAGCATGTCAATCATACATGTTAGGGTGGCTATGTAGCATGTCAATCACACATGTTAGGGTGACAATGTAGCATGTCAATCATACATGTTAGGGTGGCTATGTAGCATGTCAATCATACATGCTAGGGTGGCTATGTAGCATGTCAATCATACATGTTAGGGTGGCTATGTAGCATGTCAATCATACATATTAGGGTGACAATGCAGCATGTCAATCATACATGTTAGGGTGGCTATGTAGCATGTCAATCACACATGTTAGGGTGACAATGTAGCATGTCAATCATACATGTTAGGGTGGCTATGTAGCATGTCAATCATACATGCTAGGGTGGCTATGTAGCATGTCAATCACACATGTTCATGTTGGGATTGCTAGCTATAAAAATGACATGAGATAGGGGAACAAAATACTGGAAGCATGAGTGACATAGATAAGAGGAATACTTCCCCACAGGGAATGTGGGTGGAGACATTTAGCTGCTGTTGTGCAGGAGATATTTGACTCAAGAAAATGTAAATAATGTGCTGATGACAAAACAATAAAACATACAAGGCAACTGCCCCCAAGAGAGCCCCAATGCAACACTGACAACTACTCAAGCAGTAGTCTATTAATTTTTGGCTCAACTTGATGAGATCAGCATAATCATGCCATCCATTCAAGCAAGTGTGGACAAACAAATGACATTCAGGGATTGTATTGCATATGATGCTAGGGATGAGCAGAGCCATCTTCACACAGTTAAAAAACAACACAGCAGTCTTTTTATTCACAAACTTCTCAACATATGCTCAGTACGACATGGTCAATACACAGCTCAAGGATTCACAAGAAAATAGTTTGTATTGGGGCTCTAATTGTTGGCAGATTTACTTCAAAATGTTCACTTACGATTTCGGGGCCTTAGCAACTGAGCTGTGAAGATTGCACTCACCAGCTTTTTCTTAGTTTCTTTTCTCTTTTCTCTCTTAAACTTTTCTGATTCATATATCTCTTCATCTATCAACAAAACAAGAAAACAAGCATGGCAGTGTGTGGTATAAAAGATTTAAGATCTGTTGCAGCAAATCTAAACAACTTTTTATTAACCACAATCAAGCATTAAAAAAGGATGTTTGATTAATAGCTCTAGTAGAAGTGAGACTGCATCAACACAAATGTAGGGGTGCCTCTCATTTTTAAAGTCAATCCTGAAAATCCATCTACAAATATTTAGCAATCCTGAAATCAATATTTGAAATTCTTCAAAGCCTGAAATTTAATGTTGCACAGAATTTTAAAATAAAATTTACAACTATTTCATTACCTTTAGAGGTTCTGAGTTATATCATGTTTTACATAGAGTATTTTAGTGAACTTATTATCTTTGTAACAATCTTCAAACAAAAACTAATAATTAAAGGATGGTGCATATAATGTAATTAGTTAAAAACATTTTTAGACCCTTCTCTACCCCATAATGTTTTTTGGAACCCCCACCCACCCCAATGCACATAAACCACAGTACCAAACAACTGCTTATGTTACCAATACTTGATATTATAGTGACAATAGACACACTTTGTCTTCTATTGGTAATACAGAAATGTTTGAGTACACCTGTACTATTGAACTTTTAACAACATCCTATACTGAGTTTAGTGTACAGTCAGCCAACTGTTAAATAGTAAACATTTTACTAACCTCAACATCTTGTTATTAATAATATGTTCAAGGCCCCTATACTGTACTTCTACCGAATAAATTATATTCTATTTAATACTGTTGGAAAGCCAGATTTAATTCCAACGTTGAGCAGTAGTTTTTATCTTAATTGTTAATTTCATTTAAACAAAAACGAATATTATGAGAAAGGGTCCACTAGTTCATACAGAGTTATGCTCCTTACATTGGGAGATCAAGGATGGCGTTTTGGTAGATTGAATGGGTCATTAATGGTTAAAATAGATTTGACTCTTACATTTTGATTTGACAAAAGGACTTGCATTTTTAATCATCTGATGGCTTTTTTGTTTAAAATTTTGTAAGTTATCCAATTGATTCAAGCCAGAGAGAGCACAGAAATCTTATACTGTTAAATTGCTCTCCATAAAAGAACTAAACGTGCAGTAGATGATGACCAACCATGTCAGATTAGAAACTAAAAAAAATAAAAATACCTTCTAATTTTGTTATGCCATTCTTTCTAAGACGCATTAGTTCTTTGATTCTTGCTTTTAATTCTTTTTCCCCTGAAACAAACAATATCCAATTCAAAGTTTCTTTCTTCTTTTCATTTTATAATGTTGAGTAACCTTTCAAATACAAAAATATTTGATTAATGTGTGTGCATATAAATACGGGACAGCCTTATGTTTGTTGTTGAGTAATGTATGCTATTCAACACGTGTTTATGTTTGATGATTAGTATAAGCTCACAATATGTAAGCTGCTGCTATAGAAAAATGGAATATACAACTGAATCAGAACCAAGAAAGGAAATGGAGACAAACTTACTTTTGATGTTACTGAATAACATTTGATGTTCAGCCCTTAGATGAAACTGGGAAAAAGGCTTCAGTCTTTCTTGTAGTTCCCTATATAATTCAGAATAAAATTTGAAGAATGTCTCACACCATCACCATAACATGACAAATGTGCCTCACACCATCACCATAACATGACAAATGTGCCTCACACCATCACCATAACATGACAAATGTGCCTCACACCATCGCCATAACATGACAAATGTGCCTCACACCATCGCCATAACATGACAAATGTGCCTCACACCATCACCATAACATGACAAATGTGCCTCACACCATCACCATAACATGGTAACAAGTACTTGCCTTCCTGTTTTGCCACTTTTTTTCTTGGAGTGTGGGGTTTTAGCAGCTTTTGAAATGGATGGAATTCCTGCAGCAGTTAAACCATATTCTCCTGCTAGTCTTTTCCTACGCTCCCTTTCGTGTAAGCGTAGCCTGTACTTGCAAATTTGGGCAAGTTTTACAGCTATGGAAAGCAAAGGCTAGAGTTAACAATCATATTTTACTAGACTACCCGTTATCCTTGGATAACTGTGGGTTTGGGGGGTCATCCATAAATGACGTCACGTTTGTTCGCCAATTTTTCTCTTTCCTTTCCCCTCCCCTTGCCACAAAAAGCCAGGTCCCACATGAAAAAAGACATCAGCCCACAAGTTTGTCTATTAAAAAAATGTTTGGCTGATCATGGGTCCCACCACAATATCCTTGCATATGCTCATGCCACACAAATAGGTCAACTCTACTTCACACCCATGTCCCGCAATAAGTCCCAAAGGGCAACTTTATCATTCACATTTTAAAAAGATGTCACCTACGCTTTAGCAGACAGAAAATTTAACTTTATAATGCGTTAAACTTTAGAATGGAAGCCATGTTTGTTGTGAAAATAAGTAAATAAAGTATTTGGAAAGAACTCTGCATGCACACCACTTTTAAGATTAGACAAATAAATTAGGCGGTAATGTTAGTGTAGTATCAATGACATCATTATTATTGTGTATTGTTTTTGGCATTTTTTTTTACTCTAGGATCAATGACGTCATTTTATTGTGTATACTTTTTCCGCATTAAAACTTGGTTTAATTTTGATAAATTCCTATTTTGCAAAATAGTTTGCAAAAAAGCTACACTGATGTTAGGCTCATTAAGATGAAATTTAAAATATTTTTTTACCGATGTCTATGTCATCATCATCGTGGTTGATTGTCAGACTACTGACCAATGACTCGGCTTCATTGTCATGCTCCTGAAAAATAATAAAACTATCTTTGAAAGGAGTGCTGCAAAACTTCTGGGCCAATGGTACAGTGGGCCATGGCTGGGCCAATGGTACAGTGGGCCATGCCTGGGCCAATGGTACAGTGGGCCATGCCTGGGCCAATGGTACAGTGGGCCATGCCTGGGCCAATGGTACAGTGGGCCATGCCTGGGCCAATGGTACAGTGGGCCATGGCTGGGCCAATGGTACAGTGGGCCATGCCTGGGCCAATGGTACAGTGGGCCATGTCTGGGCCAATGGTACAGTGGGCCATGCCTGGGCCAATGGTACAGTGGGCCATGCCTGGGCCAATGGTACAGTGGGCCATGCCTGGGCCAATGGTACAGTGGGCCATGTCTGGGTCAATGGTACAGTGGGCCATGTCTGGGCTAAAGAGACATTTGGCTAGGTCTGGGCTAAGAACATAACAGATCAAACTTGTGCTTACAGTGATATTAGATAAGAATGTATTAAAATGACAGTCTATTATACTTTCAGAGATGTAATTAAGAGAAAAAATGTTTTTATTTGTAATATAATAGTAAATGAAAATTTAGCAAAAATTAGACCAATGAAGTGTCATAAAAAAGATGACACTTCAGCCAACATGTTTTTGTCATTTAAAAATAATTTCTTCCTATAATATTTTCTAAGCTTGAACCTCTAGTGAATAACAAATATATAAATTATTACAGCTAACGTCAAAATAAGATTGAATTAGAACCATTCCCATGCATGTGCATTCCTGCTGTGAACTTTCTATGTAGGAAAATTAAACCAAAACAATTAACACTGACTGTATGTCTTTTGAACATATGCCACTTGCAAGGCACGTACCATTTGGTGATATTTTGTACTATCTGAAAATTTTGAAGGCAGGCCACTCTTCACCATAAAGTAAAGTTACGCAAAATATTTTAAATTAAATTTTATCGTAATTTAAGCTATTCCAATGTTATGAAACTAAGATTTATATGAAATTTTTAAGGCCTAAAAAGTTTAGTAAAGAACCTCAATTATTTAATGTTGTTTTTAGCTAATTATTTTTAGTTAGGTCTAGATCTAGATAAATTCATAATGTTCTCAAATTAGAAGAACTGTCAAGCATATCCTATTGAAAATTGATAATACGGTAGGAACCTAATTAAAAATAACAGATGCATCCTTAAAATTAACTTTATAATGCATTAAAGTTTTCAACTGGCAACAGTCTCACAAAACATCTTCCATAGAAAAATAAAGTGTTTGTTCTCAAGGTGGATAATTAATAGTGTGTTATTACATATGAATATAAATGAATGCATCATTAATTAAATTAAATTTAACCTTGCTCTGTTACCTTAAAAAAAATTACCTTTTTGGTAGGTCATAAATAGTCTTTTTGACCAGAATAACTGAACTCTATTATTATTTATTGTTTACCCTGACCTAATAAGAGTGTTAGTACATCCAAATAAATATTTCACAGTTCAATGAGAAAATTTTTGTTATTTTAACCACTGTATGAAATTGTTATTGCTGGCATTGATTGTGTACTAGCTTTGTATGTTCTTCTCACACCAAATGATTACAGTCATTTTAGACTAGTTTGCTTTTCTTGTCACATGATCTGGGACAAACACTCTCTAGCGTAGTCCTGGATGAGAATGTGTGGTGCTTGCTGTTTGTGTCGGTATATTAAGGGGAAAATATCATATCACATTGACGGTACTATGGGGTCTTATATGACCCCAAGCGAACAAAAATCTAAATAATAAATACCCGGTAATACTTTGAAAGTATCAAACATGTGTAACGTACTTAGGAAAGCCTTATGAAAAAATACATGGCAGGTGAGGTCACTAATCCTGGTAGTTTTCAAAATAAATTGCTCTAAAAATGGCTGAGGTCAAATAGACCCCATGGTATCAGAGCAGAGTTAAATCTTTAAATAAATTTATCTAAGACATTTCTGAAAATTATTCTGTAAATAATTACATATTTTAAATTTCTACACATAATGCAGATATTATGTGGAGCTGATAACCAAAAAATTCCAGGATTAAAAAAAAAAATTTGGAGGTTTAAAAACATTATTTTTGGAAGGTTTTCTGGATATTTGAAAATAGAATAACATTTTTGTTGATTTAAATTTAAAAAAAAAAATTGTACAATTCACTGGGAGAAACTCACAACAACTGTTTATTATGGAGCTAAATATTAACTTTGGCTTGGACTACAAAGTATACCTATTTAACAAATTCTTTTGGATATCGGATATGCAGGCTAATTGGTAACAAAAAAAAAAATTAACGGTAAACATCAGAGAGCAGACATTAAAATGATCTGCCAACCATTTAGTAGCATACAAAATATTGTAAATACAGGGGTGACACTCATTTATTTTGACTCCCAAAATCATTGTTTTAAAATGTTTAAACCCTGAGACCTTACAATACTCAGTCATATGACACTCATTTATTTTGACTCCCAAAATCATTGTTTTAAAATGTTTAAACCTAGAGACTTCACAATACTCAGTCATATGACACTCATTTATTTTGACTCCCAAAATCATTGTTTTAAAATGTTTAAACCTAGAGACTTCACAATACTCAGTCATATGAGAAGTAGTGTATGAGTTTAGAGCTCAGTCAAATACATTCTGCAATGGTACAGGTATTTCCCTTCTTAATAAAACTAGCACATTTGAGGATTAGCTATTCAAATAAAACCTACATGACTAAACCTCAAAACTGAAGCCTGACTTAAATATTTGAAAGTGAGTGAGTATTCTCATCAACTAACCCTTTCAAAATCATCCCTTAATGGCATATAGCCCAACTCCTGTTGTTGCTGTTGGCCAATCTCTAATGGGGTGATAGGAATGGTTAGACTTGGAGACAGTGGACCTGCCAAAGCTAAGATAGACCAAAAAAAACAATTTTTAGACATTTCCTTCTACGACTGTCAGAAAAAAAAATGAACCTGTCCACATACAATTTCACAACAAATTTTATAGCACACCAACATTCCAAATTCACATAACAGAAAGAATTTTGTAAAGGAATATTTTCATGAACCATTAGTGGTAAGTAAAGAAAGCTATGAAAAAAATAAAGAGTTGTACCTCCATTTGCACTTGTATGATCTGTGATACTAGGTCTGGGAACTTCTTGTAGTGTAGCTGGTAGGACAAGGTTGTTTTTTTATATACTATCACTCATTTAAGTAATTTCATTAACTTTTTAACGGAACTACAAAAAAATAAAATAAAATACCAATATTTGAAAAGTATAAAGATAAAAGCAACAATACCATCACCAATGACACCATTAATGTAAAAGCGCCGATAATGCTCTTCACATTCTACTGATGTCCTGGTCTCCAGGTGTGCAGATGCTCCATTCCTGTAAATAAAAATATGCTGGATTAGAACACTGGTTGATTAGAACACTGGTTGATTAGAGCATTCAGTAGCACACTGGTTGATTAGAGCATTCAGTAGCACACTGCTTGATTAGAGCACTGGTTGATTAGAGCATTCAGTAGCACACTGGTTGATTAGAGCATTCAGTAGCACACTGCTTGATTAGAGCATTCAGTAGCACACTGGTTGATTAGAGCATTCAGTAGCACACTGGTTGATTAGAGCATTCAGTAGAACACTGGTTGATTAGAACATTCAGTAGCACACTGGTTGATTAGAACATTCAGTAGCACACTGGTTGATTAGAACATTCAGTAGCACACTGCTAATTCTGACAGGATGTATACTGCTTTATGAAAACTATATTCCTGATTTTCTTTGAATAGATCCCTCACTACTTAAGACAGATGTTTTACAATTATTTATTATAAAATAATGCAACACTCTACTCTCATTTTAATTGAACTACAATGTTTTTTTATTTTAAGCAATTGGGCTATTTTTATATATATATATATATATATATATATATATATATATATATATATATATATATATATATATATATATATATATATATATATATATATCTTTCTCAAGCCAAATGTAAGAAAATAACTTTTCCAGGGCTGCTTAACATCCAAAACTTAATCTAAAATTTAAAAAATATTCATGCTACCATTACCTAATTTACTGACCAAATCAATAGGCTTTTTATATAAAGCACTCTTAAAAGAGCATTAAAAAAATTACAATAAATCCACACAAAAAGAAAAGTACTAAATTATCAAAACATATGACATTTATGAACTACCAAGAGATACTCCTATGAAGAACCATGATGACATGGTATTAGCAGTCACCCATAACATACTAAATGATGTCAATGAATTAGTCAATTTCCTCTGCCCATCACAAATAGCAAATAATAGCTAGCCACCTCACCTAATGTCATTGAGCAGTTTGGTCCACCTAGTACTAGATTTATGAATACAACAATTGAAAAGCCTTTATAATAACAAGTTTGAAATGCACTGAAAATAAGAAAATAAAAGCTTTAGTCACTTATGAGATCTCTTACATATTTTACTGACCAAAGTTTTTATTTTTTAAAAAAAAGTGTTTTTCTTATTTTCTGTGCATTTAAAAGCTCATTATTAAAAAAGGTTCTTTTATTATTTGTTTAATTTTTCACTTTACTAATTTTTAGTAATTTTTCCTAAATGAAGTTGAACCCATACCTCAGAGACAATTATTTGCTCCTTCTTTGTCCACAGTCTACTCTTGAGCAAGAAATCTTTTACCCGCCGTGACAAACATTTCACCACCTTTAGTTAGCTGATCCAGCTAGTATATAATCTGATTGTGTGACAAACATTTCACCACCTTTAGTTAGCTGATCCAGCTAGTATTTAATCTGATTGTGTGACAAACATTTCTACATCTTTAGTTAGCTGATCCAGCTAGTATATAATCTGATTGTGTGACAAACATTTCACCACCTTTAGTTAGCTGATCCAGCTAGTATTTAATCTGATTGTGTGACAAACATTTCTACATCTTTAGTTAGCTGATCCAGCTAGTATTTAATCTGATTGTGTGACAAACATTTCACCACCTTTAGTTAGCTGATCCAGCTAGTATTTAATCTGATTGTGTGACAAACATTTCTACATCTTTAGTTAGCTGATCCAGCTAGTATTTAATCTGATTGTGTGACAAACATTTCACCACCTTTAGTTAGCTGATCCAGCTAGTATTTAATCTGATTGTGTGACAAACATTTCTCCATCTTTAGTTAGCTGATCCAGCTAGTATTTAATCTGATTGTGTGACAAACATTTCACCACCTTTAGTTAGCTGATCCAGCTAGTATTTAATCTGATTGTGTGACAAACATTTCACCACCTTTAGTTAGCTGATCCAGCTAGTATTTAATCTGATTGTGTGACAAACATTTCACTACCTTTAGTTAGCTGATCCAGCTAGTATTTAATCTGATTGTGTGACAAACATTTCTACATCTTTAGTTAGCTGATCCAGCTAGTATTTAATCTGATTGTGTGACAAACATTTCACCACCTTTAGTTAGCTGATCCAGCTAGTATTTAATCTGATTGTGTGACAAACATTTCACCACCTTTAGTTAGCTGATCCAGCTAGTATTTAATCTGATTGTGCCCTCTTGTAATACAGAATTTCTTAATTTTTAAATTAAATGTTAATACAAACCTAATAAATTAATCAGAACAGTTTGATTTAAAAATAAATAATCTTGCATTGTCATCTGTGATAAAATAAATGTATCTGGAAAGTTAAATTGCTGCATTAGAAGCAGGTTAAAATTGAGTTACAAGATTTTCCACAACCCACAAGCAAACAAAAAAAATACAGACATACTAAATAAAAGCTTCTGGGTTACTTTTGTAAACTAGCTGCACACATATGGCCAGAGTTACCCAGCTCGTGGGGGTGAAATAGTTGGAAGTAAAATTCACTTAAGGTTTTGAAACATGGATATTGTAGAAAAGTTTTATGTCTAGAATTTATACATCCTTTTTAAAAAAAAACATGTGTTGTTCAAGACATATTGAAGTGCGAAATTCACTTTTCTAAATTCCAGACTTTTCCCAGACTATTCAAACTGTCAAGCCCTTTACACTTGAGACATGTATCAGACATATCTAGAAAAAAACTTGCTACAAGTATACAAGTTCTGTGTGAAAAATGTTCACATAATATAACATTAACTTGTTGAATTTTTTTCTAGACATATATAGTATACAAGTAAACATTGTGTTAAGGGGTCTTAAAAACGTATAGTTAACAAAATATTGGGATTTGAATCACCTTATACCTTCTGTTGCAAAATGGGTGACCCTCCCCATCCACCCTCTTATATAGACATTGAAAAAAATGTAACATTTCTCTAAAAACATACTTCCAATATAGGTCTACTAATTATATAACATGATGTGTAGCTTGCAATGCTTAACATTTACATACTGATTTATTCCTTTCCAAAATATAGTTCTAGAATACTAAAATAGCAGTACTATCCATTAGACATAATAATAATTACTTTAAAGGAATAATAATGTAATCTACTAATTTATGTCTGCTGTTGTTGAGTAGCCTAGAGACTTATAAACCCTAAGTCCTAGATCTAGTAAGTAGTGTTTCAAATAATAGGCTACTTGAAAATAAAAATTTAGAGCAAAAAAAAAAAAAAACACTCTGCAGGTTGTGACCACACCATAATTTTTGCTCATAGTGCAGAAACTTTTGTCTACTATTAAAAATTACAAGTATCCCCACCCCCACACAACAAGATGGTGGAGGGGTAAGGGTGAGGTCACAGTAGTCCAGACATCAGTAAGCCTATTTTAATACATGATAGCATGAACTGTACTGTAACTTTTATCCCCACCTCTCAAGACCAGCAGTACCAACTCTGTACTTGAGGTCACTGTGAGTTCACACAAGTTTAGATATCAGGGACCGTAGTTACACGGAGGGGCGGGTAAGTCAAGCCCTAATTGTCAACATTTGCAAAAATTTCAAAACCGTTTTAATGGAAAGTGAATAAAAATACAGGTAGATAAATTGGATATGTTTGTTGACCTACAATATACATTGCCTAATTACAGATCTTAATTACAGGACAGTTTTGTAATTTCAGAAGGATTTCATGAGTGTTTAGGCTTTAAGGGTCATCCATAAATGATGTCTTGCGCTTTACTTTTTGACAATTTTAACCTCCCCATCACCACAAACAGCCATACCCCCTCCCCCTAAAACATCGATTTCTTTCTAAAATATTGTCTGAGCTCGGTCAACAAAGAGTAAATTAATCAATTTCAATTTACAAAAACAGTTGTCTAAAATTTCATTAAATTTCAATAAGGGGTCGTCGTCAAACTATCTGACCCCTCTCCCCCTCATCACAAAACTACGCAACCCACTCTCCCCAGAGGAGTGTGATGTCATTTATGGATGACCCATTATCGAAACTTCGTAAAGTTAACAAATATAAAAATGGAATTTCAGGAGGGTGCATTAAACTCTCATTTAATTAATAAATACATTCTCATGAAAGAAATATTGCAGCATCCAACATACATATATTGTCAGAGTTTTTGTTCTGAGTAGAAAAAAATTGACATGATTTACCAGTTTCCAAAGCCATACTGTTCAACAGCATCTAACAACATATTCTCCTCTGCAAGTGACCATCTCTGAGAATCTTCAAATATACAAGGTCCTTGGTCATTCTGAAACAATTGTGACAGTCACAATAAAATGAATAAACAAGTTTTTCAAGATTAGAATTAGACCTTCAACTTGAATATATATATTAATTTATATAGAATCTACACTAATACACAGGTCAGGTAGGCATAGGCCTATACACTTAACTATATTATAGATATACAATAGTAGATCTAGATGACATATTTATATTAATTATATAATATATTACTAGATAAACTTGACTTGACTATTATTCTAACTCTAACAGACTCTAACTAGATCTACTAACTAGCCTAGTTAGTAACTAGATCTAGATCTAGGCCTAAAAGTAAAATGAACTGCCCTAACTAAAGCCTAAACCAAACCAAAAATATTCACACAATCAAATCATGAAAAAATGTTAAGTGAAGAGGGAAAAATACCTTTATAGTGAAAGAATGCTCTCGTCTATGTGTAGCGATTTCAGCCCCCAAAGAAAAACACTGAAAAGAAAAAATATTGCTAAAAGCATTTTTAATAACAAGTGCTTTGACCTGAATACTGAATAGCCTCAAAATCATCAATAAATATATGGCTACGCGTATGTGACGTCACACTTGCCTGTAAACAAAGGTCAAAGTCGATACATTCCGTGCATCGTAAGCGGTGCCCAAATATCTCGTTTTGACAATAATTGCACCTTATTCGAGCCATTACTTCAAAACGGTATTAATCATTATTGCTAAGAAAACAATATTCAATAAGAGCAATTTTAAATAAAAGCTTTTTTAGGTAAATATTGTCGTTAACATTTCACACTCAGTTGTCTTCTTCTGGGCTCGTACCTGACGTCATTCCCACAATTCTTTGTTGTATTCTTCTATCCGGTACAACCAATGATCTCAAGTTTAGGCCAGTCGCTGCCGATCAAACAGTGTAGATATAAGACCTAGAGGTTTAGATAGGGGAGATCAGGTTTACGTGTTGAAGCATGTCTCACTTTTTGCTGTCTCAAAATTAAATACAATGTTCTACAGACATAATACGTTCACGGACTTGCAATACAAATCATGATACACTGATTGATCTACAGTGGCGTAGTAAGGGTTGGTGGCCGCTGAACCTATTGGACGCAAATAAGTCTGACGAGAAGGATTCGATCATTATTGTTAACGGTTTTTTTTTAAAAAAAAAACAATATTTATTTCGATTTTGTCATATTAGCGGCCATAAACATTTACTAATAAAAACTTAAGCTTGAAAAAAAAATTGAGACATTTAGGGCCTAATTTTTAGCGCAATTTCCATTCTGGAGAATTGCGTTTATTAACCCGTCATTTCTGGATGTATGAATGTATGGATGAATGAATGGATGGATGTGTGTCCGCAGCTTTAAGTCGTATCTCCTCCTCAACGAAGCAATATCGATGACTAGTTCCAAAAGCAATTATGTTAAGAAAGTTACGAGGATGAACATAGGCTATAAAAATTCCGGGTTTCTTTCATGGATTTCCCGGAAAAGCCAAAAAACCTCGAAAAAAAGAAGTTTTTAGCCCATATCTCGGCAACCAGACCACTTAGCGACTTGAAACATGTACCAATCGATTCCTGCCATAATTTAGAGCAATATTGCCGAAGAAAGTTTTCAAAAATATCCTTTCGTTCGGTCACAAAAATTTTTTTGAATTAATTAAAATTTGGACCGAATTAGTAGGCATTTTTTCCAACCACACCACACGCGTCATCACGTTCAATAGCTGCACCATCACGTTCTATGGCTTCGTCATCACGTTCAGTAGCTAGGCGCGCAATGGTTTTTAGTCATGTAACTCTATTGTAAATAAAACATGTAAAATACTGAAATTTTTTTTAAATAAAAAACGTTTTAATAACTAACCAATGGTTTTACTAACCCTGCTCTTGATTTACGCTACGACAGAGCTATTTTTAGATAACATAAGGAAATTGCGCTAAAATTGTCACTAGACTTTTTAATTAACTTGTTTAACAATTATTCTTAAAAGTTGCAAATACAGAAAACTTGAAATTGTGTGTGAACTTTATGCTACATTTCTATTTATTTTCATCAAGACTAAAATTTAACCTGAAGTTTCAATTTAGTAAAAACAAAAGTAGATTTCTCTCTTTAGACCTAGCGATCCATTGGGCAAATGAAGTAGAGTTCACATGTTTCTTGACATCGGCATATAAAGGGATAATGTGGTCAGCGTATCAGAGCTTGGTGGAAGGGACATTTCACTGACTTGAACCCGAATTCGAACTCGATACTTTCGGGCTAGCGGTCCAGCGCTCTACTGCTAGGCCGCACTGTACCATTTTCATTTTGTAAGACAACCAATAAAAAATCGTTTTTGGCCGTTTTGAAATTTAGTTTAGCTACCGAAAATAAATGAAAAAGCAATTACAAATACATTCCTAAAGTCCGAAAAAAAAAACTTACGCTAGTGATGTTTTATATAATTATCGCCTGAATAACAACGCATACAATTAAAAAAGAGTTAGAGCCATTCGAGACTATTCTCGTTGGTGTCCATTGAACGTTTTTTTAATGGATATGGGTAAAAAGTGAAATGATAAAATTCCCTTTTGAATTTGACGATCCATGGGGCTAGTGAAGTAGAGTTCATCTGTTTCTGCGACTACGGCATCTGAAGGGATAGTGTGGTCAGCACTATGCCCAGCCGCCTTTACCTTCCCTTGTGTAGACTCAGGGCATTCAATTGTCTTCGGATTGGCAGCCTGCCACTCTACTGAGCCACGCAGTCCTGCGACAAAAATAGTTCAATGCGTGAGGGTTGGATTAACTGTCCGTCGCGTGACATTTGAGCATCACAGTTCACTTCAGAGTAAAAGTTAAGTTTACATCTATTAAAGCGTGAAGATATCCTCCATTATTTTACCTCACTCAAATTTTGATTTCTGTTGATTGCTTATTATTTGCTTTCTAAGACTGCAGACTTTGAACACCGCCTGGCAGCTTTTTATTTTATTTGCGCAGTGTTTGTCGTAGCTGCACTGCCGCAAGCATATTACAAGTCCAATTAATCTGTCTATTTGTTAACATCTCTCCAGTGGCGTAGCGAGGTTGGGTGTCACCCGGTGCGGCACTTAATGGTGTCACCCCCCAGGGGCGTAGCGACTCTTCCCGGGGACAAACTTTCGATTTGCACCCCCCCCTCCTGGAACTTTCGATTTGCACCCCCCTCGAACTTTCGATTTGCACCCCCCTTCTCTATATATTTTACTATCTTTTGCCTTGGTGTCACCCCCTAAGTGGTGTCACCCGGTGCCCCCCCTCGCTACGCCTCTGCATCTCTCTATAAAACACGGGCCTCCTACAGAAGATTTGCCTTAAGCTGACTTACACTTCAAGTTCAAGCTTGAATCTTGTCGTGGTTTTTTGACAAGAAATCAAATATCAGGGAAAAGATTGGCTTGAGCCAAAGCTATGCTAGAGATTGAAGTAATTTGACATTTGAACAAGTAGAGAGCTCAACATATTATCTTCATTCTCGTTGATACTCATCAGTCTCACTAGTGGTACTGTTTAGACATCAGTGCGAGTATTAACTATTTTGTATCGTTTTGTAGTTTTCTTTTGTATTACTAACTGTACTATTCTTATTAATAATTACACAATAAAATCATGGTTTAAAACAATAAAGATTGATTCACAGAGTAAAAATATAAATACACGTATTCCTTTTTCTGTGTGCGCAAATTTATGTTTGCGATTTTTTTCTGGTTGCGCATTTTTCTGTGTGTGCAATTTTCTGTTTGCTCTTTTTTTCTAGTTGCGCATTTTTCTCTTTGCGCATTTTTCTGTGTGTGCAAATTTCTGTTTACGCTTATTTTTTTTGTTTGCGCTTTTTTTCCGTTACGCATTTTTTTGCGCTTTTTTCCGCAGCGCATCTTTCTGGTCACCTATAATATGTGTATGATTTCGACATTCAAATTTGATGTCACATTTGATGTCCCCCAAGAAATAGGCACTGTAGAAGTGGTCGAAATTTTGGGCGGCAGTTTCGACCTGTGACGAAGCACGACAAAAGCACGAGAGAGCAAGTTAAATAAATTCTTGTAATAAAAGATTGCAACAAGAGCAATATCAAAGTCTTAGCTATAGATTAAATACATCTTTGTATAATAAACATATCTTGTATTTACAAGAGCAAACAATCTAAGTTTTAGCCACAGATTGAACACTTCTTTGATGACATTTTTTGAAGGTTCTAGCTTGATTGAGACAATAGCTTTCATTTTCCGCTCTCCGTTATTTGTTTTGACGTCATCAGCCTCACAAACTCTGGGGGAAAAGAAGGTCATGAAGTGACAGGACATGAAGTGACAGGACATGAAGTGACAGGGACATGAAGTGGCAGGACATGAAGTGACAGGACATGAAGTGGCAGGACATGAAGTGACAGGGACATGAAGTGGCAGGGACATGAAGTGGCAGGACATGAAGTAACAGGGATATGAAGTAACAGGGACATGTAGTGACAGGGTCATGAAGTGGCAGGACATGAAGTGACAGGGACATGAAGTGGCAGGACATGAAGTGATAGGGAGATGTAGTGACAGTGACATGAAGTGACAGGGACATGAAGTCCTAACTCACGTCTCTTTCGTCAAACTCGTTTCTTTATGTGTTGTAGACATTAACATAAATAAAGCGGTGGCGAGTTCCCCTAAACTTTCTCATATTTTCCTATATAAAAGTACGTAACGGTTGGGATGACACTCCCAGTGCAATCGGGCTAAAAGAAGTTTCTTTCAGGCATCTCTTCAGAACACGTCCAACCCCCCCCCCCCCCCCCCCACACCTAATGAAACGGGAAACGTCAAAGACGAGAAATGTAGCCCACCCACAAAGTAACACTGATAGGAATACAGAAGTGTGTGCCAAAGACGAGAAATTGCGTCGAAACGTTCTTAGAATACGCTTCATCAGAAAAGGATACAAAATGATCAAATTCTGAGTAGAGAAGTGGGCCTACGTCTGTCTAACATTATAGATGTGCTGCGCTCTGCCCTTTACGTTTAAGTACTTTAAGCCAACACTTTCCTTCAGTTTCTTCCAGGCATCTCTTCGCCCCCCCCCCCCCAAACGAGATGGAATTTATGGAAAATGTTGCCCCCCCCCCCCCCCCGAAGATAGTCCACCCCCCCCCCACTCCTCCGAACGAGATGGAATTTATGGAAAATGTTGCCCCCCCCCCCTCCCCGGAGAAGAAAGTCTGAAAGAAACACTGCTTTCCTTACCTTCGTAATTGACCTGGCCGTCGCCGTCAACGTCCGCCTCCCTGATCATCTCGGCCACTTCCTCCTCGCTCAAATTCTCGCCCAGGTTTTTCATGACGAAGCGCAGCTCTTCTCCAGATATCAGCCCGTCACCGTTTCGGTCAAACACCCTGATTAGACGTGACAGAACATTGTCACAACTAGACAAGGTGTGCTTATATAAATGTAGTTCTTCAAACATTTTTGTAGTTTTTACAAGCTTTTTTTTTACATTCTCGTATACGAAGTATATAGAAAGTATTGTAATTTTGCAAAAAAAAAAAAAAAAAAAAAAATGCAAATCTCGACGTTTTACACCTCCCTGTGTCGGAAAAACATAGTTTTGCAATCTTGTCCTATGTGTGTATGTGTGTGTGTGTATATATGTGTGTCTGTGAAAACGATAACTTGAGTACCGTTACAGCTAGGTTGATGAAATTTCATTTATAAGCATTATATCAGAAATTTGTAGTTCTGTATTAACTTTTCAGCGATTTCCGGTAACCGGAAGTAGAACTTAATCTACTTTCAATTTTTCAAAAGCCTATAGCTTGAGTACTGTTTCAGATAGATAAATGAAATTTCACAAGTAAGTGAATTTATAAAGTACTAATAATATTTCTCACTATTATACACATATGATTAAAAATCATGTCTATATCCCGAGTTGCCATTCCCCCTAGTGTTATAAGAATATTCGAGAAAGTTTATGGGAGATCACTCCCGGCTTATTTTTTAACTTGTCTGTCTGTCTTTTGTCGTGCTTCGTCCGTCATGGATATAAACTGCCGAGCGAAATTTCAATCACTTCTAACTGACAGATTCATTTCAAATTCTGCACGTGGGTCAAGACCCGATAATAAGGCAATCTGACATCAATTGTTACGTTATTAGATGCTTAATTACATTTTTAAAAAATTAGTTAAAGTTTCCTTTATAAAGTACTATACTTCCTGCGCTATTATACGCACATGTAAAGAAAAGCGTGGGTTACTATATATTTTCTATTAGATACCCACGCTTTTCTCTACAGTCATTTTAATTGTAGTGTAATGGGCCGGAGAGCTATTTAATTGTTATTATTATTGGATATTGTGGGATTTTTATAACTGCAGAGAAATTGATAGAGTGATGGCTGGACTGACGGACGCAAGAAAGACAGCCAGACTGTCGGTTTGGGAGGGTCGGCTCGCCGGTCGGTGTAGGTGTGGGTGTTGGCCTAGTCGTGCAAACCAAGTTTGGTCACCGTCATCTGTGATTACACAGCCCTGGTTTACAAATTGCCTGTGTGCAACCCTTCGCTGTTGTCAAACAACGTGTGGGCCAATCTTCTATGGTCGAAGCACCTTCCGTCAACAGCATCTATGTAGGTGTGATCGGAAAATATTTGTATTTTATGTTTCTATACATTTTAGAAAGAACGGTGGAATTTTTAAATTAAAATTTAGAGGAATGAGACTGAAATATATACGTCGATGTAAACACGCATTTTACTCTTAGCGCATTTTCTGTGTGCGCAAATTTCTGTTTGCTCTTTTTTCTGTGTACCCTTTTTTTTGCTCGGGCTAAATTTAAAAAAAAAATTCTATTAGGATTCTAGATCTAGATATTCTAGATCATCTAGATCTAGATATTCTAGATCATCTAGATCTAGAGATTCTAGATCTAGATGATCTAGATCTACGGAAAAACTAGACTTACACAGATGTAGACCCTACCTAGATCTAGAATCTATTCAAATAATATATTTCTGTACTCAAGTATTTCAGGCCTTAATTACTTTATTGAAATCTTTGTTTATATATGCAATTTGCTAATCTCTATAATATATAAAGCAAAGTTGTCGGGTGCCCGACAGGGCACTTCCCGGCGCCGCAGGCGCTTCAAATTTGGCAGGATCTTGCCTTTGGGCGACAGAACACGGGGGCCGGTTGGCCGAAAAGTCTACGATGAGGGGGTCAAAACTGACCTCGACTGACCGGCGCCTTATATGAGCTATAAATCGAAAAAAAATGTCCACGTAGGAACCTCTTCATAACTCCTGAGGTCGTAGACCGACCCTCGGGCGAATTAATTAAGCAATCAAATTCTCAATGTTTTCGAAAGCCTAAGCGAAGCTTGGCAGCATGCCTAGTATATATATATATATAGGGGGGGGGGGGAGTTTCAGCACGGGGCCCAGCCGAAGCTTCTGGGTGTGACGTCTTTTTGAATGTGGTTTCTAGTTTTTTTGTGATGATGTGTGACAGTAGAGAGGCTTGTTTTAACTCACATAAAGGCTTGTTTGAACTCACATAAAGGCTTGTTTTAACTCACATAAAGGCTTGTTTTAACTCACATAAAGGCTTGTTTTAACTCACATAAAGGCTTGTTTTAACTCACATAAAGGCTTGTTTTAACTCACATAAAGGCTTGTTTTAACTCCTCTTCTGTGTCAGCTTCTTTCATCTTGCGTGACATCATGCGGAGAAACTCGTCGAAATCTATGGTCCCATTACCTGACAGATGATTCAGTGTGCTGAGAGATGGGAGGGCTACACAGAGAGGGAGACACTACACAGAGAGGGAGACACTACACAGAGAGGGAGACACTACACAGAGAGGGAGACACTACACAGAGAGGGAGACACTACACAGAGAGGGAGACACAGAGAGGGAGACACTACACAGAGAGGGAGACACAGAGAGGGAGACACAGAGAGGGAGACACTACACAGAGAGGGAGACACTACACAGAGAGGGAGACACTACACAGAGAGGGAGACACTACACAGAGAGGCAGACACTACACAGAGAGGGAGACACAGAGAGGGAGACACTACACAGAGAGGGAGACACAGAGAGGGAGACACTACACAGAGAGGGAGACACAGAGAGGGAGACACTACACAGAGAGGCAGACACTACACAGAGAGGGAGACACAGAGAGGGAGACACTACACAGAGAGGGAGACACAGAGAGGGAGACACTACACAGAGAGGCAGACACTACACAGAGAGGGAGACACTACACAGAGAGGGAGACACTACACAGAGAGGGAGACACAGAGAGGGAGACACTACACAGAGAGGGAGACACTACACGGAGAGGGAGACACTACACAGAGAGGGAGACACTACACAGAGAGGGAGACACAGAGAGGGAGACACTACACAGAGAGGGAGACACAGAGAGGGAGACACTACACAGAGAGGGAGACACTACACAGAGAGGGAGACACAGAGAGGGAGACACTACATAGAGAGGGAGACACAGAGAGGGAGACACAGAGAGGGAGACACTACACAGAGAGGGAGACACAGAGAGGGAGACACTACACAGAGAGGGAGACACTACACAGAGAGGGAGACACTACACAGAGAGGCAGACACTACACAGAGAGGGAGGCACTACACAGAGAGGGAGACACTACACAGAGAGGGAGACACTACACAGAGAGGGAGACACTACACAGAGAGGGAGACACTACACAGAGAGGGAGACACAGAGAGGGAGACACAGAGAGGGAGACACTACACAGAGAGGGAGACACTACACAGAGAGGGAGACACTACACAGAGAGGGAGACACTACACAGAGAGGCAGACACTACACAGAGAGGCAGACACTACACAGAGAGGGAGACACAGAGAGGGAGACACTACACAGAGAGGGAGACACTACACAGAGAGGGAGACACTACACAGAGAGGGAGACACTACACAGAGAGGGAGACACTACACAGAGAGGGAGACACAGAGAGGGAGACACTACACAGAGAGGGAGACACTACACAGAGAGGGAGACACTACACAGAGAGGCAGACACTACACAGAGAGGGAGACACTACACAGAGAGGGAGACACAGAGAGGGAGACACTACACAGAGAGGGAGACACTACACAGAGAGGGAGACACTATACAGAGAGGGAGACACTACACAGAGAGGGAGACACTACACAGAGAGGGAGACACTACACAGAGAGGGAGACACAGAGAGGGAGACACTACACAGAGAGGGAGACACTACACAGAGAGGCAGACACTACACAGAGAGGGAGACACTACACAGAGAGGGAGACACTACACAGAGAGGGAGACACAGAGAGGGAGACACTACACAGAGAGGGAGACACTACACGGAGAGGGAGACACTACACAGAGAGGGAGACACTACACAGAGAGGGAGACACAGAGAGGGAGACACTACACAGAGAGGGAGACACAGAGAGGGAGACACTACACAGAGAGGGAGACACTACACAGAGAGGGAGACACAGAGAGGGAGACACTACACAGAGAGGGAGACACTACACAGAGAGGGAGACACTACACAGAGAGGGAGACACTACACAGAGAGGGAGACACTACACAGAGAGGGAGACACAGAGAGGGAGACACTACACAGAGAGGGAGACACTACACAGAGAGGGAGACACTACACAGAGAGGGAGACACAGAGAGGGAGACACTACATAGAGAGGGAGACACAGAGAGGGAGACACAGAGAGGGAGACACTACACAGAGAGGGAGACACAGAGAGGGAGACACTACACAGAGAGGGAGACACTACACAGAGAGGGAGACACTACACATAGAGGCAGACACTACACAGAGAGGGAGGCACTACACAGAGAGGGAGACACTACACAGAGAGGGAGACACTACACAGAGAGGGAGACACTACACAGAGAGGGAGACACTACACAGAGAGGGAGACACAGAGAGGGAGACACAGAGAGGGAGACACTACACAGAGAGGGAGACACTACACAGAGAGGGAGACACTACACAGAGAGGGAGACACTACACAGAGAGGGAGACACTACACAGAGAGGGAGACACTACACAGAGAGGGAGACACTACACAGAGAGGGAGACACTACACAGAGAGGGAGACACAGAGAGGGAGACACTACACAGAGAGGGAGACACTACACAGAGAGGGAGACACTACACAGAGAGGGAGACACTACACAGAGAGGGAGACACTACACAGAGAGGCAGACACTACACAGAGAGGGAGACACTACACAGAGAGGCAGACACTACACAGAGAGGGAGACACTACACAGAGAGGGAGACACAGAGAGGGAGACACAGAGAGGGAGACACTACACAGAGAGGGAGACACAGAGAGGGAGACACTACACAGAGAGGGAGACACTACACAGAGAGGGAGACACAGAGAGGGAGACACTACACAGAGAGGGAGACACTACACAGAGAGGGAGACACTACACAGAGAGGGAGACACTACACAGAGAGGGAGACACTACACAGAGAGGGAGACACTACACAGAGAGGCAGACACTACACAGAGAGGGAGACACAGAGAGGGAGACACTACACAGAGAGGGAGACACTACACAGAGAGGGAGACACTACACAGAGAGGCAGACACTACACAGAGAGGGAGACACTACACAGAGAGGGAGACACTACACAGAGAGGGAGACACAGAGAGGGAGACACTACACAGAGAGGGAGACACTACACGGAGAGGGAGACACTACACAGAGAGGGAGACACTACACATAGAGGGAGACACAGAGAGGGAGACACTACACAGAGAGGGAGACACAGAGAGGGAGACACTACACAGAGAGGGAGACACTACACAGAGAGGGAGACACATAGAGGGAGACACTACACAGAGAGGGAGACACTACACAGAGAGGGAGACACTACACAGAGAGGGAGACACTACACAGAGAGGGAGACACTACACAGAGAGGGAGACACAGAGAGGGAGACACAGAGAGGGAGACACTACACAGAGAGGGAGACACAGAGAGGGAGACACTACACAGAGAGGGAGACACTACACAGAGAGGGAGACACTACACAGAGAGGGAGACACTACACAGAGAGGGAGACACAGAGAGGGAGACACTACACAGAGAGGGAGACACTACACAGAGAGGGAGACACAGAGAGGGAGACACTACACAGAGAGGGAGTTTCTATCAGGGGAATGTAGTCCCCCACCCGAAAATTCCAAGAGCCCCCCCCCCCCCCATCACACAAATCATCCCACAGATACCTACCATCCCACAGATACCTACCATCCCACAGATACCTACCATCAACACACCCAGAATTTTTATTCAGGCATCTTCCAGGGCTGAGCCCCCTTTACCCCCCCCCCACCCCCCCCCCCCCCACACACACAATGTTTACCGCCCCTCCGAAAGAAATATATATACTTTTAACAGTGTCCACCCCACACACCCACCTACCATCACACACACACACCATAACACATCCACACCTACCTTCACACCCACACACCATCACACACCATCACACCCACACACCATCACACACCCACTATCACACCCACACACCATCACACATCCACCATCACACCCACACACCCACCATCACACATCCACCATCACACCCACACACCATCACACCCACCATCACACCCACACACCATCACACATCCACCATCACACCCACACACCATCACACCCACCATCACACCCACACACCATCACACACCATCACACCCACACACCATCACACATCCACCATCACACCATCACACCCACCATCACACCCACACACCATCACACCCACCATCACACCCACACACCATCACACATCCACCATCACACCCACACACCATCACACCATCACACATCCACCATCACACCCACACACCCACAATCACACCCACACACCATCACACATCCACCATCACACCCACACACCATCACACCCACCATCACACCCACACACCATCACACCCACACACCATCACACATCCACCATCACACCCACACACCATCACACCCACACACCATCACACATCCACCATCACACCCACACACCCACCATCACACATCCACCATCACACCCACACACCATCACACCCACCATCACACCCACACACCATCACACATCCACCATCACACCCACACACCATCACACCCACCATCACACCCACACACCATCACACCCACCATCACACCCACACACCATCACACATCCACCATCACACCCACACACCATCGCACCCACCATCACACCCACCATCACACACCATCACACCCACCATCACACCCACACACCATCACACCCACCATCAGCATCAACTTCTTGTATCATGTCCTGGAGCTCAGACCTGGACGGGTTTTGGTTGAGTGACGTCATGACTGTTCCCAGTTCACTTGTGGTTATAAACCCGTCCCCGTCTTTGTCAAAAAGATTGAAGGCCTCCTTAAGCTCTGTAGACACAGACAGATTTGTCAAATTTGTGTCTTTAATTCATCCGTTGATTAACGTGAAACCCAAAAATGTGTCTGACCCATAACGTGAAACCCAAAAATGTTTCTGATCCATGACGTGAAACCCAAAAATGTGTCTGATCTTGAATGATCTTCCCGTTGGTTAACATGGGATCCCCGTAGCAGCAACATTTGTACTAACTATCGAATACGTTGGCTGAGGCCAGTCTCGTTATTTATATATAGAGACCCGTATTTGCCTCTATCTCTATCTATGTATATGTTACGGTCAAAGCCCGAAGTGCGGCCAAACCCCGGATTGGCCGGCCAATGCGCGGATTGGCCGGCTCTCTTGGCCAAAGCTCGAAGAACTTAGAACTAAGATCGTATTTCGTACATTGGCCGGCCAATGCGCGCACTGGCCGGGACGTACTGGCCAAAGTCCGAAGTGCTTAAACTTGACAGCGTATTTTGTACATTGGCCGGCCAATGCGCGCATTGGCCGGGATGTCCTGGCCAATGTTCTATCTAGACTAAGTTGTGATCGCGTTTTCATTATTCTGGGTGCGGTTTCATTGTGAGTAACGTATTGTTTAGCTCTTGTTTGTAAAGCATCCACAAGGATGTAAAAAGAGCTCAAGAGAAAGTACAAAAATATCACCAAAGAAATCATTACTATGTATCTTCGGTTGTGCAAGCCTTGTCAGACAAAATTGTCTAATCCCAAGAAAGGTCTTGTTTTCAAACCTTTAATATTTAAAGAATTTAACTCAAGATACCAAGTAGATATTATTGATATGCAAAGTAACACAGACGGCAAATACAAGTTTATACTCAGTTACCAGGATCATTTAACCAAGTTCATATTGTTGCGAGCTTTGGAAACCAAAAGAGCAGAAGAAGTTGCTTACCAGCTGCTGGATATCTTCACGACTATTGGTGCTCCAAGTGTGCTTCAATCAGATAATGGAAGAGAATTTGTGAATCAAGTTATTTCTGAACTAAAGAACATGTGGCCTAAACTTAAACTAGTTCACGGAAAACCAAGGCATAGCCAAAGCCAAGGTTCAGTCGAACGTGCCAACCAAGATGTTCAAAATATGATGATGACATGGATGCAAACAAATGAATCAGCTCATTGGGCTGAGAGTCTCAAACAGTGTTTCTTCCAGACTTTTTTCTCCGGGGGGGCACTTGAAATTTTCGGGGGGGCGGTAAACTTTCTTCGGGGGGGCGGACACTGTTAAAAGTATATATTTTCTATATAAATTATGTAAATTTCATTCCGTTCGGGGGGGCGGTAAAATTTTTTCGGGGGGGCTTCGCCCCCCCGAAGAGATGCCTGGAAGAAACTCTGGTCTCAAATTCATTCAATTTATGAAAAATCGTTCTTTTCATCAAGGAATCCAACAATCACCATACGAAGCCTTGTTTGGATGCAAAGCAAAAGTGGGACTTAGCACTTCAAATCTAACAAGAGAGGCTCTCAATAAAATAGTTACTGAGGAAGATCTTGAGAACATTGAACAAGAAATGGAGGTTGACATTAATGCAACTACATCCTCAGCTAACACATCTGCTGCCGTGGCGGAACGTCGAGATCAGTTGCGTGACAATAATGTGGCCAACAAAATCTGTATAGTTTGTAAAAAACATCGTAGTGCAGCTCATTCTTGTGGATCCTGTGGCAAAGATGTCCATGCTATTTGTGGAGTACCCAATGAAGCAGACGAAGGGTACGGAGGGAACATTACCTGCAGATTGTGTCACAACAAACAAGACATCATGGAACACAGATCAGCAGCTCATACTGGCTTGCAAAATCAAGGTGCTAAGATGCTTAAAACATCAAATACAAAATTTAAAGATGGTGAAGTGGGTGACAATGTGCGCATCCGTGTTCCAGATGTTGACAGAGGTAGCGGTGATCACCGAAGCGTGATTGCAGTTGTCATGAGCGTCGAGGGCGGTTTCTACAAATTAGGAACGGAACATGGTGTTCTAAAACAACTGTATGCTAGAAGTGAGTTTTCAATTCTTCACGAAAAACTGCTCTTATTGTCGTCAGTTGGCACTGAGGAAAAATCACTACGAACCATCGCATCTTCACAATCATTGACTGGGGGCCAAGGCTACACTCGCTGCAATTGCACAACCAAGTGCACAACAAATCGCTGCAAGTGTAAAAATAACAAGCTGCTATGTAATTCTAAATGCCATAAAAGTTCAACTTGTTGTAACAAATGATAATACTGATTGATTGAGACTATAGTACAATAAAAAATTTGAATGTTTCTGTCATTTACTTTAATTAATAATCAATAAAGACTTAATTTCATGATAATTACGGCATCAAAAAACCCAAAATCTGCTCATGATTTTCTAATTCAGACTTTGGCCAGGTCGTATTTAGCCAGATGATCTTCTAATTAAGACTTTGGAATGGCCGGCCAAAGGCCGAAATCAAGAGCTATTTCAGACTTTGGCCGGTCCACCATGGCCAGTCTGCGGATTGGCCGGCCAAAGGCCGAAATCAAGCAAAGTTTCGGACTTTGACCGACTTATGGGAGGCGGTATTGGCCAATGCGCGGATTGGCCGGCCAATCCGCGCATTGGCCGACTTCGGGCTTTGACCGTAACATATATATTTACCTGCTATTTGGTCCTCGCTCATTGAGTTAGCCTGAAAATTTAAAAAGTCTAAATTCATCCCGCAAGTCAAATCAGTTGTTAATTAATTATAAATTATCCTGCTAGGCCTACTTTAGGATACAAGAAAATCACCAAATGAGGTCTAATATTATAGGATACAAGAAAAATCACCAAAAGAGGTCTACCTTAGGATACTACTACAAAATCACCAAATTAGGTCTACTACTATAGGGCTGGTAAGTAGGTCACCAACCAATTCTACGGCTCAATAAAACCACCAAGAGCCATAGAACTGGTTGGCGACCTACTTACCAGCCCTATAGGATACAAGAAAACCACCAAATGAGCTCTACTATAGGGAACAAGAAACTTACCATGTTACTGCTAAACTGTATCAGACCGGACACCATACAATCAAAGTTGTACAATGACAGTTGTGGCTCCGATATCTGATAACATCTCTAATCAAAATGTGATAACTAATACACCTTGGGCCAGAGGCATATACACTGTCTCTATTACTATTTGGCTGGATTTTGTAAGTCAGTCTTACTCAAAGTAAGCTGGACTTAATAGGTCAATCTTACTCTAAGCTGGACTTAATAGGTCAATCTTACTATAAGCTGGACTTAATAGGTCAATCTTACTCTAAGTAAGCTGTAGTAATAGGTCAATCTTACTCTAAAGCTGGACTTTGTGGGTCTGACAGTCTAACCAGTGTTTCTTCCAGACTTTTTTTCTCCGGGGGGGGGGGGGGGGGGGGGAATATAAATTTCATTTCGTTCGGGGGGGGGGGGGGGGTAGAATTTTTGGGGGGCTTTGTCGTCCCCCCCCCCCCCCCGAAGAGATGCGTGGAAGAAACTCTGAGTCTAACTCGTTAGAATTTCTGTTTGTTTTTAAGATGAAACAATAAATGAAATATTTAAATGTTCTAGTCTAGAATTTCTGTTTGTTTTTAAGATGAAACAATAAATGAAATATTTAAATGTTCTAGTCTAGAATTTCTGTTTGTTTTTAAGATGAAACAATAATTGAAATATTATTATTATTAATATTTAGATGTTCTAGACTAGTCTATGAAATTGAAATAAATTCTGAAATGTCAGGAAGAAAAATTCTATTTATTTAATTTATACTGTACTGGTAGTCTGTTTATGTATGTATACAGCTGGTAACACTTGAAATACATAATAATGCACTGCTATTTATAAAGCAATAATAATTTTAAAAATGTGGGTCACTCATTAAAATTTAGGAAATGTATTCAATACATTCTAATTTTCTATATAGAATAAAAAAATGTTGAACACGTAGGCCAACTAAAATTTAAAATGAAGGCAAATAATTTTTAAACCCCGCACTGAAAAGGTTGGCAAGTTTCAATGTGATACATTTCAATCAGTGTCCCAACTGAAAAACCCCTCCCCCCTGTAAATACTGTATGTATATATAAATTAAATAAAGATATATAAAATATAAATATCCATATAAAATGTTGATATCTATATATATGATTTATATATACATATATAATTTTTGTATAAATGTATATATTTAAAAAAATATAAATATATATATATATTTATTTTATTTATTGATAGGTATTTAGCCTAGATGAAATACTTCAGATGTAGCCTAGCATAACTTATAACAGGTTAATTGAATCTCAGAATACCCACTTTGATCAAGGTCTCCTGATTATACTAACTAATTCACACATGAGTTGAGTGATAGCAAAAAGTAATATAGACAAAATCTAGAAAACAACAACTTATACATACATCAGATAGAGTGCTGGTAAAAAGTATTACAAAGTTTAGTAATAAAAGAACGAATACAATACAAATATATTATTTTTATTCTTACTAAATGATACAACAGTGTGTATAGTATATGTGTGTTTAAACGGAGTCAAATTTCGGTAGATTGTGCATCAGCTTTGATCTTGACGCTCATTTGGCCAATACAGACTAAACAATCAGTGCCCACTAGATGAGGGGATAAATAGTTTTCAACAAAGCTCTCTGCTTTGCCACCAACCAGAAGCTCATCAGTTGAAAAATCTATGGCGTCAGAATATAAACTGCAGTTATCTCCTCCTGCTTTGATAACGTGGGCAAGGGAAATAACATCGAGAGGGTCTAGAAGATTGGTTAGAGTGAGGTCCAAGATTTGGGTGGATTGATCATAACAACATGTGTGTTCATCCTCTCCACATTCCCCTGCGGCCTGGCAGACGTGCTGGCGGCCATCTATCCTGTACTGGTGGCCTTCTAAGGTGATTAGTCGACCAACAAGTGCATGAGAATTATCTAGACAGCAAATGTAAGCTAACCCAGCCAGAAGACATTTGGACATCTGGAAATAAAATCTCACATTAATCAACCTTTTATTAGCAAACTGTTCTTTTAACAAAATATTCAAATTAGAGCTTAAATATAACTTTTTTTTTAATGTAATTTTAATAGGTCTTGGGACATTGCCTCTTTTTTAAAACAGAAAAGTGTTATAAAAATTAAATCAACCACACTTTTTAAGGTTGTGAAGCTGAGTTTTAAAAAATTAATTTTTAGTTTTTGGAGCAACCTAATTTCTTTTTTTTTTCCCCAGTGCATTCAAAATCATTGTTATCAAATATAAGAAAAAGTTTCATATAATAAAATATAGGCCTAATTTGTTATATTTTTTTGTCGCTTCCGGTTTTAATCAATAATTTTGTAGCAACATTTGTCAGTTAGGCCTATATGCCTATTTATATATATCTTTTTGAATGGATTTAACAACTTGTGCCGCAGTCATGGTTAGTGGGTTCAGTGCAGGCGCCATGTTATTTAGCACCCTTGGAAAAACTTATTAAAACGCCCCCCCCCCCCCCCTCGAAATTTTATTTTTGAGCCTGCGGCGCTTCGGGTCGCGCAACCGATTACGGTTGCGCTTGTTACAGTTTTACTGCTGAATATAGTAGTATCCTTTACCCGCTATGCAGGATGCGCGATTAAAGGATGCCAAGTGCTAACATAGCCGCTCTGGAACTCTGGGTGCCCAATTGTGTATTGAGGAAAATCACACCCTACCGGGCGCCACCCATTTCAAATTTTTATTATTTGGTTCACAGAAAGCTTCTAGGGAGTATTTTCATCACCTCCACAAAGTTTCATGGCACTTGGATGAAGGGTGTCGAACCGCAATCGACTTTTATTTTTGTATACCGTATATAGAGAAAAAACAAATCGCACCCTCCCGAGGAACCACACCCGTGAATTTGAAATATATTTTTTGGCAGAAACTTCCCCAGGAGTATTATCAACAACTTCCAAAGTTTCATGTATTAATGCATAAAGGATAAACACACACATATTGTTATATATATATATATATATATATATATATATATATATATATATATATATATATACACACACATTGTGTGTATGTATCTATATATATATATGTGTGTGTGTGTGTGTGTGTATGTGTATTACTTTAAAATTCTGTTTAGGATCTTGTGGTGCTAACAATTAATTAAGTTTGAAAATCTAAAACTGTCCATGGCTAACGAGATTTCTAATTCAAAGAGAGAGCAAAGGAGACTTAGCCCAATTTAAAAATCAAAATTGCACAGGCGCTGACCTGAACGGGGCGCAAACCTAATAGATAATAATATGAAAAGCTTATACAGTCGAAGTAATCAACGTTGACTGCTACTTGGCATTACGGACTTATTTAATTCTTTTCTACACCGGTTGCGTGACACCAAAATACAAGGATAAAGCGCCCCGACCTTTCCTGGTGATGGAGGTTGCGTGCTCTTTTTCACCAACGCGAATAACTATAATCTGAAGATGGGGCGCAAAATTGATAGTTCGTCCTGGGCACCGAAATAGATCATCACGTCTTTGTATATTACCCTATCTTAAGTTTATATAATTTAATCAAATGTATTAATTATTAGGTACTTTTTACTAATGGAGATCAAACATTTTTGCGCCCCCCCCCCCCTATGGATAGCGCCCTAGGTTACTGCCTAGTTCGCCTTATAGGTAGCGCGGGCCCTGAGTGGGTTACATATTGCCTGTACAGTGGGCACCGAGTCTACATTTTTAAATAGTAGACTGACTAATTAATACTAATTATTTATTAATTTGATCAGGAAGTGTTGTTTTTAGTTTTTATTGCTCAATAAAAACTGAAACAGTAGCCTATATTACTATTATTATAAATTATTAGATTAGGCTTTTAAACAATTATTATTATTGGATAGGCCAGACCTAAAAAAACTGAGAAACTCAGACTAAACAAACTGACAAAAAGGGTAAGATCTAAATATAAATATAATAGGCCTAGTCTATATTTATATAAATAGTAAATAGGTCTAAAATAAAAGCCTTTTATTATTAAAAGTTAAAAGGGGAATGACTCGAATGAGCTTACTGTTTCTTCAAATATTAATACAGGTAGGCTAGTGTAGGCCTGTGTAGGGCCTATAAAAAATTAAAATCTATATTAATCTAGATCTATTCTATTCTTGTTATAATATAATAATTCTAGGCCTATAGGCTAATATTTTTATTTATTTTATTTTTATAATATAGATCTAGAAGATTTAGATAGGCTATTTTTTAAAAGTAGTCTAGTCTAGACCTAGTTAGATCCCGTAGTTCATTTATTTATAGATCTAGAATAAAATTAAATAAATTAATTAATAATTAGGCCAAGGCCTATAAAATTGATTTTAAAAAACCCGTAAAATCGCATTTTATTTTATTTACTCAAGCGGATTTTAGCAATTCAATCTAGAGCTACAATCTAGAGGTTTAGTTCAGAGTGACCTAACCTTAGCGGAAGTTTTGATTGTGACCTCTACTTGAGCTAGATCTAGATGTAAGAGTAGATAACCATAGGATAAGGCCTCCTAAGCACTCAAAATTTTGGAACATAGACTCTAGGTGAGTAGGTAGATCTAGAGATCTAGTTTAATGTAGGATGATAATATCCTACATTAACTAGATTTAGATGATAACCATGATGATGATAAGCTTTAAAAATACTTGAGTAGATCCAGATCTATTCTAGACTAGACTAGACTCTTCTTGATCTAGATGATCTAGTCTAATAATTAATTAATTAATAGTATAGGCCTAATTAATTAATTAAAGTAATTTTGGCTTTTGGTAATCTATCGTTTTACTAAAACGGTTTTTAGGTACGTAAAATCGCCCGCGGCTAGTAATCATGTAATGTACGAAAAAGTTACCTCATTTTCAAGGCTTTAATAGAAGTATTTGTGATAGGCCCCTATATTATTATATTTCTGTCAAATACATGAATAATTCCTAATAAGCCTAAGCCTAAGGCCTAAATCAATGGCTAAATAATAGAAAATATATCAATATTCAATATAGTCAATAATAGTCAATATAATATAGGCAAGAAATTAACTTTAAACAGCAGTGTTTGCGAGCAGGATTTGCTATATAAAAAGCGGCCATCTGTAAGTTAGAGTGGCTTCCCCTGAATCTTGCGCTATAAGTTTACAATTAAAAAAAAACAACAAGATGGCTGCTATAGTAAATGAGCATGGTTGCATCTGTTGGAAACATAGCTAGTCTTCATTTATTACTGAAAAGTTTTAATACAGTTGTTTAAAAACAGGTAGATCTATATATCCTAAATGAAACAAGGAAATATTTTTGTATTTTTCAAAACATAATTTAAGGAGTCACCTGTTTTCACATTGCTAGTCGCGGGCAATTTTACGATTGTAGAAAAAAAGTCACAGGAAAAAAAAAATTCACAGGAAAAAAAGTCACAAATAGGCCTAAATATTTGCATTATGATATTTGTTAATACTTTTATGTATTAAAAATTTAGAGAGTGCAAAATAACTTAGGATTAATTGAATGTAATGTAATGTGTGTAGGCTATATACGCATAGGAATTTGTATAATTCATCTAAAAATATTCATTATGAAGTATTTAGATTGTGATTATTTTAAACTTCAGATTAGTAGCATTAATAGAATGCTCTAAAGTCCATGATTTTCATCGTGTTTTTTTAAAAATACCAATATTAAATTACTGTGAAATGGTAAGCTCATCTGACTTGCTGCCCTCAACTCATGGCAACAATAGTTATGTTTAGTTCAACCACCTTTACTGCCCACGTTTATCACGCTCATTACATAACAAAACTTAGGATCAAAACAGAAAGCCGACAAGGCTCAAAGGCTGTCATTGACGTATAACATCAACAACACAAAATATGTTCGGACAATGCCTACTGAGGAGAGGCCGACCAGAGAATAGCCTGCGGCAAAATGTGCCTGAATTTCTTTTATAATTAACTTTTCTACCTCGTATTTAACTAAATACGTAACAAAAGTTGAGATTGTTGTGTTAATTATCTTATAGTATTTTTACTTACAATTGTTATAAATCATAATGCTTTTAACGTCTATAAATAATATATGCTATCAAAAAATACAACCCACAACAATAAACATACAAAATTTTACAATTCTTAACAAATTAATAAAAATATTTCTAAAAAGATTGTTGTGACTTTTTTTCTGTGACTTTATTAGTTTATTTCTGTAACTTTTTTCCCGATAAAATTTTTCCACTGTGACTTTTTTTATAATATGTTAGAATATCAAGTTATTTATAATTAGGCCTATAAAATTATATTAATATTATATTTAGTAGTACTAGATCTAGAATAATCTAGATCTAGTTAAAGTAGTATACTACACTGTTTAACTGGTAATCTATCGTTTTATTAAGAGTGTGTAAAATCGGCCGAGGTTAGATCTAGTAATAGGTAGTCCAAATTGGCGAAAAAGTGCGTTTTAGGGTCAGTTTTTGCGGTTTTCAAAAAAAAAATTTCACTACTTCTAGTTATCCTATAAGAATAAAAATTATATGTCAATAAAGTTTAAGTCTTTACCCGTCGTAATCTGGTATTTTTATATCTGTAACACATGTTTGAATGTGTTTTATATTTGTTTGAAAAGTATCAGTAACGTCAACAAATTTCACCGTTTTGCGAGTACCGATCGACCCCACACTGTTTCATTTGGTTGCGGCTTCACGACGAAGCATCGTAGAAGCATAATCTTAATGTCATTTTAAAGGGCGAATTCTAGGCTATCGTTTGATGTATAAATTGAAAAAATAACTTGCTTATTTCATTTTAAAAAATCAGTTTTTAAACTTTAAATGACGATATATACACGAAAACAAACTGATTCTGTTTCAATTTTTACATCGATGTAAAGTTCACTCTTATAACTACTTTGTGTTATAAATTCAAGTATTTCTGATTTACGGTCGCGAAGCCGTGCCCTCAATAAACATATAGAGATCTAACCCTCGAGTCAATTTCCAGCCCCGAGTGAGTAGCTCGCCGAACGGTTTTAAATAAAGGTTGACGACCGATGATGCTAAACGGATTTTACCCTTGCTAGAGCCTTCAAACAAGTTGTAAGTATCATTTTTAAAGTTTCATTTTCATTTTAATAAATGAATTTTAAGTTTGAATGCCAGTTTGGTTTAATTAGTACACGCTATTAATGTAAATTTGAACGCTACTAGTCCACAGTTTTTAGCGTGTGAACTACGCTTGTACACAGAGTGTGTTTAGACATGAAGCTATTTAATTCAGGACATTCTAGGGACTTAAAATATGGATGCACTTAACTATTAGATGCTAGTGTTTACTAATTCTTTAAAATCTATCGAATGGGATTAATGATAGGGTCGTATTACTACAGTTTATCTGGACTATCACGTCAAAATTATGAATCGACAAATTCAAAATGGCCACCAGACATTCCTGGTTACTATGTGGACGAACTCAATTATTTACAGGGAACGAAGGTTAAATACCTATAAAATACTAATGAAACACAAAAGAAATGTATAATTATAATAACTATACATTTTTATCGATTTATTTAAGACAAAAGACACTAAATTTTAAGGACTAATGCGATTAATTTTTTTATTTTCTGTTGTGCACTCTGATTCTGATTCCCCTGTTGAATAATGTGAAATGGTCTGCGCCAGTCTCCGTAATAAAATGTACCAGATCAATTTTTAGATGGTGGTGCAATTTATTAAGATTGTACATGTTGTGACTTAGTTTTAAATGTTATATTAGTTGTAAGTGTAAGTAGTACTAGTAGTATTTCTCATTATTTATTTATTTTATATGCATATAGTAACAATGAAGGACAGTTAAGTTGTCCTATAGGATGTTGAGAACCAACCACAGTATGGCATCTTCATCATTGGATATCTCAACCAGTGTTGCACAAGCTACGAATATTTCGTTCAGTAGAATTACTATTAAAAATATACTATCAAGTATACATTACTTTTAACAAAAAGGTGTTTTCAGGCTTTTTCATGTTTCCAGTTATAGTCATAGGACAAATAGTAGGCCTACACAATAGGCAAGTAGTAAATTTAATTATATTTTATTAATCACTAAATCAATTATTTATTCCATAGCTGGAGACATTTATGGTGGCCTATCCAGAACTTTCCTTACAAGGGAAGGGAAGAAGGCCAAGCCCCCCCCCCCCCTACAGTTCCCAAAACTTATCGCTTACTCTTGATGCTCTACAACAGGGGTCTCCAAACTACGGCCCGCGGGCCGGATGCGGCCCGCGAGGTCTTTTCATCCGGCCCGCGGAGATCTTTTTGTCCACGGAAATAAACGTTTGTTGGAGATTGCTGAGGAACTTTACTCAGAAAAATCACGACATGCCTGGAAGAAACTGGCCCCCGAACTGAAATTAGATAGTTAATGCGGCCCTCGGACTGAAAAGTTTGGAGACCCCTGCTCTACAAGATCAAGGTTGAGGGAAACAAGACGTACAAAGATGTGGAGTTGTCGTTTTAAAAACTATTCCCCCAAAGCAGTTATCAACCCGATAGGTTTGAATGTAGCATCAACTGCTGCATCACTTGTAGACATCACGTCTTTATTAGATTACATTACATTACTACATTAAATTTTGATTCTGTTGCTCCAGAACTAGATAACTGTGGCATTTTTAAAAATAATATTTTAATTCATGTGATTTTTGACAATAATGAACACATTCTTCCTGTTAATATTACCAACACAATAGTTTTAGAGTTATTCTATGTCCAAAGCAAAAAAAAAAAAAAAAAATTGGATTTTTTTTTTTTTTTATGAAAATAAAAGTGACCAAAACGCATTTTTGTCATTTTCAATTATTTTTTTTACCTTAGAAAGACTCATTTTAGATGACTGAAAAAAATTGGGCATATATATTGCAAACTTTGCAGTAACTTTACCAATTTCTACACTTCTATGTTATTTAGTTTAGAAAATATGGGTTCTCAAAAATGGCACTTTTTGAAAATCAGTTTTTTACCAAATTTTGCTTTTTTAAAAATCGCATAACTTTTTTATTTATTGAGATATTTTCATAAAATTTGTGGCATAGAGCTTACAATTAAAAGTTCTTTCATGACATACTCACTCCAGTAGTCTGCAATCAATAGTTAATTTCAGTTTGGACTACCTACTAGTAATGTGCAAAAAAGTTGCCTCATTGTAAGGCTTTAATAGGAGTATATATATTTGTGTCAAATATTATAGATAACTGAATAATAAACCAAAATCAATAGCTAAATAAATAAAATATTAGTAAGATCTAGGTAGGCCTAAAAATATCAATATAATATTTATACGTCTCCATTTTGTCGGCAAAAGATAGTTCTGCGCATGCGCAGTGACTTCAATAGCTGAGCTAGGGTTAAGCTAGGGTTAAGGTTAGGGATAGGGCTCTGCGGTTTGTTTGTAAACACACACATGCGCAGTACCATCGAAAACATAGTGACAATGGAAAGTTGTAGTTTCTCTCCATTGCGCATGCATATCTTTTACCGGCTAGAATCTGCCATATTTATATTGTTATTAATAGGTAGGCCTAGGCCTAATCTATTGTTTTAGGTACGTAAAATCGTCTGAGGCTAGTATAAGTAATGTGAAAAAAGATGACTCATTAAATTTTAGTAATTATTTCACATTTTTATGTGGATTTATGTATTGAATGTTTCAAAGTTTCATTAATGTACCTGTTTTTAAACAACTGTATTAAAACTTTTCAGTAATAAATAAAGACTAGCGATGTTTTCATCAGATGCAACCAAGCTCATTTACTTTAGCAGCCATCTTGTTCAAATTTTTTTTGTAAAATTATAGTAAGAGATTCAGGGGAAACCACTCTAACTTACAGATGGCCGCTGTTTATATAGCAACTCTTGCTCGCAGCCATTGCTGTTTAAAATTAATGTCAAACCTAATGAGTTGTTTACTTGTTTAAGTCTATGGATCAAACCTAATGAGTTGTTTACTTGTTTAAGTCTATGGATCAAGTCAACCCTAGTGTGAAAAGATTTTTGAGACGTAACTTTGTTTCATTAGCAGTCCCAGCAATTGTTGCTATCAGCATTTATCTGGACTTGAGAAGGACACATAAACAAAAGACAGATTGAGGTACCAGTGTTTAAGTTAAATATACTTCTAGTTCAACGTCATTTATAGACTTGCTATATTTGAATTCTATATTTCTTTTAGCTCATCTACTTGTACTTGCTATGTTTGTATATTCCTCTAGTTGATGAGCTTGTTGTCTACTTGTACTTGCTATGTTTGTATATTCCTCTAGTTGATGAGCTTGCTGTCTACTTGTACTTGCTATGTTTGTATATTCCTCTAGTTGATGAGCTTGCTGTCTACTTGTACTTGCTATGTTTGTATATTCCTCTAGTTGATGAGCTTGTTGTCTGTCTACTTGTACTTGCTATGTTTGTATATTCCTCTAGTTGATGAGCTTGTTGTCTGTCTACTTGTACTTGCTATGTTTGTATATTCCTCTAGTTGATGAGCTTGTTGTCTGTCTACTTGTACTTGCTATGTTTGTATATTCCTCTAGTTGATGAGCTTGTTGTCTACTTGTACTTGCTATGTTTGTATATTCCTCTAGTTGATGAGCTTGTTGTCTGTCTACTTGTACTTGCTATGTTTGTATATTCCTCTAGTTGATGAGCTTGTTGTCTGTCTACTTGTACTTGCTATGTTTGTATATTCCTCTAGTTGATGAGCTTGCTGTCTACTTGTACTTGCTATGTTTGTATATTCCTCTAGTTGATGAGCTTGCTGTCTACTTGTACTTGCTATGTTTGTATATTCCTCTAGTTGATGAGCTTGTTGTCTGTCTACTTGTACTTGCTATGTTTGTATATTCCTCTAGTTGATGAGCTTGCTGTCTACTTGTACTTGCTATGTTTGTATATTCCTCTAGTTGATGAGCTTGCTGTCTACTTGTACTTGCTATGTTTGTATATTCCTCTAGTTGATGAGCTTGTTGTCTGTCTACTTGTACTTGCTATGTTTGTATATTCCTCTAGTTGATGAGCTTGTTGTCTGTCTACTTGTACTTGCTATGTTTGTATATTCCTCTAGTTGATGAGCTTGTTGTCTGTCTACTTGTACTTGCTATGTTTGTATATTCCTCTAGTTGATGAGCTTGTTGTCTACTTGTACTTGCTATGTTTGTATATTCCTCTAGTTGATGAGCTTGTTGTCTGTCTACTTGTACTTGCTATGTTTGTATATTCCTCTAGTTGATGAGCTTGTTGTCTGTCTACTTGTACTTGCTATGTTTGTATATTCCTCTAGTTGATGAGCTTGCTGTCTACTTGTACTTGCTATGTTTGTATATTCCTCTAGTTGATGAGCTTGCTGTCTACTTGTACTTGCTATGTTTGTATATTCCTCTAGTTGATGAGCTTGTTGTCTGTCTACTTGTACTTGCTATGTTTGTATATTCCTCTAGTTGATGAGCTTGCTGTCTACTTGTACTTGCTATGTTTGTATATTCCTCTAGTTGATGAGCTTGCTGTCTACTTGTACTTGCTATGTTTGTATATTCCTCTAGTTGATGAGCTTGTTGTCTGTCTACTTGTACTTGCTATGTTTGTATATTCCTCTAGTTGATGAGCTTGTTGTCTGTCTACTTGTACTTGCTATGTTTGTATATTCCTCTAGTTGATGAGCTTGTTGTCTGTCTACTTGTACTTGCTATGTTTGTATATTCCTCTAGTTGATGAGCTTGTTGTCTGTCTACTTGTACTTGCTATGTTTGTATATTCCTCTAGTTGATGAGCTTGTTGTCTGTCTACTTGTACTTGCTATGTTTGTATATTCCTCTAGTTGATGAGCTTGTTGTCTACTTGTACTTGCTATGTTTGTATATTCCTCTAGTTGATGAGCTTGCTGTCTACTTGTACTTGCGATGTTTGTATATTCCTCTAGTTGATGAGCTTGCTGTCTACTTGTACTTGCTATGTTTGTATATTCCTCTAGTTGATGAGCTTGTTGTCTGTCTACTTGTACTTGCTATGTTTGTATATTCCTCTAGTTGATGAGCTTGTTGTCTGTCTACTTGTACTTGCTATGTTTGTATATTCCTCTAGTTGATGAGCTTGTTGTCTGTCTACTTGTACTTGCTATGTTTGTATATTCCTCTAGTTGATGAGCTTGTTGTCTACTTGTACTTGCTATGTTTGTATATTCCTCTAGTTGATGAGCTTGTTGTCTGTCTACTTGTACTTGCTATGTTTGTATATTCCTCTAGTTGATGAGCTTGTTGTCTGTCTACTTGTACTTGCTATGTTTGTATATTCCTCTAGTTGATGAGCTTGCTGTCTACTTGTACTTGCTATGTTTGTATATTCCTCTAGTTGATGAGCTTGCTGTCTACTTGTACTTGCTATGTTTGTATATTCCTCTAGTTGATGAGCTTGTTGTCTGTCTACTTGTACTTGCTATGTTTGTATATTCCTCTAGTTGATGAGCTTGCTGTCTACTTGTACTTGCTATGTTTGTATATTCCTCTAGTTGATGAGCTTGCTGTCTACTTGTACTTGCTATGTTTGTATATTCCTCTAGTTGATGAGCTTGTTGTCTGTCTACTTGTACTTGCTATGTTTGTATATTCCTCTAGTTGATGAGCTTGCTGTCTACTTGTACTTGCTATGTTTGTATATTCCTCTAGTTGATGAGCTTGTTGTCTGTCTACTTGTACTTGCTATGTTTGTATATTCCTCTAGTTGATGAGCTTGTTGTCTGTCTACTTGTACTTGCTATGTTTGTATATTCCTCTAGTTGATGAGCTTGTTGTCTGTCTACTTGTACTTGCTATGTTTGTATATTCCTCTAGTTGATGAGCTTGTTGTCTACTTGTACTTGCTATGTTTGTATATTCCTCTAGTTGATGAGCTTGTTGTCTGTCTACTTGTACTTGCTATGTTTGTATATTCCTCTAGTTGATGAGCTTGTTGTCTGTCTACTTGTACTTGCTATGTTTGTATATTCCTCTAGTTGATGAGCTTGTTGTCTACTTGTACTTGCTATGTTTGTATATTCCTCTAGTTGATGAGCTTGTTGTCTACTTGTACTTGCTATGTTTGTATATTCCTCTAGTTGATGAGCTTGTTGTCTACTTGTACTTGCTATGTTTGTATATTCCTCTAGTTGATGAGCTTGTTGTCTACTTGTACTTGCTATGTTTGTATATTCCTCTAGTTGATGAGCTTGCTGTCTACTTGTACTTGCTATGTTTGTATATTCCTCTAGTTGATGAGCTTGTTGTCTGTCTACTTGTACTTGCTATGTTTGTATATTCCTCTAGTTGATGAGCTTGCTGTCTACTTGTACTTGCTATGTTTGTATATTCCTCTAGTTGATGAGCTTGCTGTCTACTTGTACTTGCTATGTTTGTATATTCCTCTAGTTGATGAGCTTGCTGTCTACTTGTACTTGCTATGTTTGTATATTCCTCTAGTTGATGAGCTTGCTGTCTACTTGTACTTGCTATGTTTGTATATTCCTCTAGTTGATGAGCTTGCTGTCTACTTGTACTTGCTATGTTTGTATATTCCTCTAGTTGATGAGCTTGCTGTCTACTTGTAATTGCTATGTTTGTATATTCCTCTAGTTGATGAGCTTGTTGTCTGTCTACTTGTACTTGCTATGTTTGTATATTCCTCTAGTTGATGAGCTTGCTGTCTACTTGTACTTGCTATGTTTGTATATTCCTCTAGTTGATGAGCTTGTTGTCTACTTGTACTTGCTATGTTTGTATATTCCTCTAGTTGATGAGCTTGCTGTCTGTCTACTTGTACTTGCTATGTTTGTATATTCCTCTAGTTGATGAGCTTGCTGTCTACTTGTACTTGCTATGTTTGTATATTCCTCTAGTTGATGAGCTTGTTGTCTGTCTACTTGTACTTGCTATGTTTGTATATTCCTCTAGTTGATGAGCTTGCTGTCTACTTGTACTTGCTATGTTTGTATATTCCTCTAGTTGATGAGCTTGCTGTCTACTTGTACTTGCTATGTTTGTATATTCCTCTAGTTGATGAGCTTGTTGTCTACTTGTACTTGCTATGTTTGTATATTCCTCTAGTTGATGAGCTTGCTGTCTGTCTACTTGTACTTGCTATGTTTGTATATTCCTCTAGTTGATGAGCTTGTTGTCTGTCTACTTGTACTTGCTATGTTTGTATATTCCTCTAGTTGATGAGCTTGCTGTCTGTCTACTTGTACTTGCTATGTTTGTATATTCCTCTAGTTGATGAGCTTGTTGTCTGTCTACTTGTACTTGCTATGTTTGTATATTCCTCTAGTTGATGAGCTTGCTGTCTACTTGTACTTGCTATGTTTGTATATTCCTCTAGTTGATGAGCTTGTTGTCTACTTGTACTTGCTATGTTTGTATATTCCTCTAGTTGATGAGCTTGTTGTCTGTCTACTTGTACTTGCTATGTTTGTATATTCCTCTAGTTGATGAGCTTGCTGTCTACTTGTACTTGCTATGTTTGTATATTCCTCTAGTTGATGAGCTTGTTGTCTGTCTACTTGTACTTGCTATGTTTGTATATTCCTCTAGTTGATGAGCTTGCTGTCTACTTGTACTTGCTATGTTTGTATATTCCTCTAGTTGATGAGCTTGTTGTCTGTCTACTTGTACTTGCTATGTTTGTATATTCCTCTAGTTGATGAGCTTGTTGTCTACTTGTACTTGCTATGTTTGTATATTCCTCTAGTTGATGAGCTTGCTGTCTGTCTACTTGTACTTGCTATGTTTGTATATTCCTCTAGTTGATGAGCTTGCTGTCTACTTGTACTTGCTATGTTTGTATATTCCTCTAGTTGATGAGCTTGTTGTCTACTTGTACTTGCTATGTTTGTATATTCCTCTAGTTGATGAGCTTGCTGTCTACTTGTACTTGCTATGTTTGTATATTCCTCTAGTTGATGAGCTTGCTGTCTACTTGTACTTGCTATGTTTGTATATTCCTCTAGTTGATGAGCTTGCTGTTTTCCCCAGAATTATGGTGCTGAGGAAGCTGCAACCTTCTCACTACAAAATATTGGCCATGGGTGTGATACCCTTGTTTGGGTTTTGGGCTGGTGCCTACCAGCAGTTCCTGTGGGATCAACACTGTGCCACATACAGAAACAAAAGCAAGTTGTTTGGGGGCAGACAGACTCAAGATGGCCAGGAAGTTTGGTACTAGGCTCCTCTGCTCCTCCTTTGATTTTCTTAATTAAACCATAGTTAGAATTAGTCCTGATCTTGTCTTAATGCTTTCCTAGGAGTGGTAGCTTGATCTATGCAGAGAGCGTGTTTTGGGAATGGTCAGTTGAGGCATGTGTTGGGAATGGTCAGTTGAGAATGGTAGACAAACTAAGCAATACATCACAAACAGAATGGTAGACAAATTAAGCAACACATCACAAACACAATGGTAGTAGGTATTCTAAATGAGCCGAAAAATTTAAGCCGGTTTTAAAATTTTTTGGTCGCGTTGCGGCATCGCGCGGCGGTCCGACCCCATAATACATACGCAATTAGAAACCACTGATTTAGAAAGAAGAATGGTAGCTCTGTAAGATGGTATAACTTTGCCAGCTGTATAATATAATTAAATGCTAAAAATGTTCAATTTAAAATTTTAAAATGATTTTTTTCCATGAAAAAATAATTTTACAGCCGCCAAAGTTGTATATTCCGAAAGGGCATCCAATTTGCCATAAAACTGTTACGATTTAATGAACACTCCATGTATGGGGTCGGACCGCAGTAAATGAAACCAATGTATACAAATCGCGACGACCCGCATCTAAATTTCGCCGGCTCGAGTCAAGATTGTGTTGAATTCCGGAACACCCGACCTCGGTTCAGAGCAAGATTTTGTGTTCATTCGTTGATTACAGTGGATTTAAAAACACGTGCAGGTAAGTTGAATGCATATTATATTACTAGCTATATTCTATTTATTTATGATTAACTGCTGCTTTAATACATTTGAATATTAGTGTCCGCTTATCGGTAATTGCTCCACGCTTAAAAAAAATTTTTCCAAAAAATTATCTAGCCCTTTTTAAAAGTCAGTTGTATTTAATTTATGGTCACTGAAATAAAAAAGGAATGCGCAATTAAATCAAAAAGATGTTTAAAAGGATGATAGAATTTAATTTGTTTTAGTAAATTATGTTAGTTAATAACATCGGCCGATTAAACTATCAATATTTTGTCGATATTTCAAGCCGATTGTCCGCCATGTTTTTTTTTACTTTCTCGTAGTGTTGGGTTCAACTATTATATTACCGCAGCGGTTAACAGCATACTTTCAATTTATTGTAGCATTGTTTTCTTTTTGTCTTTCCTAGTTTCATAGTTAACTATTCTATACATGTGCAGTAGTTACATTAAATTTTAGAATATTACGATCTTTTACATTTTTTATCTCTAGATTTATTGTAAAGACGACTTAAAATAAAATGTAGCCCCCCTTCCATAATAGTTTAGTCCAAAGTTGTTTCTAGATTTAGTCTAGATCTACTTAGATTAGTTAGATTCACTATTGCTTTCATGTTAATATTTAGATCTAGTAGTATAACTATCTATAGTGCTTACATTTAATATCTAAAAAGCATTGAGCAGCCTTACTTTTAATATTATTATTATTCTATTTACAGAGCAAGATATTAGCATGAAAGAAAGGGGAAACTCATTGGCCTACCAAAAATTTTGTATTGTTGTGAAAGCAACAACAGGACTCCTGAATACTTTTGAAGGAAACCATATGTCAAATGTTAGTATTGTATGCACTTTGCTTATTATTTATAATGATGTAATGTTACATGATTGATATTTAAGTTGGTATAAAGATATACAGGCCTGTTATATAAGTCAGTATATTTGAAATGCTAATTAATTGTTTTTATTCACAGACATTTTCTATACTCTGGACCAATGGAAGGATCCCTTACTAGATTCCATAATTTGATCTGTAACCTTGAAGAAGACACTCAACCAGGATATTGACTATTAATTACAATGCTACCCAACCTCATAGAGAAATTTCCCAATCAGGATATTGACCTGTCTTTTTGAACCTGCTCTAAGATTTCTGATAATTGTATAAGTTAGGACCTAGACATTTCCAGAAGTTGACTTTGATCAATAACTAACTAGAAGAAATAAATATACTAGTAACAAGTAAATTTATGCTAAACAAGTCATGATTAGGAACCAGAGTAACAAAACTAGATGAACATCACAACTCTATTAGGGTAATTTAAAAAGAATTTCAGTTTAATTAGTTATCTTACTTCGTCAGTTTTTAAAATGCATGGAATTTCTTCTTATTATAGTATATAAGTAAAGAAGTAGTATAGTTATTTAGTTTTTTATAACAAAGTAATGCTAACATGTTTCCTACACAATTTATATTACTTTCTTAAAAGTAAGAACACTTTTTGCAAGATGTTAGGTAATGAAAATTCTTGATTTTGGGCGTTGAGGAAGGATGCCTTGTATTGTTTTGCAGAATGATTATTTTATGTCTCTGTGTTTATTATATATTAAGAACATCATGTGCTTTAAGTTGGTGTAAAATTTATTAAGATACCTTGCTTAAATATTTTTTAATAATTTTTTGAAAAAGGATGAAATTTCTAATTTTTATAAACTGACCTTGCTGAATCTGGTCGCGCTAATTACTTTCTTTATTAATTCTTTACCTGCTTATTTTATATTAACATGGTTTGAATTTCCTTTCTTAGAACATTTATATTATTAATGTGGCTTAATTAGTTGATTTTCTATGATTTTTTAAAAATGACTGTAAATTAACTTTTTGTCTCCCTTTTCGTACTTCGGTAAAATTGTGCTTTGGCTCATTTTTATGTGAATAAATTTTCTATTTATATCTGTCTGACTACCTTGAAAAAAATTGGGTTTGCTATTTGTATTACTGGCTGTGTGTGCAAGAAATTTGAGAGTTCTAACTTAGTTATTGTAGAAGTTAGTAGGGGTCTCAAATAGACCCTTTACTGTTCAAAAAGCGAACGCATTTTTTAAGTTTTAAAAAATTCATAACTTTTTTAAAAATGGACATACATCAATAAATTTGGTGTTTCTGTTCTGATGAAAACAGTCTCTATCAGGTGGAAGTGTTAAATTTTATTTAATTTCATTATAAAAATTTCATTTTGAATACCTAATGGTAGATCAGCATTTATTCAGTTGTTGAAAATTTTCTCCACTAAGATTAACAATCTGAACTTTGATGTAAATCTTAGTTAATTAGACAAAGAAAGAAAATCATGTCTGCTACAGTTCAATTTCTACAAAGTCTATATCATGGTTTCCATTGGTCAGTCTGACCCTGGGCGGGCGTGGCACAAACTCTGGGACATTTGTTACAGCTGGGGCCTGGCATGGCTGCAGGACGGAACTTCCTACCTGGGCAGGCCACGGCACCAGATGTCTCCTGGTAATGGCATGTCTGCAGCAGCTCATTGGCCCTGTCAAAATACATTCATTCACTCACTGAAGGCTGGGAGTTACATTCATTCACTCACTCACTAAAAGTTACATTCATTCACTCACTGAAAGTTACATTCATTCACTCACTCACTCACTGAAGGCTGGGAGTTACATTCATTCACTCACTGAAAGTTACATTCATTCACTCACTCACTGAAAGTTACATTCATTCACTCACTCACTCACTGAAGGCTGGGAGTTACATTCATTCACTCACTCACTGAAAGTTACATTCATTCACTCACTCACTGAAGGCTGGGAGTTACATTCATTAACTCACTGAAGGCTGGGAGTTACATTCATTCACTCACTGAAAGTTACATTCATTCATTCACTCACTGAAAGTTACATTCATTCACTCACTGAAAGTTACATTCATTCACTCACTGAAAGCTGGGAGTTACATTCATTCACTCACTGAAAGTTACATTCATTCATTCACTCACTGAAAGTTACATTCATTCACTCACTGAAAGTTACATTCATTCACTCACTGAAAGCTGGGAGTTACATTCATTCACTCACTGAAAGTTACATTCATTCACTCACTCACTGAAAGTTACATTCACTCACTCACTGAAAGCTGGGAGTTACATTCATTCACTCACTCACTGAAAGCTGGGAGTTACATTCATTCAATCACTGAAAGTTACATTCATTCACTCACTCACTGAAAGTTACATTCACTCACTCACTGAAAGCTGGGAGTTACATTCATTCACTCACTGAAAGCTGGGAGTTACATTCATTCACTCACTCACTAAAAGTTACACTCACTCACTCACTGAAAGCTGGGAGTTCCTCACTAACAAGAATGTCCAACACATTTTTACCTCTTTAACTTGTCTTCCACCAATTTTTCCTTTACAGCAAGATTTCTCTCCCTTCCTGTAGACCAGCAGCAAATGGTTACATAACAAACATGACCACACGTAATGGTTGGAGCACATTACATAATCTGACCACACGTAATGGTTGGAGCACATTACATAATCTGACCACACGTAATGGTTGGAGCACATTACATAATCTGAGCACACGTAATGGTTGGAGCACATTACATAATCTGACCACACGTAATGGTTGGAGCACATTACATAATCTGACCACACGTAATGGTTGGAGCACATTACATAATCTGACCACACGTAATGGTTGGAGCACATTACATAATCTGACCACCCGTAATGGTTGGAGCACATTACATAACAAACATGACCACCCGTAATGGTTGGAGCACATTACATAATCTGACCACACGTAATGGTTGGAGCACATTACATAACAAACATGACCACACGTAATGGTTGGAGCACATTACATAATCTGACCACACGTAATGGTTGGAGCACATTACATAATCTGACCACACGTAATGGTTGGAGCACATTACATAATCTGACCACCCCTAATGGTTGGAGCACATTACATAACAAACATGACCACATGTAATGGTTGGAGCACATTATATAATCTGACCACCCGTAATGGTTGGAGCACATTACATAACAAACATGACCACATGTAATGGTTGGAGCACATTACATAATCTGACCACACGTAATGGTTGGAGCACATTACATAACAAACATGACCACACGTAATGGTTGGAGCACATTACATAATCTGACCACACGTAATGGTTGGAGCACATTACATAACAAACATGACCACACGTAATGGTTGGAGCACATTACATAATCTGACCACACGTAATGGTTGGAGCACATTACATAATCTGACCACACGTAATGGTTGGAGCACATTACATAATCTGACCACCCCTAATGGTTGGAGCACATTACATAACAAACATGACCACATGTAATGGTTGGAGCACATTACATAATCTGACCACACGTAATGGTTAGGGCACATTACAAACTGACCCAAAGAACCTACTTTCAATGAGATCAACATTTATCAAAGAACCTACTTTCAATGAGATCAACATTTATCAAAGAACCTACTTTCAATGAGATCAACATTTATCAAAGAACCTACTTTCAATGAGATCAACATTTATCAAAGAACCTACTTTCAATGAGATCAACATTTATCAAAGAACCTACTTTCAATGAGATCAACATTTATCAAAGAACCTACTTTCAATGAGATCAACATTTATCAAAGAACCTACTTTCAAGCTCCTTCTCTTTAAGTGCCAAGGCTTCAAGCTGTTTGAGGATATTTTCTTTCTGGCCATGAGCCCTGGCCACCACAGGCACTTGACCACTGGCCACCAGAGGGGGACGCTGACAGGCTCGCTGAAGCTCAGGTTCAGATAATAGGCTTTCAATGCTGGGACGTTTTGACACCTGACAAAGGGGAATTTATGACATGACATCCCCTGTATGACAGGACATGGAACATACAACATGACATCCAACATATGATGGGACATGGAACAGATGACATATGACAGGACATGAACATACAACATGACATCCAACATATGATGGGACATGGAACAGATGACATGACAGGACATGAACATACAACATGACATCCAACATATGATGGGACATGGAACAGATGACATGACAGGACATGGAACATACAACATGACATCCAACATATGATGGGACATGGAACAGATGACATATGACAGGACATGGAACATACATCATGACATCCAACATATGATGGGACATGGAACAGATGACATATGACAGGACATGGAACATCATGACATCCAACATATGATGGGACATGGAACAGATGACATATGACAGGACATGAACATACATCATGACATCCAACATATGATGGGACATGGAACAGATGACATATGACAGGACATGGAACATACAACATGACATCCAACATATGATGGGACATGGAACAGATGACATGACAGGACATGAACATACAACATGACATCCAACATATGATGGGACATGGAACAGATGACATGGACTGGACATGGAACATACATCATGACATCCAACAATATGATGGAACATGGAACAGATGACATGGACTGGACAAGGTAGTCTAGCATTAGGACAGAACACAAAAATGACCAAAAATAAAATACTTAAAAAAAACTTTTTAAAAAACCACGTTTTTCTTGTGGACTAAAAAGTAGAAAATAACTATTTACATACATTTGATGACAAAAAACGTGGGTACTTTCACCATCAAATTTCCCGACCCATCTGCCCGACCCACGTTTTTTGTCATCAAATGTATGTAAATAGTTATTTTCTACTTTTTAGTCCACAAGAAAAACGTGGTTTTTTAAAAAGTTTTTTTAAAGTATTTTGTTTTCTCCTTTTTAGTCCGTTGCTACACATGAAAAACGTGGTTTTTAAAAAAAGTTTTTTATATAGTTTATTTTCTACTTTATCCAATGACTTGATTAAGTATGACTTGACTAAGTGTTTATAAATACACGGACTAAAAATCTTGAGCGACCAGGATTCGAACCTGGGTTGTCGCGGCCACAACGCGAAGTACTAACCACTATACGATCACGGCCAGCGCGCTCACATCGATTGGGGCCGAAGTAACTGTGTCAATAGGCCTCCAGTCTTGTCGGTATCTTTAGAAATCATGTCCTCAATTTTATGGTCCTTAGGGCGTAATTAAATTAAGCTAATTACGGTCTCTAATTGCTAGTTTTTATGATTGCATCTGAAATTGTTAGGCGAAAGTAGCCTGCATGCCAAATTTCAGATCTATAGAGCAATCAGAAGTGGGCTAATTTTCGATGTCAATTTTAACAACAAACAAACACACGCGAAGCTGAGTTAATAAAAACGTGTTAAAAAAATAACATTAAGATAACAGTAAACAAATCACCTTTACCATAAACCATAATAGTTTTTCTACTGAATGCTACTGAACTGATGTAACGCCAAGAGTCAGGCAGTGAATGGAACCTAATGCCAAGAGTCAGGCAGTGAATGGAACCTAATGCCAAGAGTCAGGCAGTGAATGGAGCCTAATGCCAAGAGTCAGGCAGTGAATGGAACCTAATGCCAAGAGTCAGCCAGTGAATGGAACCTACCTCTACCTGCAGCATCTTCCTAATGATGAGATCCAGCTGAGAGGAGTAAGAGTGTGGCAGACGTGAGAACTCTCCGGCCCGGATCTTATGATTTAATTCTGTCTGATTGGCAGCAACAAATGGAGGAGCAAGGGCACACAACTCATACAGCATGCAGCCCAAAGACCAAACATCGGACTTGTCGTTGTACGACTGGTTGTTGACCAGCTCCTGTACAACATGGGGAGAAATGGGATCACTGACTCAATACAACATGGGGAGAAATGGGATTACTGACTCAATACAACATGGGAAATGGGATCACTGACTCAATACAACATGGGAAATGGGATCACTGACTCAATACAACATGGGGAGAAATGGGATCACTGACTCAATACAACATGGGGAGAAATGGGATTACTGACTCAATACAACATGGGAAATGGGATCACTGACTCAATACAACATGGGAAATGAGATCACTGACTCAATACAACATGGGAAATGGGATCACTGACTCAATACAACATGGGAAATGAGATCACTGACTCAATACAACATGGGGAGAAATGGGATCACTGACTCAATACAACATGGGGAGAAATGGGATCACTGACTCAATACAACATGGGAAATGGGATCACTGACTCAATACAACATGGGAAATGGGATCACTGACTTAATACAACATGGGAAATGGGATCACTGACTCAATACAACATGGGAAATGGGATCACTGACTCAATACAACATGGGGAGAAATGGGATCACTGACTCAATACAACATGGTAAATGGGATCACTGACTCAATACAACATGGGAAATGGGATCACTGACTCAATACAACATGGGAAATGGGATCACTGACTCAATACAACATGGGGAGAAATGGGATCACTGACTCAATACAACATGGGGAGAAATGGGATCACTGACTCAATACAACATGGGGAGAAATGGGATCACTGACTCAATACAACACGGGAAATGGGATCACTGACTCAATACAACATGGGGAGAAATGGGATCACTGACTCAATACAACATGGGAAATGGGATCACTGACTCAATGTAACATGGGAAATAGGATCACTGACTCAATACAACATGGGAAATGGTTGCTTATGTGAAAGTTGGTCTGTTGCTATGGGTCAAACCGGTCTGTTGCTATGTGTCAAACAGGTCTGTTGCTATGGGTCAAACAGGTCTGTTGCTATGGGTCAAACAGGTCTGTTGCTATGGGTCAACCAGGTCTGTTGCTATGGGTCAAACCGGTCTGTTGCTATGTGTCAAACAGGTCTGTTGCTATGGGTCAAACAGGTCTGTTGCTATGGGTCAAACAGGTCTGTTGCTATGGGTCAAACAGGTCTGTTGCTATGGGTCAAACAGGTCTGTTGCTATGGGTCAAACCGGTGTATTGCTATGGGTCAAACAGGTCTGTTGCTATGGGTCAAACAGGTCTGTTGCTATGGGTCAAACAGGTGTATTGCTATGGGTCAAACAGGTCTGTTGCTATGGGTCAAACAGGTCTGTTGCTATGGGTCAAACAGGTCTGTTGCTATGGGTCAAACAGGTCTGTTGCTATGGGTCAAACAGGTCTGTTGCTATGGGTCAAACAGGTCTGTTGCTATGGGTCAAACAGGTCTGTTGCTATGGGTCAAACAGGACTGTTTGTGCAAATGTCCGACCTACTGGTGACATATAGTACGGGGTCCCAACATAAGTTCTGGCAAAACTTGTCTCATGATGCAGGACACGCGCCAGGCCAAAGTCTCCCAACTTGACGTTGGAATCTGTATCCAGGAAAACATTGGCAGGCTTCAAGTCTCTGTGGAGAACAGCCTGCCCATTTTTTCTTCTATGACATTCTCTCAGAGCTAGAGTCGTTTGGCTTAGGATTTTCCATGCAAATTCTTCAGTCACATGAGTTCTGAAATGTAGTAAAAATCTTGGTAATATTGGAAGAACAAACAAAATTTGTTGCTATCGTCATCCAACTGGCCTAAAGTATTTATAGACTGAGTAGAATGATGGTGCTGATGCCAGACAAACTGTTGAGGAAATAAACACTGCTTATATCCTCTTACAAAAGATGTGTATTTCATTGATTCAGTAACATTTCTTCAGTCTGATAAAATCATTATTTTCTTAGATGAACCCCAGTACTGGCACTAACCTCTAGCCCTAACCAAAAAATGCAAGTTTATTTTATCATTTGTTGACTGAAATAAGCACTTAGCAAGCAGTAAGTGATCTAAAGCTTTTCATAGACTGAGTGCAGAAGCAGCTGACCCATCTTTTCTGTGTCTGGCTATGATGGAGGCTAGGTCTCCACCTGGACAATATTCCATGATGATGTAAATGGTAGCTCTAGAGCGGTCAATAATTCTGTCGTGGTACTTGACAATATGCTTGTGGCGCAGCTCACGCAGCAGGTTGACCTCTGACACCAACATTTGTTTCTCTGACTCACTCATTGATCCATAGTCCATTTCCTTCCACACCAGAATCTGTCAAGTTAGTTGTACACGTCAGATGGTATGTCTAGTTGTACACGTCAGATGGTATGTCTAGTTGTACACGTCAGATGGTATGTCTAGTTGTATATGTCAGATGGTATGTCTAGTTGTACACGTCAGATGGTATGTCTAGTTGTATATGTCAGATGGTATGTCTAGTTGTACACATCAGATGGTATGTCTAGTTGTACACATCAGATGGTATGTCTAGTTGTACATGTCAGATGGTATGTCAAGTTGTACATGTCAGATGGTATGTCTAGTTGTACATGTCAGATGGTATGTCTAGTTGTACACGTCAGATGGTATGTCTAGTTGTACATGTCAGATGGTATGTCTAGTTGTACATGTCAGATGGTATGTCTAGTTGTACACATCAGATGGTATGTCTAGTTGTACATGTCAGATGGTATGTCTAGTTGTACATGTCAGATGGTATGTCTAGTTGTACATGTCAGATGGTATGTCTAGTTGTACATGTCAGATGGTATGTCTAGTTGTACACATCAGATGGTATGTCTAGTTGTACATGTCAGATGGTATGTCTAGTTGTACATGTCAGATGGTATGTCTAGTTGTACATGTCAGATGGTATGTCTAGTTGTACATGTCAGATGGTATGTCTAGTTGTACACATCAGATGGTATGTCTAGTTGTACACGTCAGATGGTATGTCTAGCTTTACCAGAGGTGGTATGCAGTTGTAAAATAGCTCTATGATAAAAATAACAAAACCTTCCCATCTCTCTTTCTTCTGATTTTCCTACAAGTTCCATACGATCCTGTTCCTATAGTGGATATCACGTCAAAATCTTCTAAACTTGCTGGCATTTTTTTGGAGCACGGTACCTGCTGAAAGGTTTTTTGTTTGAAAAGGTTTCAGTAATGGCTGTCACCATGTGAGAACATTGGTGCGCTTTATTTGAACTAATCTTTCATGGGTCAAACACTTATTTCAACTAATCTTTCATGGGTCAAACACTTATTTCAACTAATCTTTCATGGGTCAAACACTTATTTCAACTAATCTTTCATGGGTCAAACACTTATTTGAACTAATCTTTCATGGGTCAAACACTTATTTCAACTAATCTTTCATGGGTCAAACACTTATTTGAACTAATCTTTCATGGGTCAAACACTTATTTCAACTAATCTTTCATGGGTCAAACACTTATTTCAACTAATCTTTCATGGGTCAAACACTTATTTGAACTAATCTTTCATGGGTCAAACACTTATTTGAACTAATCTTTCATGGGTCAAACACTTATTTGAACTAATCTTTCATGGGTCAAACACTTATTTCAACTAATCTTTCATAGGTCAAACACTTATTTGAACTAATCTTTCATAGGTCAAACACTTATTTGAACTAATGTTACATAGGTCAAACACTTATTTGAACTAATCTTTCATAGGTCAAACACTTATTTGAACTAATCTTTCATAAGTCAAACACTTATTTGAACTAATCTTTCATAGGTCAAACACTTATTTGAACTAATGTTACATAGGTCAAACACTTATTTGAACTAATCTTTCATAGGTCAAACACTTATTTGAACTAATCTTTCATAGGTCAAACACTTATTTGAACTAATGTTACATAGGTCAAACCAAACACTTTCTCATCCATTAGATTCAAGTCATAGTTTAGCGCTACTAACATGACTTGAAGCCCTGCACCAAATTTTAACCCAGACATGAAGTTTAACCGAATCAGTAACTTAAACCCATATGTTTGAAAGACTTTCATTGATAACTTGTACTATACAAAGAACTGGCTGGATATAGATCTCATAATTTCACTCATCAGTCTTTCTGACAAGAAAGCTCTGCCGTCACAAGAAAACAGGAGGAAATAATCAAGTCAAAAGTTAAATGCTGGAAAAGTACAGCATTGATACTGATTGTCATGATAATAGAGACACGATTAGTTATTAAAAATTAATATAAAGATTATAGTCAATGATAAAAGTCTTAAAAGAGGAAATGACAATATTAATCACGAGCCGACCTGCGGCGTATCACATGCCGCTGTTTAGTTTTATTTTCTACTTTTCAGTAATTCATAATTTGTGAATTCGACAGTACCAAAGCTGCCACTGAAAATATTTGCTTTAAAACACTAAAACCCTCCTTTCCCCCAACCCAACCCCTCCCCAGTGAAAGCAGCCTCCTCTTAGTTACCTCCCCTAAGTTTAAAATAGTTTCAAACTAAATTATCTGCCCCTTATAGCCATCGCTAAACCCGTCTCTACAATCGTAAACATTTAGCGTGAACCAGAGCTCACCAGACCATATGGGGGTGGTAGCGATATGCCTAGAGAGGAAGAGAGGGGGCTGCTAGGCGCGCTTACAGTTACAGCTTGGTGTTTTCTAACGTCTCCAAGAAGATAATTATATATAGATAAATCACAAGTGAATACCTTGGTTTTAATGGTGAAGTGAACTATTCATCGAGGATGGTTGGTTGGTTGCCACAAGGTTGCAGATATTTGTCTTTTAATTATTGCAAGCTAGTTGTATGTGGTCACAACTTCATAAAGAACAAATTTCAAATTACTCATTTAAAGTAGAGAATAAAATAATAGTAAACCTTTTGAATAAGCTTTTAATGCAGAGAAAAAAATAAAACTTTCTTTCATAAAAAAAGCATTCTAGTAGTAAGGTTTTACTTTTTATAAGCCTATTTGTTTTATTATTAACTTCTTTAATACTTGTTACCCATACCATACTGGCAGCCATTATTCATATAAGCCATAAGGCTAGGGCCTACTCAATATGAAATTCTAATAATTTGTTAATAAAACCTACAACTACACTACTCACAACGTGAGAATACGTGAATTATTACTAGATCTACTACACATCACATATTTATGGAACACCCACAGCCTCCTCAGTCCGATCTAGTAGTATACAAAAAAATTTAATACCTAGGCCTATAGTATTAAATATAAATAATTAGTTACTAAACTATTCTATTACTAGGCCTATAGAATAGAGTTACATTTTATAGTAATATAGTCTAGTAGATCTATTACTACATTTTAAAAATCATTAGTCCTACTCCACTCATTTTACTGATTTTAGGACTTATTTCATCTTAATAATGTGATCTACATTAAACTTTATAGATCTACTACTAGAGTTAGATCGGAGCTGTTTATAGATTCTAGATCTAAATACTGAAAAGTATAATCCAAAATAAACAAGTTTTGACATGATGATCACGATTCACTTTCGAGATTTGATCATTTGACGTATTGAAGATTGTGTACTGTAGAGTCAGAGTACTGTAGTGCTAGATCTAGTCGTAATCTAGATAGTAGATCTATTTAAAAAATCTACTAATCTAGAGATCTAGATCAAACCTGTAACTTGAGATTCTTATCTGGGGGTTCTAACATTAAAAATCTTTGAAATAGTTATTTTGTGTCGAAGAAAAATGAGATTCTTGGCTTTCACTTATCAAAAGTTATTGAATCTTAAATTTCCCGCATAGGTCATGACCTATGACCTATTTAATCTCATTTGCACAGGAAAAAATACACAGGAAGAGGAGTTGGCACGTGACAGCTCAAAATGGCGATCTCCGTAGTTGAGTAAAATAGTAAATATTAGTAAATGTTAAAAAACAAATTTATTAAACAGACCTTGTTAAAGGATTAAAAATGATAAATAATAGAACTTACTTGGGAGCAGATTTAACAGTTTTCCAGCGTCTGGGCGATAGCATCTATACAAAATAGTGAAAATACAGAGCATATTCTACAATAAAAATATTTTAAAATTTTAAAATGGAAACTGAATACACAGTTCTAAATTTTTTGGACGATCACAATGATATCGAATGGAGGAAAAAAATTGAAGATTTAATCAAATATTTTTGTAACAATGTTTTTCTTGGACAATGGGAATTAGCTAGATGTGCAGTCCCCATTTTAAATGAGTCAAATGACGAATCATCAGAAAATATTGTGAAACCAGCAGCCAGCCCCAAAAATGATGATCTAGGCAACAAAGAAATAGAAAGGAATATGAATGCCAAGATCTTCACTAACATGCTTATTGATGTTACACAATACCCTTTTTCTCAAAGGTTTGATTTAAGGATTGATTTAAATTACATCACAGATATCCAATAATGCCACAATAATGGAATCTTTTAAAAATAAACCGGGAGTGATCTCCCCTAAACTATCTCGAATATTCTTATATAAAACAACAGGGGATGGGAACTCAGGATAGTTATGATTTTTAATCCATTTTAAATACTTAAACTTTTTAAAATAGAATAGAATCTCATAGAAAAAGAATTGCGCACCAAGTGAGCGCCAAATAAAGATGTTCATAATAGTGCGCAAAATTATTAGTACTTTATAAATTTACATGCGTTTTTTGAGAAATCGGAAATAGCGTAAATTAGTACTTCCGGTCAACGGAAATTACTCAAAATTTGACAGAAGGTAGAGAATTAGATCTTTTACTTACATGTGAAATTTCATTTATCTATCCGAAAATAGTACTCAAGTTATAGGCTTTTGAAAAATTCAAAATAGAAAAAGTACCACTTCTGGTTATTGGAAATCGCTCAAAAGTTGATACGGATCTACGATTTTGAAAAAATACTTATATATGAAATTTCATCAACCTAGCTGAAACGGTACTCAAGTTATCGTGTTTACACACAGAAACACACACAGACAGACAGACATACGGACAAGATTGCAAAATTATGTTTTTCCGTATCAGTGAGGTGTAAAACATTGAGATTTGTAAAAATCTCGATTTTTTTTTTTTTGCACGATTACAAGACTTTCTCTATACTTCGTATATACGAGAAAGTAAAAAGAGGTGTTTAAATGGGCAGTTGGTAGTAAACAAATTTTGAAATATAATGACTTCGTAATTTCAGCGCAAACCTTAACCCCTAGCTTAGCTGTAACCCTAATTAAATTAAATTAATTGCTGACCATAACACTTAACATGAGAGTACAATTCTACTAACAATCTAGCACACATGAGTCTATTGTTGGACATCAGTAAAATTAATACTTCCATTTGCACATTAAGGGGACACAGATTTGCTATTTTCCTGACCTACTTTTCTTTTCTTTTGGCTGTTTTTCTCAGTTCGCAGCTTTAAAACACTAAAAAGCCTACTAATACAACTTTTGTCACGAGGGAATTGTGATGGGTTTCATAAAAAGAAAAGTATTTGGTAATTAATATGCAAATTTTGAAACTTTTGAATACTAAAAAGGTTCAATATTTTAGACCTTGTAAAATTCTTACTAGTTACTATTTCAAAAAGTTGTCGTGACAAAAGTTTTAATATATATTGAAATATAAGCAGTTTAAATTTGATTGCTATAAGTACATAAATAAAAAAGCCTTAGCATTTTTAAAAGTACCAAAAATTCAAAATGGTGGGGTTTTTTTTGGGTTGCCATGATAATCAAAATTGTTTTCAACCATTTTTTGCTGTTTATACTTACTTTCATGTGCCAAACATGGTAATAGTATTCAAAAGCCTTTAGATTTTAAATTGTAAAAAATAGAAAAAACATCCCCTTAACATACGCTTAAGATTTAGTCAGTTACCTGTTTGTTTTAAAATTCATTATTATGTCAGTTGACAGGCCTAGGCTTAGAGTTGAGATGAGCTGTGTCAATGTGAGACACCTGTAAGATAACCAGTGTTATGTTAATAGCTTTTAATGTAAGAATTTACATTACTGTCTGCCACACAACAGCTACCAATAATTTTGTGATGCAAACACGTGTGATTACATTTTTTCTAGTACCAATGTGATTTGCCTATGGCCTGTCTGTCATAAATCTTTGTTTGTTAGTAAAGGGATAGGTAGAATTAGGGTTAATTTAATTAAAAATTATATTTGTCTTAATTTTGACCTCCTTCAATTATACCTGTAATATCCCAATAAAATGTAACTTCTTAATGAAATGCTTTCCAGCCTAGGCTCCAGAAGTGTGCCATCACCCCATCACTTGTCATGGCTGTGTATACTGGCACTGAACACAGGACGCTCTCTAAAGGTGTGGCCACCAACACATACATCACCTCCACCTCAGTGTACATCACCTCCACCAACACATACATCACCTCCACCAACACATACATCACCTCCACCAACACTTACATCACCTCCACCAACACATACATCACATCCACCAACACATACATCACCTCCACCAACACATACATCACCTCCACCAACACATACATCACCTCCACCAACACATCCATCACCTCCACCAACACATACATCACCTCCACCAACACATACATCACCTCCACCAACACATACATCACCTCCACCTCAGTGTACATCACCTCCACCAACACATACATCACATCCACCAACACATACATCACCTCCACCAACACATACATCACCTCCACCAACACATACATCACCTCCACCAACACATCCATCACCTCCACCAACACATACATCACCTCCACCAACACATACATCACCTCCACCAACACATACATCACCTCCACCAACACATACATCACCTCCACCAACACATCCATCACCTCCACCAACACATACATCACCTCCACCAACACATACATCACCTCCACCAACACATACATCACCTCCACCAACACATACATCACCACCACCAACACATACATCACCTCCACCAACACATACATCACATCCACCAACACATACATCACCTCCACCAACACATACATCACCTCCACCAACACATACATCACCTCCACCAACACATACATCACCTACACCAACACATACATCACCTCCACCTCGGCATACATCACCTCCACCAACACATACATCACCTCCACCAACACATACATCACCTCCACCTCAGTGTACATCACCTCCACCAACACATACATCACCTCCACCAACACATACATCACCTCCACCAACACATACATCACCTCCACCAGCACATACATCACCTCCACCAACACATACATCACCTCCACCAACACATACATCACCTCCACCAACACATACATCACCTCCACCAACACATACATCACCTCCACCAACACATACATCACCTCCACCAACACATACATCACCTCCACCAACACATACATCACCTCCACCAACACATACATCACCTCCACCTCAGCATACATCACCTCCACCAACACATACATCACCTCCACCAACACATACATCACCTCCACCAACACATACATCACCTCCACCAACACATACATCACCTCCACCTCAGCATACATCACCTCCACCAGCACATACATCACCTCCACCAACACATACATCACCTCCACCAACACATTCATCACCTCCACCTCAGCATACATCACCTCCACCTCAGCATACATCACCTCCACCTCAGCATACATCACCTCCACCAGCACATACATCACCTCCACCAACACATACATCACCTCCACCAACACATACATCACCTCCACCAACACATACATCACCTCCACCAACACATACATCACCTCCACCAACACATACATCACCTCCACCAACACTTACATCACCTCCACCAACACATACATCACCTCCACCAACACATACATCACCTCCACCTCAGCATACATCACCTCCACCTCAGCATACATCACCTCCACCAACACATACATCACCTCCACCAACACAAACATCATCTCCACCAACACATACATCACCTCCACCAACACATACATCACCTCCACCAACACATACATCACCTCCACCAACACATACATCACCTCCACCTCAGCATACATCACCTCCACCTCAGCATACATCACCTCCACCTCAGCATACATCACCTCCACCTCAGCATACATCACCTCCACCAACACATACATCACCTCCACCAACACATACATCACCTCCACCAACACATACATCACCTCCACCAACACATACATCACCTCCACCTCAGCATACATCACCTCCACCAACACATACATCACCTCCACCAACACATACATCACCTCCACCAACACATACATCACCTCCACCTCAGCATACATCACCTCCACCAGCACATACATCACCTCCACCAACACATACATCACCTCCACCAACACATACATCACCTCCACCAACACATACATCACCTCCACCAACACATACATCACCTCCACCTCAGCATACATCACCTCCACCAACACATACATCACCTCCACCAACACATACATCACCTCCACCAACACATACATCACCTCCACCAACACATACATCACCTCCACCTCAGCATACATCACCTCCACCAGCACATACATCACCTCCACCAACACATACATCACCTCCACCAACACATACATCACCTCCACCAACACATACATCACCTCCACCTCAGCATACATCACCTCCACCAACTCATACATCACCTCCACCTCAGCATACATCACCTCCACCAACACATACATCACCTCCACCAACACATACATCACCTCCACCAACACATACATCACCTCCACCAACACATACATCACCTCCACCAACACATACAACACCTCCACCTCAGCATACAACACCTCCACCAACACATACATCACCTCCACCAACACATACATCACCTCCACCAACACATACAACACCTCCACCTCAGCATACATCACCTCCACCTCAGCATACATCACCTCCACCAACACATACATCACCTCCACCAACACATACATCACCTCCACCTCAGCATACATCACCTCCACCTCAGCATACATCACCTCCACCAACACATACATCACCTCCACCAACACATACATCACCTCCACCTCAGCATACATCACCTCCACCAACACATACATCACCTCCACCAACACATACATCACCTCCACCTCAGCATACATCACCTCCACCAACACATACATCACCTCCACCAACACATACATCACCTCCACCTCAGCATACATCACCTCCACCTCAGCATACATCACCTCCACCAACACATACATCACCTCCACATCAGTATACATCACCTCCACCAACACATACATCACCTCCACCAACACATACATCACCTCCACCAACACATACATCACCTCCACCTCAGCATACATCACCTCCACCTCAGCATACATCACCTCCACCAACACATACATCACCTCCACATCAGTATACATCACCTCCACCAACACATACATCACCTCCACCAACACATACATCACCTCCACCAACACATACATCACCTCCACCTCAGCATACATCACCTCCACCAACACATACATCACCTCCACCAACACATACATCACCTCCACCAACACATACATCACCTCCACCAACACATACATCACCTCCACCAACACATACATCACCTCCACCAACACATACATCACCTCCACCAACACTTACATCACCTCCACCAATACATACATCACCTCCACCTCAGTATACATCACCTCCACCTCAGCATACAACACCTCCACCAACACATACATCACCTCCACCTACATTTTCAAAACTTACAACACATATTAAAATAACTCAGTTACAAGATTCTACGTCTAAAAATACATGCGTAAATGAATGCCTTATAAAATGTTGCTTCACTTTTGGTATATAACTTGCTGGCAGCTATATGCTGATGGGTATGCTAGTTGTAAATGCAGACAAGAATTCAATTTGTCTGTTTAGCAAATTCAAACAATTTGTTTGAGGGAGAGACTTGTATTCTAGATATCAATGGCCACAACATTTTACTGCCACCTAATTTTTTGTTGTCTTCTTCTTTCCACTTTTGATGATATAGGTGTCAGATGAGCTTTGTAAAGAAGTGGATTTTCGTTTGACACTTTCAAGTCTACAGGTTAATGATGTGTCTTTATGCCAGGTAAATAAAAACATTTAAGGCCTAACACATTTTTCTTTATACCAGGTAAACAAAAACATTCTAAGCCTACCAGATTTGTCTTTATGCCTGTAAACTAAAACATTCTAAGCCTAACACATCTTTATGCCAGGTAAACTAAAACATTCTAAGCCTACCACATTTGTCTTTATGCCAGGTAAACTAAAACATTCTAAGCCTACCACATTTGTCTTTATGCCAGGTAAACTAAAACATTCTAAGCCTAACACATCTTTATGCCAGGTAAACTAAAACATTCTAAGCCTACCACATTTGTCTTTATGCCAGGTAAACTAAAACATTCTAAGCCTACCACATTTGTCTTTATGCCAGGTAAACTAAAACATTCTAGGCCTACCACATTTGTCTTTATGCCAGGTAAACTAAAACATTCTAAGCCTGTAACACATTTGTCTTTATGCCAGGTAAACTAAAACATTCTAAGCCTACCACATTTGTCTTTATGCCAGGTAAACTAAAACATTCTAAGCCTGTAACACATTTGTCTTTATGCCAGGTAAACTAAAACATTCTAAGCCTACCACATTTGTCTTTATGCCAGGTAAACTAAAACATTCTAAGCCTAACACATCTTTATGCCAGGTAAACTAAAACATTCTAGGCCTACCACATTTGTCTTTATGCCAGGTAAACTAAAACATTCTAAGCCTGTAACACATTTGTCTTTATGCCAGGTAAACTAAAACATTCTAAGCCTACCACAGTTTCTGGTTAAGTCTTTGTCCCACTTTCTTGGCTCTGTGCTGGTCTCTAAACACAATCCTCATATCATCATAGTGTCTGTCTGCTCATGGTGTCTGTCTGCTCATGGTGTCTGTCAGCTGCTCATGGTGTCTGTCTGCTGCTCATGGTGTCTGTCCTGCTGCTCATGGTGTCTGTCTGCTCATGGTGTCTGTCAGCTCATGGTGTCTGTCAGCTGCTCATGGTGTCTGTCCTGCTGCTCATGGTGTCTGTCTGCTCATGGTGTCTGTCAGCTCATGGTGTCTGTCAGCTGCTCATGGTGTCTGTCTGCTGCTCATGGTGTCTGTCTGCTCATGGCATCTGTCTGCTCATGGTGTCTGTCCTGCTGCTCATGGTGTCTGTCCTGCTGCTCATGGTGTCTGTCCTGCTGCTCATGGTGTCTTTCCTGCTGCTCATGGCATCTGTCCTGCTGCTCATGGTGTCTGTCTGCTCATGGTGTCTGTCCTGCTGCTCATGGTGTCTGTCTGCTCATGGCATCTGTCTGCTCATGGTGTCTGTCCTGCTGCTCATGGTGTCTGTCCTGCTGCTCATGGTGTCTGTCCTGCTGCTCATGGCATCTGTCCTGCTGCTCATGGTGTCTGTCCTGCTACTCATGGTGTCTGTCTGCTCATGGTGTCTGTCTGCTCATGTCATCTGTCTGCTCATGGTGTCTGTCTGCTCATGGTGTCTGTCAGCTCATGGTGTCTGTCAGCTGCTCATGGTGTCTGTCCTGCTGCTCATGGTGTCTGTCTGCTCATGGTGTCTGTCAGCTCATGGTGTCTGTCAGCTGCTCATGGTGTCTGTCTGCTGCTCATGGTGTCTGTCTGCTCATGGCATCTGTCTGCTCATGGTGTCTGTCCTGCTGCTCATGGTGTCTGTCCTGCTGCTCATGGTGTCTGTCCTGCTGCTCATGGTGTCTGTCCTGCTGCTCATGGCATCTGTCCTGCTGCTCATGGTGTCTGTCTGCTCATGGTGTCTGTCCTGCTGCTCATGGTGTCTGTCTGCTCATGGCATCTGTCTGCTCATGGTGTCTGTCCTGCTGCTCATGGTGTCTGTCCTGCTGCTCATGGTGTCTGTCCTGCTGCTCATGGCATCTGTCCTGCTGCTCATGGTGTCTGTCCTGCTACTCATGGTGTCTGTCTGCTCATGGTGTCTGTCTGCTCATGTCATCTGTCTGCTCATGGTGTCTGTCTGCTCATGGTGTCTGTCTGCTCATGTTGTCTGTCCTGCTGCTCATGGTGTCTGTCCTTCTGCTCATGGCATCTGTCCTGCTGCTCATGGTGTCTGTCTGCTCATGGTGTCTGTCCTGCTGCTCATGGTGTCTGTCTGCTCATGGTGTCTGTCTGCTGCTCATGGTGTCTTTCCTGCTGCTCATGGTGTCTGTCTGCTCATGGTGTCTGTCCTGCTGCTCATGGCATCTGTCCTGCTGCTCATGGTGTCTGTCTGCTCATGGTGTCTGTCTGCTGCTCATGGTGTCTTTCCTGCTGCTCATGGTGTCTGTCTGCTCATGGTGTCTGTCTTCTCATGGTGTATGTCTGCTCATGGTGTATGTCTGCTCATGGTGTCTGTCCTGCTGCTCATGGCATCTGTCTGCTCATGGTGTCTGTCTGCTGCTCATGGTGTCTTTCCTGCTGCTCATGGCATCTGTCTGCTCATTGTGTCTGTCCTGCTGCTCATTGTGTCTGTCTGCTCATGGCATCTGTCCTGCTGCTCATGGTGTCTGTCTGCTCATGGCATCTGTCTGCTCATGGTGTCTGTCCTGCTGCTCATTGTGTCTGTCCTGCTGCTCATGGTGTCTGTCCTGCTGCTCATGGTGTCTGTCCTGCTGCTCATGGTGTCTGTCCTGCTGCTCATTGTGTCTGTCCTGCTGCTCATGGTGTCTGTCTGCTCATGGTGTCTGTCCTGCTGCTCATGGTGTCTGTCCTGCTGCTCATTGTGTCTGTCCTGCTGCTCATTGTGTCTGTCCTGCTGCTCTTGGTGTCTGTCCTGCTGCTCATGGTCTGTCCTGCTGCTCATTGTGTCTGTCCTGCTGCTCATGGTGTCTGTCTGCTCATGGTGTATGTCTCTCTTCTCTTGTTCAAAGTCGAAGAAATGTCTATTTTGCAGGAGTTGTACACCTGTTTTAAGACAAGTTTGCAGCAAGCTGCAAGTTATGGGTTGAATGCTGAATGCTCAGAAGTTTTAAAAAAAACACTGCAGCAGTCCCCAGCATTAGGTGATAGTCTCATCAGATCATTGATAGGCACTTCACACTCAGGCCCTAACTCATCTAATCCAAGTTTACAAGGTAATCCATCTAATCTAATCCATGTATCAGCTCCCACCCTCCAGATGTTCCTCATGTATCTGCCCCCCCCCCCCAAGAGCCAGATATTGTCCATGTATCTGCCCATGTATCTCCATGCCCTCCTGTATTCCCCCATGTATCACCTCCTGTATCACCCCTGTATCACTCCCTGTATCACACCATATATTACCTCCTGTATCACCCCCTGTATCACCTACTGTATCACCCCTTGTATCACCCCCTGTATCACCCCCTGTATCACCTCCTTTATCACCCCCTGTATCACCTCCTCTATCATTCCTTGTATTACTCCATGTATCACCCCTTGTATCACCCCCTGTATCACCCCCTGTATCACCTCCATGTATCACCCCTTGTATCACCCCCTGTATCACCCCCTGTATCACCTCCATGTATCACCCCTTGTGTCACCCAATGTATCACCTCCTGTATCACCCAATGTATCACCTCCTGTATCACCCCTTGTATCACCCCCTGTATCACCCCTTGTATCACCCCCTGTATCACCCCCTGTGTCACCCAATGTATCACCCCTTGTATCACCCCTTGTATCACCCCTGTAACACCCCTTGTATCGCCCCTTGTATCACCTCCTGTATCAGCCCATGTATCACCTGTGCCCTGTCTCCCCCCAGCCCTGTATTTGGAAAGTGTGTCAAGTTTGCAGGATGGTGAGAAGGTTTTGGAGATCTTGTCCTACTACAGCCCCGAGCCCTATCTCAACTACCTGCAGCTGCGGCAGCTGTTGACATGTCTTGTGACAGCGACCTTGAACCACGCTCTCCCAGGTGTCACTGTGGAAACATTGATGTCGGCCATGACAGGTCGCTCAACTTTCTACCTGCTAGAGGAGTTTAGCCAAATCTTTCAAGAGGTGGCCGCAGGCTGTAAAACTTGTTTGTTGGTCTGTCTATTGTTTGTGACATGTTATGACATGTTGGTGTATTCTGGGTGAGTGTTGTGACATGTTGTGACATGTTGGTGTATTCTAGGTGAGTGTTGTGACATGTTGTGACATGTTGGTGTATTCTAGGTGAGTGTTGTGACATGTTGGTGTATTCTAGGTGAGTGTTGTGACATGTTGTGACATGTTGGTGTATTCTGGGTGAGTGTTGTGACATGTTGTGACATGTTGGTGTATTCTAGGTGAGTGTTGTGACATGTTGGTGTATTCTAGGTGAGTGTTGTGACATGTTGTGACATGTTGGTGTATTCTAGGTGAGTCTTGTGACATGTTGTGACATGTTGGTGTATTCTAGGTGAGTGTTGTGACATGTTGGTGTATTCTAGGTGAGTGTTGTGACATGTTGTGACATGTTGGTGTATTCTAGGTGAGTGTTGTGACATGTTGGTGTATTCTAGGTGAGTGTTGTGACATGTTGGTGTATTCTAGGTGAGTGTTGTGACATGTTGTGACATGTTGGTGTATTCTAGGTGAGTGTTGTGACATGTTGTGACATGTTGGTGTATTCTGGGTGAGTGTTGTGACATGTTGGTGTATTCTAGGTAAGTGTTGTGACATGTTGTGACATGTTGGTGTATTCTAGGTGAGTGTTGTGACATGTTGTGACATGTTGGTGTATTCTAGGTGAGTGTTGTGACATGTTGGTGTATTCTAGGTGAGTGTTGTGACATGTTGGTGTATTCTAGGTGAGTGTTGTGACATGTTGGTGTATTCTAGGTGAGTGTTGTGACATGTTGTGACATGTTGGTGTATTCTAGGTGAGTGTTGTGACATGTTGTGACATGTTGGTGTATTCTAGGTGAGTGTTGTGACATGTTGGTGTATTCTAGGTGAGTGTTGTGACATGTTGGTGTATTCTAGGTGAGTGTTGTGACATGTTGGTGTATTCTAGGTGAGTGTTGTGACATGTTGGTGTATTCTAGGTGAGTGTTGTGACATGTTGTGACATGTTGGTGTATTCTAGGTGAGTGTTGTGACATGTTGTGACATGTTGGTGTATTCTAGGTGAGTGTTGTGACATGTTGGTGTATTCTAGGTGAGTGTTGTGACATGTTGTGACATGTTGGTGTATTCTAGGTGAGTGTTGTGACATGTTGGTGTATTCTAGGTGAGTGTTGTGACATGTTGTGACATGTTGGTGTATTCTAGGTGAGTGTTGTGACATGTTGTGACATGTTGGTGTATTCTAGGTGAGTGTTGTGACATGTTGGTGTATTCTAGGTGAGTGTTGTGACATGTTGTGACATGTTGGTGTATTCTAGGTGAGTGTTGTGACATGTTGTGACATGTTGGTGTATTCTAGGTGAGTGTTGTGACATGTTGGTGTATTCTAGGTGAGTGTTGTGACATGTTGGTGTATTCTAGGTGAGTGTTGTGACATGTTGGTGTATTCTAGGTGAGTGTTGTGACATGTTGGTGTATTCTAGGTGAGTGTTGTGACATGTTGGTGTATTCTAGGTGAGTGTTGTGACATGTTGGTGTATTCTAGGTGAGTGTTGTGACATGTTGTGACATGTTGGTGTATTCTAGGTGAGTCTTGTGACATGTTGTGACATGTTGGTGTATTCTAGGTGAGTGTTGTGACATGTTGTGACATGTTGGTGTATTCTAGGTGAGTCTTGTGACATGTTGTGACATGTTGGTGTATTCTAGGTGAGTGTTGTGACATGTTGGTGTATTCTAGGTGAGTGTTGTGACATGTTGGTGTATTCTAGGTGAGTGTTGTGACATGTTGGTGTATTCTAGGTGAGTGTTGTGACATGTTGTGACATGTTGGTGTATTCTAGGTGAGTCTTGTGACATGTTGGTGTATTCTGGGTGAGTGTTGTGACATGTTGTGACATGTTGGTGTATTCTAGGTGAGTGTTGTGACATGTTGGTGTATTCTAGGTGAGTGTTGTGACATGTTGTGACATGTTGGTGTATTCTAGGTGAGTCTTGTGACATGTTGGTGTATTCTGGGTGAGTGTTGTGACATGTTGTGACATGTTGGTGTATTCTAGGTGAGTGTTGTGACATGTTGGTGTATTCTAGGTGAGTGTTGTGACATGTTGTGACATGTTGGTGTATTCTAGGTGAGTGTTGTGACATGTTGGTGTATTCTGGGTGAGTGTTGTGACATGTTGTGACATGTTGGTGTATTCTAGGTGAGTCTTGTGACATGTTGGTGTATTCTGGGTGAGTGTTGTGACATGTTGTGACATGTTGGTGTATTCTAGGTGAGTGTTGTGACATGTTGTGACATGTTGGTGTATTCTAGGTGAGTGTTGTGACATGTTGTGACATGTTGGTGTATTCTGGGTGAGTGTTGTGACATGTTGTGACATGTTGGTGTATTCTAGGTGAGTGTTGTGACATGTTGGTGTATTCTAGGTGAGTGTTGTGACATGTTGTGACATGTTGGTGTATTCTAGGTGAGTCTTGTGACATGTTGGTGTATTCTGGGTGAGTGTTGTGACATGTTGTGACATGTTGGTGTATTCTAGGTGAGTGTTGTGACATGTTGGTGTATTCTGGGTGAGTGTTGTGACATGTTGTGACATGTTGGTGTATTCTAGGTGAGTGTTGTGACATGTTGGTGTATTCTTGGTGAGTTTTGTGACATGTTGGTGTATTCTAGGTGAGTGTTGTGACATGTTGTGACATGTTGGTGTATTCTAGGTGAGTGTTGTGACATGTTGGTGTATTCTTGGTGAGTGTTGTGACATGTTGTGACATGTTGGTGTATTCTAGGTGAGTCTTGTGACATGTTGGTGTATTCTAGGTGAGTGTTGTGACATGTTGGTGTATTCTTGGTGAGTTTTGTGACATGTTGGTGTATTCTAGGTGAGTGTTGTGACATGTTGGTGTATTCTAGGTGAGTGTTGTGAACCAGGGGAAAGATGATCTGAAGACCGAGGAAAGTTTTACTTTGCTGAGCATGACTGGTGTGGACAGGGACAAAGCTTGGAGAGATCACTTGACTTTCTGCTCCAGGAAGAGGCTTCACTTCATCACTGATCTTCTGGTAACATGATCTTGTGCTCATTTGATCTGCTGGTAACATGATCTTGTGCTCATTTGATCTGCTGGTAACATGATCTTGTGCTCATTTGATCTGCTGGTAACATGATCTTGTGCTCATTTGATCTGCTGGTAACATGATCTTGTGCTCATTTGATCTGCTGGTAACATGATCTTGTGCATATTTGATCTTCTGGTAACATGATCTTGTGCTCACTTGATCTTCTGGTAACATGATCTTGTGCTAATTTGATCTGCGGGTAACATGATCTTGTGCTCATTTGATCTGCTGGTAACATGATCTTGTGCTCATTTGATCTGCTGGTAACATGATCTTGTGCTCACTTGATCTTCTGGTAACATGATCTTGTGCTCATTTGATCTTCTGGTAACATGATCTTGTGCTCATTTGATCTGCTGGTAACATGATCTTGTGCTCATTTGATCTTCTGGTAACATGATCTTGTGCTCATTTGATCTGCTGGTAACATGATCTTGTGCTCATTTGATCTGCTGGTAACATGATCTTGTGCTCATTTGATCTTCTGGTAACATGATCTTGTGCTCATTTGATCTTCTGGTAACATGATCTTGTGCTCACTTGATCTTCTGGTAACATGATCTTGTGCTCATTTGATCTGCTGGTAACATGATCTTGTGCTCATTTGATCTGCTGGTAACATGATCTTGTGCTCATTTGATCTTCTGGTAACATGATCTTGTGCTCACTTGATCTTCTGGTAACATGATCTTGTGCTCACTTGATCTTCTGGTAACATGATCTTGTGCTCATTTGATCTTCTGGTAACATGATCTTGTGCTCATTTGATCTTCTGGTAACATGATCTTGTGCTCATTTGATCTTCTGGTAACATGATCTTGTGCTCATTTGATCTTCTGGTAACATGATCTTGTGCTCACTTGATCTGCTGGTAACATGATCTTGTGCTCATTTGATCTTCTGGTAACATGATCTTGTGCTCACTTGATCTTCTGGTAACATGATCTTGTGCTCATTTGATCTTCTGGTAACATGATCTTGTGCTCACTTGATCTTCTGGTAACATGATCTTGTGCTCACTTGATCTTCTGGTAACATGATCTTGTGCTCACTTGATCTTCTGGTAACATGATCTTGTGCTCAATTGATCTTCTGGTAACATGATCTTGTGCTCAATTGATCTTCTGGAAACATGATCTTGTGCTCATTTGATCTGCTGGTAACATGATCTTGTGCTCACTTGATCTTCTGGTAACATGATCTTGTGCTCAATTGATCTTCTGGTAACATGATCTTGTGCTCACTTGATCTTCTGGTAACATGATCTTGTGCTCACTTGATCTTCTGGAAACATGACATAAAAGCATGATGTACTTTGAAGATTTTCTTTGCTCTGTTGTTCATTAGGTACATGTAGCCAATGTTGATATTTGTGATGAGTTGATGTGACATTTGTCGTCTTTACCTCAGGATCTAAGCCTTGCCCTCGTCAAGGGAGGTAAGTTGCCAGAACTCCAGGAGCTGCTGAGTTATCCCGAGCTCCAGCCCCTCAAGAGTCTGGTGTTGCTGATGGGCTGGTCCCACTGTCTGACAACAGCTCAGGCCCAGATGTTAGTGGACACACTGTGGGATGACCAGGTACAGCAGCACCAACTGCTCCACTACTCCACCACAGCCCACCACTCCACCACAGGCCACCACTCCACCACAGCCCACCACTCCACCACAGCCCACCACTCCACCACAGCCCACCACTCCACCACAGCCCACCACTCCACCACAGCCCACCACTCCACCACAGCTCACCACTCCACCACAGCCCACCACTCTGCCACAGCCCACCACTCCGCCACAGCCCACCACTCCACCACAGCCCACCACTCCACCACAGCCCACCACTCCACCACAGCCCACCACTCCACCACAGCCCACCACTCCACCACAGCCCACCACTCCACCACAGCCCACCACTCCACCACAGCCCACCACTCCACCACAGCCCACCACTCCACCCACTCCACCACAGCCCACCACTCCGCCACAGCCCACCACTCCACCACAGCCCACCACTCCACCACAGCCCACCACTCCACCACAGCCCACCACTCCACCCACTCCACCACAGCCCACCACTCCACCACAGCCCACCACTCCACCCACTCCACCACAGCCCACCACTCCACCACAGCCCACCACTCCACCACAGCCCACCACTCCACCACAGCCCACCACTCCACCACAGCTCACCACTCCACCCACTCCACCACAGCCCACCACTCCACCCACTCCACCACAGCCCACCACTCCACCACAGCCCACCACTCCACCACAGCCCACCACTCCACCCACTCCACCACAGCCCACCACTCCGCCACAGCCCACCACTCCGCCACAGCCCACCACTCCGCCACAGCCCACCGCTCCACCACAGCCCACTACTCCACCCACTCCACCACAGCCCACCACTCCACCACAGCCCACCACTCCACCACAGCCCACCACTCCACCCACTCCACCACAGCCCACCACTCCGCCACAGCCCACCACTCCACCACAGCCCACCACTCCACCACAGCCCACCACTCCACCACAGCCCACCACTCCACCACAGCCCACCACTCCACCACAGCCCACCACTCCACCAAAGGCCACCACTCCACCACAGCCCACCACTCCACCACAGCCCACCACTCCACCACAGCTCACCACTCCACCCACTCCACCACAGCCCACCACTCTGCCACAGCCCACCACTCCGCCACAGCCCACCACTCCGCCACAGCCCACCACTCCACCACAGCCCACCACTCCACCACAGCCCTCCACAGCCCACCACTCCGCCACAACCCACCACTCCACCACAGCTCACCACTCCACCACAGCCCACCACTCCACCACAGCCCACCACTCCACCACAGCCCACCACTCCACCCACTCCACCACAGCCCACCACTCCACCACAGCCCACCACTCCGCCACAGCCCACCACTCCGCCACAGCCCACCGCTCCGCCACAGCCCACTACTCCACCCACTCCACCACAGCCCACCACTCCACCACAGCCCACCACTCCACCACAGCCCACCACTCCACCCACTCCACCACAGCCCACCACTCCACCACAGCCCACCACTCCACCACAGCCCACCACTCCACCACAGCCCACCACTCCACCACAGCCCACCACTCCACCACAGCCCACCACTCCACCACAGCCCACCACTCCACCAAAGGCCACCACTCCACCACAGCCCACCACTCCACCACAGCCCACCACTCCACCACAGCTCACCACTCCACCCACTCCACCACAGCCCACCACTCTGCCACAGCCCACCACTCCGCCACAGCCCACCACTCCGCCACAGCCCACCACTCCACCACAGCCCACCACTCCACCACAGCCCTCCACAGCCCACCACTCCGCCACAACCCACCACTCCACCACAGCCCACCACTCCACCACAGCCCACCACTCCACCACAGCCCACCACTCCACCAAAGGCCACCACTCCACCACAGCCCACCACTCCACCACAGCCCACCACTCCACCACAGCCCACCACTCCACCACAGCCCACCACGCCACCCACTCTCCGCCACAGCCCACCACAGCCCACCACTCCACCACAGCCCACCACTCCACCACAGCCCACCACTCCACCACAGCCCTCCACAGCCCACCACTCCGCCACAACCCACCACTCCACCACAGCTCACCACTCCACCACAGACCACCACAGCCGACCACTCCACCACAGCCCACCACTCCACCACAGCCCACCACTCCACCACATTCCACCATGCCACCCACTCTGCCACAGACCACCACAGCCCACCACTCCACCACAGCCCACCACTCCACCACATTCCACCACTCCACCCACTCCACCACAGCCCACCACTCCACCACAGCCCACCACTCCACCACAGCCCACCACTCCACCCACTCCGCCACAGACCACCACAGCCCACCACGCCACCCACTCCGCCACAGCCCACCACAGCCCACCACTCCACCACAGCCCACCACTCCACCACAGCCCACCACTCCACCACAGCCCACCACGCCACCCACTCCGCCACAGACCACCACTCCACTACAGCCCACCACTCCACCCACTCCACCACAGGCCACCACTCCACCCACTCCGCCACAGCCCACCACTCCGCCACAGCCCACCGCTCCACCACAGCCCACTACTCCACCCACTCCACCACAGCCCACCACTCCACCACAGCCCACCACTCCACCACAGCCCACCACTCCACCCACTCCACCACAGCCCACCACTCCGCCACAGCCCACCACTCCACCACAGCCCACCACTCCACCACAGCCCACCACTCCACCACAGCCCACCACTCCACCACAGCCCACCACTCCACCACAGCCCACCACTCCACCACAGCCCACCACTCCACCACAGCCCACCACTCCACCACAGCTCACCACTCCACCCACTCCACCACAGCCCACCACTCTGCCACAGCCCACCACTCCGCCACAGCCCACCACTCCGCCACAGCCCACCACTCCACCACAGCCCACCACTCCACCACAGCCCTCCACAGCCCACCACTCCGCCACAACCCACCACTCCACCACAGCTCACCACTCCACCACAGCCCACCACTCCACCACAGCCCACCACTCCACCACAGCCCACCACTCCACCCACTCCACCACAGCCCACCACTCCACCACAGCCCACCACTCCGCCACAGCCCACCACGCCGCCACAGCCCACCACTCCGCCACAGCCCACCGCTCCACCACAGCCCACTACTCCACCCACTCCACCACAGCCCACCACTCCACCACAGCCCACCACTCCACCACAGCCCACCACTCCACCCACTCCACCACAGCCCACCACTCCGCCACAGCCCACCACTCCACCACTCCACCACAGCCCACCACTCCACCACAGCCCACCACTCCACCACAGCCCACCACTCCACCACAGCCCACCACTCCACCACAGCCCACCACTCCACCAAAGGCCACCACTCCACCACAGCCCACCACTCCACCACAGCCCACCACTCCACCACAGCTCACCACTCCACCCACTCCACCACAGCCCACCACTCTGCCACAGCCCACCACTCCGCCACAGCCCACCACTCCGCCACAGCCCACCACTCCACCACAGCCCACCACTCCACCACAGCCCTCCACAGCCCACCACTCCGCCACAACCCACCACTCCACCACAGCCCACCACTCCACCACAGCCCACCACTCCACCACAGCCCACTACTCCACCCACTCCACCACAGCCCACCACTCCACCACAGCCCACCACTCCACCACAGCCCACCACTCCACCCACTCCACCACAGCCCACCACTCCGCCACAGCCCACCACTCCACCACTCCACCACAGCCCACCACTCCACCACAGCCCACCACTCCACCACAGCCCACCACTCCACCACAGCCCACCACTCCACCACAGCCCACCACTCCACCAAAGGCCACCACTCCACCACAGCCCACCACTCCACCACAGCCCACCACTCCACCACAGCTCACCACTCCACCCACTCCACCACAGCCCACCACTCTGCCACAGCCCACCACTCCGCCACAGCCCACCACTCCGCCACAGCCCACCACTCCACCACAGCCCACCACTCCACCACAGCCCTCCACAGCCCACCACTCCGCCACAACCCACCACTCCACCACAGCCCACCACTCCACCACAGCCCACCACTCCACCACAGCCCACCACTCCACCAAAGGCCACCACTCCACCACAGCCCACCACTCCACCACAGCCCACCACTCCACCACAGCCCACCACGCCACCCACTCTCCGCCACAGCCCACCACAGCCCACCACTCCACCACAGCCCTCCACAGCCCACCACTCCGCCACAACCCACCACTCCACCACAGCCCACCACTCCACCACAGCCCACCACTCCACCACAGCCCACCACTCCACCAAAGGCCACCACTCCACCACAGCCCACCACTCCACCACAGCCCACCACTCCACCACAGCCCACCACGCCACCCACTCTCCGCCACAGCCCACCACAGCCCACCACTCCACCACAGCCCACCACTCCACCACAGCCCACCACTCCACCACAGCCCTCCACAGCCCACCACTCCGCCACAACCCACCACTCCACCACAGCTCACCACTCCACCACAGACCACCACAGCCCACCACTCCACCACAGCCCTCCACAGCCCACCACTCCACCACAGCCCACCACTCCACCACAGCCCACCACTCCACCACAGCCCACCACTCCACCACAGCCCACCACTCCACCACAGCCCACCACTCCACCACAGCCCACCACTCCACCCACTCCGCCACAGACCACCACAGCCCACCACGCCACCCACTCCGCCACAGCCCACCACAGCCCACCACTCCACCACAGACCACCACTCCACCCACTCCACCACAGGCCACCACTCCACCCACTCCACCACAGCCCACCACTCCACCACAGCCCACCACTCCACCACAGGCCACCACTCCACCCACTCCACCACAGCCCACCACGCCACCCACTCCGCCACAGACCACCACTCCACTACAGCCCACCACTCCACCCACTCCACCACAGGCCACCACTCCACCCACTCCACCACAGCCCACCACTCCACCACAGCCCACCACTCCACCACAGCCCACCACTCCACCCACTCCACCACAGCCCACCACTCCACCCACTCCACCAGAGGCCACCATCCCATCTGAGTGCTGTATATTTTCAGGTTGACTCATACAACCAGGCTCTAGGCAACTCTTGTAGAAAACTGGCCCAGCATCTGGACCTGATACATTGGTGCATGGACAGAGCCAAGTAGGTCATACCACACAGCTAAGTAGGTCACATGGCACAGCTTAATAGGGCGGGAGCCGGACGTTTTCCCGAAAGACACTTGCCCGAATGCGACAAATGCCTGAATTGACACTTGCCCGAATGCGACAAATGCCCGAATGGACGCTTGCCCAAATGCGATAAATGCCCGAATGCCACTTGCCTGAAGGCCGTTTGCCCGAAAAATGTTAATATTAGATAATAAATAATATTACCAAATAAAGATTCTTTATCAATTTAAGTTTAAAATTTTGATAATAAACACAATTCTAAGCATAAAAACTAAGTTGTTTATAATTTAAAATTTTGCTTTTATTTTTTTTCAAAATTGAGAAGATTGTAAAAATCTTTATTCTCTAACAAATACCTAAATAGGTCACGTTGCAGTACATTTAAGTAGGTCACACAGCACCGATAATTAGGTCAGACTGAAACAGAGCTTAATATTAATACAAATCTGTGTGTGTGTGTGTTTTAGGCCTATCCTTCCTGGTGTGGGTGTGGCACTTACTTGTGTGTGTGTGTATGTTTTAGGCCTATCCTTCCTGGTGTGGGTGTGAGACTTACTTGTGTGTGTGTGTTTTAGGCCTATCCTTCCTGGTGTGGGTGTGGCACTTGTGTGTGTGTGTATGTTTTAGGCCTATCCTTCCTGGTGTGGGTGTGAGACTTACTTGTGTGTGTATGTTTTAGGCCTATCCTTCCTGGTGTGGGTGTGGCACTTGTGTGTGTGTGTATGTTTTAGGCCTATCCTTCCTGGTGTGGGTGTGAGACTTACTTGTGTGTGTGTGTTTTAGGCCTATCCTTCCTGGTGTGGGTGTGGGAGCACCAGTGTATGGCAGCCAGCTGTTGCAGGGGCTGGAGACGCACTCGGTGCTGCATGTGCTGCACCACTCGGCCAGCCTGACATCCCTGCACCACGCGGAGGTGCTGCAGCTTTTGACAAACACCTCCGCAGAAAAAAGTAGGTCATGTTTCTTGACTAGCAGAAAATAAAGTGTGATGTTTCTTGTCTAGCAGAAAATAAAGTGTAATGTTTCTTGTCTAGCAGAAAATAAAGTGTAATGTTTCTTGTCTAGCAGAAAATAAAGTGTGATGTGTTTTTGTCTAGCAGAAAATAAAGTGTAATGTTTCTTGTCTAGCAGAAAATAAAGTGTGATGTGTTTTTGTCTAGCAGAAAATAAAGTGTAATGTTTCTTGTCTAGCAGAAAATAAAGTGTAATGTTTCTTGTCTAGCAGAAAATAAAGTGTAATGTTTCTTGTCTAGCAGAAAATAAAGTGTAATGTTTCTTGTCTAGCAGAAAATAAAGTGTAATGTTTCTTGTCTAGCAGAAAATAAAGTGTAATGTTTCTTGTCTAGGGATTGAAAAGAAGAAAAAGAGTGTCCAGTTTGAAGATGAGCAAGCAGTTTTGTGCAGTGTGGATGTTGAGCAGCTAAAAGATGTGTCCACATTCCGTGGCTACTGCGCAGTCAAAAATGTCTTGGACGCGGCCTGGTTCTGTGGGCAGCAGGGGGACAAGCTGATGAACCCCGTCAGCATTCGGCGCTACAGTAGACACTTGGACAGGGCCTTTGAGCACCAGCTCAGCTCCAGTGAGGGGGAGGACTCATGCAGCCCTGGGGGGGAGAGACACGGCAGCAGCCCTGGGGTGGGTGGCGGGGAAGAGTTTGTCCAAAGCTACGACCTCAAAGTCAGCAAAAAGCTGAGGGAAGCAAAAGAAATGCTGTCATTGCTGCAACCTTTGAACTATCGTGTAGAGATTCTGGAGAATATCTTTTCAATTCTCTTTATTTCCTACCAAGACTTGATGGATGAAGCCCTAGATGTAGAGCTGGAGGAAGTGGTCCCTGACTGCACCAACACTTGTTCAGAAGAGGAGACACGCCAAACCAGAGCAACAGCATCCAGCACCCAGCATCCATCCAGCACATCCGCTGCTAGGCCGTTCAGCTTGGATTATGACATTCCATTTGTTGATCCACCATGTGGTGCCACACCCCATATGAGCCCAGCCCACCTTGCCCCTCCCCACTCAGCTGTGAGCCCCACCCCCGAGCAGGATGTCTCTCCCAAAAGCTGCAAGAAGAAAAAGCGAAGCCCCTCTACAGGTCCTGTCCTGACTGGCTTTGTGTTGAATGAATACTTGGTCCGCGACATCCTCCACCTGCTCAAAGATGCCATCTCAGACCTCAAGAGTGCCAGAATTCTTCTGACAGGCACAAAGAAGACTGGCCTTGACCCTGTGGCTGAAGACTTGCTCACCAAGAGCCAGGGCTGCAGTGTGCAGCCTGAAGACTTGCCCAAACGGCTGAGTAAGCTGACGCAGGCTGTGCATGAGGCCTGGTGGAGGTTCCAGCTGGTCAGTCACGAGGCCATCCCACGCCAGGCCTTTCACCTCTTGACTGAGAGGATTTACATCTCTGACCAGGAGCTCTACGTCCCCCCAGTCTGTGAGAGTAGACCCACCCACTCAGGTTAGAGGTTTCCAATAATAGTCCCGCAGTAGCTAGAGGCAGGTACAGGCCACAGCATGGAGGCTTGAACATTTCAGTTAAACTGCGCGTTTTATTTTCAGGAGCTGACAGACAAGGGACGGCGCTAGCAAGTAACATTGTTGAAAAAATGATTTCCTCCCCCCAAAGTTTACTGGTTCTCACATTGATGAAAGGCAGCCCGACCCAGGCAGCTCAAGTTATGAAGGTAGTTACAGCCATAGTTAAATCTGACTGGTATAAGCTGTGATATTGACTTTGTTCCCCAGTCAGTTTTATTCTTTCAGCTGTGATATTGACTTTGTTCCCCAGTCAGTTTTATTCTTTCAGCTGTGATATTGACTTTGTTCCCCAGTCAGTTTTATTCTTTCAGCTGTGATATTGACTTTGTTCCCCAGTCAGTTTTATTCTTTCAGCTGTGATATTGACTTTGTTCCCCAGTCAGTTTTATTCTTTCAGCTGTGATATTGACTTTGTTCCCCAGTCAGTTTTATTCTTTCAGCTGTGATATTGACTTTGTTCCCCAGTCAGTTTTATTCTTTCAGCTGTGATATTGACTTTGTTCCCCAGTCAGTTTTATTCTTTCAGCTGTGATATTGACTTTGTTCCCCAGTCAGTTTTATTCTTTCAGCTGTGATATTGACTTTGTTCCCCAGTCAGTTTTATTCTTTCAGCTGTGATATTGACTTTGTTCCCCAGTCAGTTTTATTCTTTCAGCTGTGATATTGACTTTGTTCCCCAGTCAGTTTTATTCTTTCAGCTGTGATATTGACTTTGTTCCCCAGTCAGTTTTATTCTTTCAGCTGTTCCATGTGACAGAGAAAAGTGCTGAAACCTGTGAAGTCAGTTTTGGTCAGGAGTTTCACACTTGTGCCAGCAAAATTTGGAACTTGGAGAGCGAGGCTAGAGAGAAGGCGCTAGTTGGAGTGGGCAAGCGGAGCATGAAGGCTCTCTCTAAGGCAGCATCAGTGGGCGTGGCCACGGCCACCCTGTCCAATCTGGTGGAGGAGCTGCTGGCCAGGCCCAGCCTGCCCCCTGTCCCGCGGCGCCAGCAGCTGGACGTGGTCTCTGTCCAGCTGCTAGAGCTGCTGTGTTGCTGGAGCAGGTCCTGGGAGTCCTGCTCCAACATGCTGGACATCTGCAAGGCCAAGACCACACTGCTGGACACTGACCCCAGGAGACCCCCCAGTGAGCAGCTGACCTCCCCCACTGTGGGGGTCAAAGCTTGTCTGGAGTTTGTCTGGTCCCTGTATGAGCTGATCCACTGCACTGAGAGCGGCCAGGACATCCAGCAGCTGCTGCACTCAGCGCTCTCAACCTTCTCAGTCCCAGGCCTCAGGGACTTCGCCATTGCCTCCCTAGAGACCAGAAGGTCAGTGGAGCGCGTCCAGGCTATCCTCTCTTGTCAACACCACCTAGATATTCCACATGATGAAACGGCTGCCTCCCCCAGGGGAAGTGCTTCTAGTTGTAAGTAGAGTTGTGGTCATAGTGTCATCTAGATTGTGTGAGCTCATGATTGTGTGAGCACACAATTGTGTGAGCACATGACTGTGCGCTCATGACTGTGTGAGCTCATGACTGTGTGAGCACATGATTGTGTGAGCTCATGACTGTGTGAGCACAAGATAGTGTGAGCACACAATTGTGTGAGCACATGACTGTGTGAGCACATGATTGTGTGAGCACATGATCGTGTGAGCACACAATTGTGTGAGCACATGACTGTGTGAGCACACAATTGTGTGAGCACCTGACTGTGTGAGCTCATGACTGTGTGAGCTCATGACTGTGTGAGCTCATGACTGTGTGAGCTCATGACTGTGTGAGCTCATGACTGTGTGAGCACACAATTGTGTGAGCACATGACTGTGTGAGCTCATGATTGTGTGAGCACATGATTGTGTGAGCACATGATTGTGTGAGCACACAATTGTGTGAGCACATGATTGTGTGAGCACATGACTGTGTGAGCACATGACTGTGTGAGCACACAATTGTGTGAGCACATGATTGTGTGAGCACATGACTGTGTGAGCACATGATTGTGTGAGCACACAATTGTGTGAGCACATGACTGTGTGAGCACATAATTGTGTGAGTACACAATTGTGTGAGCACATGACTGTGTGAGCACATAATTGTGTGAGCACATGATTGTGAGCACATGACTGTGTGAGCACATGATTGTGTGAGCACACAATTGTGTGAGCACATGACTGTGTGAGCACATAATTGTGTGAGCACATGATTGTGAGCACATGACTGTGTGAGCACATGATTGTGTGAGCACATGATTGTGAGCACATGACTGTGTGAGCACATAATTGTGTGAGCACATGATTGTGAGCACATGACTGTGTGAGCACATGATTGTGTGAGCACATGATTGTGTGAGTCTGTGATTGTCCCCAGTGTCTGGCAGTGACTCCAGCAGGTCTAGATGCAGCGTGGAGGTGAAGCTGGAGACAGACAAGAACCAGCTGCATGCAGCCATCAAACAGCTCATGTACACCATGGAGAAGTTTGTGCCAGCTGTTGGCCTGACCCAGCTGCTTCACAGGTAGGTCATACTGGCCCATGGGAATCATGAAAACCTGAGGCCTACTGGCCCAAGGGAATCAAGAAAACCCCTAACTTCAGCATCAATAAAAGCCCACCTACTTCCATCTCTGTCAGAAGCAACAAAAGCCCATCTACCTCCCCCTCTATCAACAGCAACAAAAGCCCATCTACCTCCCCCTCTATCTGCAGCAACAAAAGCCCACCTACCTTCAAGAACTACCTGCTAAGTTTGTACAAACACGCCAAAGAGATGACCAACCTGCTGGCAGAGTCTGAGGGATTAAGTCAAGGTTAGCCACTCCCTGACTTTTTCAAACATTCATAGTTTCACCACTCCCTGACTTTTTCAAACATTCATAGTTTCACCACTCCCTGACTTTTTCATAGTTTCACCACTCCATGACTTTTTCATAGTTTCACCACTCCCTGACTTTTTCATAGTTTCACCACTCCCTGACTTTTTCATAGTTTCACCACTCCCTGACTTTTTCATAGTTTCACCACTCCCTGACTTTTTCATAGTTTCACCACTCCCTGACTTTTTCATAGTTTCACCACTCCCTGACTTTTTCATAGTTTCCTCACTCCCTGACTTTTTCATAGTTTCACCACTCCCTGACTTTTTCATAGTTTCACCACTCCCTGACTTTTTCATAGTTTCACCACTCCCTGACTTTTTCATAGTTTCCTCACTCCCTGACTTTTTCATAGTTTCACCACTCCCTGACTTTTTCATAGTTTCACCACTCCCTGACTTTTTCATAGTTTCACCACTCCCTGACTTTTTCAAACATTCATATTTTCACCACTCCCTGAAAATAAGAAATAAAACTAATCTGATTTCTTTCTTAAAAGAGTTTGTCACTAAAATATGTAAAATCTCATGAGCGACCATTGCCATTTAATTGTTTCAATTTGCCACAAACCTACAAACATTTAAAATTTCATTTAAAAGGTTGTTTCTATAAAGGTTTTTTTTTCTGGCACAATTAAAATATTTGCTTTGAAACATGTGATAGCTGAAAGCCCAGTGAAAGCAGCCATCCGTACATGTGATATCTGAAAGCCCAGTGAAAGCAGCCATCCATACATGTGATATATGAAAGCCCAGTGAAAGCAGCCATCCATACATGTGATATCTGAAAGCCCAGTGAAAGCAGCCATCCATACATGTGATATATGAAAGCCCAGTGAAAGCAGCCATCCATACATATGATATCTGAAAGCCCAGTGAAAGCAGCCATCCATACATGTGATCCCAGTGAAAGCAGCCATCCATACATGTGATCCCAGTGAAAGCAGCCATCCATACATGTGATATCTGAAAGCCCATTGAAAGCAGCCATCCATACATGTGATATCTGAAAGCCCATTGAAAGCAGCCATCCATACATGTGATATCTGAAAGCCCATTGAAAGCAGCCATCCGTACATGTGATATCTGAAAGCCCAGTGAAAGCAGCCATCCATACATGTGATCCCAGTGAAAGCAGCCATCCGTACATGTGATAGCTGAAAGCCCATTGAAAGCAGCCATCCGTACATGTGATATCTGAAAGCCCAGTGAAAGCAGCCATCCGTACATGTGATATCTGAAAGCCCAGTGAAAGCAGCCATCCATACATGTGATCCCAGTGAAAGCAGCCATCCATACATGTGATATCTGAAAGCCCAGTGAAAGCAGCCATCCGTACATGTGATATCTGAAAGCCCAGTGAAAGCAGCCATCCATACATGTGATCCCAGTGAAAGCAGCCATCCGTACATGTGATAGCTGAAAGCCCATTGAAAGCAGCCATCCGTACATGTGATATCTGAAAGCCCAGTGAAAGCAGCCATCCGTACATGGGATATATGAAAGCCCAGTGAAAGCAGCCATCCATACATATGATATCTGAAAGCCCAGTGAAAGCAGCCATCCATACATGTGATATATGAAAGCCCAGTGAAAGCAGCCATCCATACATATGATATCTGAAAGCCCAGTGAAAGCAGCCATCCATACATGTGATCCCAGTGAAAGCAGCCATCCATACATGTGATCCCAGTGAAAGCAGCCATCCATACATGTGATATCTGAAAGCCCATTGAAAGCAGCCATCCATACATGTGATATCTGAAAGCCCATTGAAAGCAGCCATCCATACATGTGATATCTGAAAGCCCATTGAAAGCAGCCATCCGTACATGTGATATCTGAAAGCCCAGTGAAAGCAGCCATCCATACATGTGATCCCAGTGAAAGCAGCCATCCGTACATGTGATAGCTGAAAGCCCATTGAAAGCAGCCATCCGTACATGTGATATCTGAAAGCCCAGTGAAAGCAGCCATCCGTACATGTGATATCTGAAAGCCCAGTGAAAGCAGCCATCCATACATGTGATCCCAGTGAAAGCAGCCATCCGTACATGTGATAGCTGAAAGCCCATTGAAAGCAGCCATCCGTACATGTGATATCTGAAAGCCCAGTGAAAGCAGCCATCCATACATGTGATATCTGAAAGCAGCCATCCGTACATGTGATATCTGAAAGCCCAGTGAAAGCAGCCATCCGTTACCGTATTGTACATGAGACAGCAAACTCTTCATCTTGTTAATTTCCATTAATTTCCAATTGTTTAAAACTTTATTATCTGCCCCTAATAGCATTCACTAGATCGACCTGCTCTACTGTTGTAAATATTCTCATTAACAACAGTCCACCACACTGTTAGGGTAATCGCATCTAGCTAGTTATCTCACCTTTTGTTATTGAATATAGTCATCTATTGAGTGAATTAATTTTGTTATCTCCCTTTAATTACGAAACCACTTAATTAATTTTTAATGACTAATTAAAAAAATAATCATTTAAAAAACAAAGATGTAATTGAATGGTCATTAAAGTGGAACAAAATGGCTGCATTAGAAGTGGGTCAAAACAAGATTTGCCACAATCAAACAAACAAGCAAACAAGCTTGTATAAAATATTGCATCAAAATATGAAATATCCACCGAAACAATGTTTATAATTGTAACAGCTTAAGACAATTTTTCCCCAGAAGTTTCAAGCAACTATTTCCAAGTCTTAGAGGAAGGTCCAATCAAGATTTTAGGGCGACTCCTGTTTGTCCGAAAGATGCCACCAGCCAGGTAACCCTTGCCAGAACAGTTGGCTTTGTTTACAGGCTCGTGTTGCCAGAACAATTGGCTTTGTTTACAGACTCATGTTGCCAGAACAATTGGCTTTGTTTACAGACTCATGTTGCCAGAACAATTGGCTTTGTTTACAGGCTCATGTTGCCAGAACAATTGGCTTTGTTTACAGGCTCATGTTGCCAGAACAATTGGCTTTGTTTACACTTACAGACAGACCTCAAGACCAAACCATCCAAATAAATAGGGTAGGGCCATAAATGAACAACCTGCACCAGAAAGTAAAATGAGGGAAAATTCCTGCATCAAGTTAGATCTGGCTGGAACAAAAAAATGCTGGAAAGAAAAAAAAAATGGCTGGACCTGCAACGTGTTCTTAGCATACCTCCCCCCCCCCCCCCCAAAATTTTCTCTTACATCATAGTTAAGTTTACACACATACACACACTCATATACTCATATATATACATATATTTATACACACATATATATATATATATATATATATATGTAACAGCAAGTGACTAGCCTGTGTGACAGCAAGTGACTAACCTGTGTATTCTGATGGTGACTAACCTGTGCCTGTACTTCCCCAGACTTGAGCCTGTAGCTGAGAAATTGAGTCTAAATTTGACCCACACCATTGTCTACACCTGTTGTCCCAAGATTCCAAGCCGGAGGCATCACTGGTCAGACGGTCAGTTAGACACTTATTCTGGTCAGATGGTCAGTTAGACACTTATTCTGGTCAGATGGTCAGTTAGACACTTATTCTGGTCAGATGGTTAGTTAGACACTTATTCTGGTCAGATGGTCAGTTAGACACTTATTCTGGTCAGATGGTCAGTTAGACACTTATTCTGGTCAGATGGTAAGTTAGACACTTATTCTGGTCAGATGGTCAGTTAGACACTTATTCTGGTCAGATGGTCAGTTAGACACTTATTCTGGTCAGATGGTCAGTTAGACACTTATTCTTGTCAGATGGTCAGTTAGACACTTATTCTGGTCAGATGGTCAGTTAGACACTTATTCTGGTCAGATGGTCAGTTAGACACTTATTCTGGTCAGATGGTCAGTTAGACACTTATTCTGGTCAGTTAGACACTTATTCTGGTCAGATGGTAAGTTAGACACTTATTCTGGTCAGATGGTCAGTTAGACACTTATTCTGGTCAGATGGTCAGTTAGACACTTATTCTGGTCAGATGGTCAGTTAGACACTTATTCTGGTCAGACGGTCAGTTAGACACTTATTCTGGTCAGATGGTCAGTTAGACACTTATTCTGGTCAGATGGTCAGTTAGACACTTATTCTGGTCAGATGGTCAGTTAGACACTTATTCTGATCAGATGGTCAGTTAGACACTTATTCTGGTCAGATGGTCAGTTAGACACTTATTCTGGTCAGATGGTCAGTTAGACACTTATTCTGGTCAGATGGTCGGTTAGACACTTATTCTGGTCAGATGGTCAGTTAGACACTTATTCTGGTCAGATGGTCAGTTAGACACTTATTCTGGTCAGATGGTCAGTTAGACACTTATTCTGGTCAGACGGTCAGTTAGACACTTATTCTGGTCAGATGGTCAGTTAGACACTTATTCTGGTCAGATGGTCAGTTAGACACTTATTCTGGTCAGATGGTCAGTTAGACACTTATTCTGATCAGATGGTCAGTTAGACACTTATTCTGGTCAGATGGTCAGTTAGACACTTATTCTGGTCAGATGGTCAGTTAGACACTTATTCTGGTCAGATGGTCAGTTAGACACTTATTCTGGTCAGTTAGACACTTATTCTGGTCAGATGGTCAGTTAGACACTTATTCTGGTCAGATGGTCAGTTAGACACTTATTCTGGTCAGATGGTTAGTTAGACACTTATTCTGGTCAGATGGTCAGTTAGACACTTATTCTGATCAGATGGTCAGTTAGACACTTATTCTGGTCAGATGGTAAGTTAGACACTTATTCTGGTCAGATGGTCAGTTAGACACTTATTCTGGTCAGATGGTCAGTTAGACACTTATTCTGGTCAGATGGTCAGTTAGACACTTATTCTGATCAGATGGTCAGTTAGACACTTATTCTGGTCAGATGGTCAGTTAGACACTTATTCTGGTCAGATGGTCAGTTAGACACTTATTCTGGTCAGATGGTCAGTTAGACACTTATTCTGGTCAGATGGTCAGTTAGACACTTATTCTGGTCAGACGGTCAGTTAGCCACTTATTCTGGTCAGATGGTCAGTTAGACACTTATTCTGGTCAGATGGTCAGTTAGACACTTATTCTGGTCAGATGGTCAGTTAGACACTTATTCTGGTCAGATGGTCAGTTAGACACTTATTCTGGTCAGATGGTCAGTTAGACACTTATTCTGGTCAGATGGTCAGTTAGACACTTATTCTGGTCAGATGGTCAGTTAGACACTTATTCTGGTCAGATGGTCAGTTAGACACTTATTCTGGTCAGACGGTCAGTTAGACACTTATTCTGGTCAGATGGTCAGTTAGACACTTATTCTGGTCAGATGGTCAGTTAGACACTTATTCTGGTCAGATGGTCAGTTAGACACTTATTCTGATCAGATGGTCAGTTAGACACTTATTCTGGTCAGATGGTCAGTTAGACACTTATTCTGGTCAGATGGTCAGTTAGACACTTATTCTGGTCAGATGGTCAGTTAGACACTTATTCTGGTCAGTTAGACACTTATTCTGGTCAGATGGTCAGTTAGACACTTATTCTGGTCAGATGGTCAGTTAGACACTTATTCTGGTCAGATGGTTAGTTAGACACTTATTCTGGTCAGATGGTCAGTTAGACACTTATTCTGATCAGATGGTCAGTTAGACACTTGTTCTGGTCAGACGGTCAGTTAGCCACTTATTCTGGTCAGATGGTCAGTTAGACACTTATTCTGGTCAGATGGTCAGTTTGACACTTATTCTGGTCAGATGGTCAGTTAGACACTTATTCTGGTCAGATGGTCAGTTAGACACTTATTCTGGTCAGATGGTTAGTTAGACACTTATTCTGGTCAGATGGTCAGTTAGACACTTATTCTGGTCAGATGGTCAGTTAGACACTTATTATGGTCAGTTAGACACTTATTCTGGTCAGATGGTCAGTTAAGACACTTATTCTGGTCAGATGGTCAGTTAGACACTTATTCTGGTCAGATGGTTAGTTAGACACTTATTCTGGTCAGATGGTCAGTTAGACACTTATGCTGGTCAGATGGTCAGTTAGACACTTATTCTGGTCAGATGGTCAGTTAGACACTTATTCTGGTCAGATGGTCAGTTAGACACTTATTCTGGTCAGATGGTCAGTTAGACACTTATTCTGGTCAGATGGTCAGTTAGACACTTATTCTGGTCAGATGGTCAGTTAGACACTTATTCTGGTCAGATGGTTAGTTAGACACTTATTCTGGTCAGATGGTCAGTTAGACACTTATTCTGGTCAGATGGTCAGTTAGACACTTATTCTGGTCAGATGGTAAGTTAGACACTTATTCTGGTCAGATGGTCAGTTAGACACTTATTCTGGTCAGATGGTCAGTTAGACACTTATTCTTGTCAGATGGTCAGTTAGACACTTATTCTGGTCAGTTAGACACTTATTCTGGTCAGACGGTCAGTTAGACACTTATTCTGGTCAGATGGTCAGTTAGACACTTATTCTGGTCAGATGGTCAGTTAGAAACTTATTCTGGTCAGACGGTCAGTTAGACACTTATTCTGGTCAGATGGTCAGTTAGACACTTATTCTGGTCAGACGGTCAGTTAGACACTTATTCTGGTCAGATGGTCAGTTAGACACTTATTCTGGTCAGATGGTCAGTTAGACACTTATTCTGGTCAGATGGTTAGTTAGACACTTATTCTGGTCAGATGGTCAGTTAGACACTTATTCTGGTCAGATGGTCAGTTAGACACTTATTCTGGTCAGATGGTCAGTTAGACACTTATTCTGGTCAGATGGTCAGTTAGACACTTATTCTGGTCAGATGGTCAGTTAGACACTTATTCTGGTCAGATGGTCAGTTAGACACTTATTCTGGTCAGATGGTCAGTTAGACACTTATTCTGGTCAGATGGTCAGTTAGACACTTATTCTGGTCAGATGGTCAGTTAGACACTTATTCTGGTCAGATGGTTAGTTAGACACTTATTCTGGTCAGATGGTCAGTTAGACACTTATTCTGGTCAGATGGTCAGTTAGACACTTATTCTGGTCAGATGGTCAGTTAGACACTTATTCTGGTCAGATGGTCAGTTAGACACTTATTATGGTCAGTTAGACACTTATTCTGGTCAGATGGTCAGTTAGACACTTATTATGGTCAGTTAGACACTTATTCTGGTCAGATGGTCAGTTAGACACTTATTATGGTCAGTTAGACACTTATTCTGGTCAGATGGTCAGTTAGACACTTATTCTGGTCAGATGGTCAGTTAGACACTTATTCTGGTCAGATGGTCAGTTAGACACTTATTCTGGTCAGATGGTCAGTTAGACACTTATTCTGGTCAGTTAGACACTTATTCTGGTCAGATGGTCAGTTAGACACTTATTCTGGTCAGATGGTCAGTTAGACACTTATTCTGGTCAGATGGTCAGTTAGACACTTATTCTGGTCAGATGGTCAGTTAGACACTTATTCTGGTCAGATGGTTAGTGAGACACTTATTCTGGTCAGATGGTCAGTTAGACACTTATTCTGGTCAGATGGTCAGTTAGACACTTATTCTGGTCAGATGGTCAGTTAGACACTTATTCTGGTCAGATGGTCAGTTAGACACTTATTCTGGTCAGATGGTCAGTTAGACACTTATTCTGGTCAGATGGTCAGTTAGACACTTATTCTGGTCAGATGGTCAGTTAGACACTTATTCTGGTCAGACGGTCAGTTAGACACTTATTCTGGTCAGATGGTCAGTTAGACACTTATTCTGGTCAGATGGTCAGTTAGACACTTATTCTGGTCAGATGGTCAGTTAGACACTTATTCTGGTCAGATGGTCAGTTAGACACTTATTCTGGTCAGATGGTCAGTTAGACACTTATTCTGGTCAGATGGTCAGTTAGACACTTATTCTGGTCAGTTAGACACTTATTCTGGTCAGATGGTCAGTTAGACACTTATTCTGGTCAGATGGTCAGTTAGACACTTATTCTGGTCAGATGGTCAGTTAGACACTTATTCTGGTCAGTTAGACACTTATTCTGGTCAGTTAGACACTTATTCTGGTCAGATGGTCAGTTAGACACTTATTCTGGTCAGTTAGACACTTATTCTGGTCAGACGGTCAGTTAGACACTTATTCTGGTTAGATGGTCAGTTAGACACTTATTCTGGTCAGATGGTCAGTTAGACACTTATTCTGGTCAGACGGTCAGTTAGACACTTATTCTGGTCAGATGGTCAGTTAGACACTTATTCTGGTCAGATGGTCAGTTAGACACTTATTCTGGTCAGATGGTCAGTTAGACACTTATTCTGGTCAGATGGTCAGTTAGACACTTATTCTGGTCAGATGGTCAGTTAGACACTTATTCTGGTCAGTTAGACACTTATTCTGGTCAGATGGTCAGTTAGACACTTATTCTGGTCAGATGGTCAGTTAGACACTTATTCTGGTCAGTTAGACACTTATTCTGGTCAGATGGTCAGTTAGACACTCATTCTGGTCAGATGGTCAGTTAGACACTTATTCTGGTCAGATGGTCAGTTAGACACTTATTCTGGTCAGATGGTCAGTTAGACACTTATTCTGGTCAGATGGTCAGTTAGACACTTATTCTGGTCAGACGGTCAGTTAGACACTTATTCTGGTCAGATGGTCAGTTAGACACTTATTCTGGTCAGATGGTCAGTTAGACACTTATTCTGGTCAGATGGTCAGTTAGACACTTATTCTGGTCAGATGGTCAGTTAGACACTTATTCTGGTCAGATGGTCAGTTAGACACTTATTCTGGTCAGATGGTCAGTTAGACACTTATTCTGGTCAGATGGTTAGTTAGACACTTATTCTGGTCAGATGGTCAGTTAGACACTTATGCTGGTCAGATGGTCAGTTAGACACTTATTCTGGTCATAAAACAAATGCTCATGCACTAAAAACTTTTATTGAAATATTCTTGAATTGCAGGTCAGAGTGGAGCATCCAACATGTCTAATGGTACAACATCCAACTTGTCAGATGGTAGAACATCCATCATGTCAGATGGTACAACATCCATCATGTCAAATGGCACAGTGTCCACAAATGTACATCCAGAGAAACTTGTTGGACACATTTTGAAACAGTTGATCAAAGCAATGAAAAGTAAGATGTTTTAATATCTTGTTGCAGAAGAATTTCATTGGGACTAACGAGTCCAGTGCCATTTAATTGTTCCAGGTGTGACTAATGAGTCCAGTGCCATTTAATTGTTTCAGGTGTGACTAACGAGTCCAGTGCCATTTAATTGTTTCAGGTGTGACTAACGAGTCCAGTGCCATTTAATTGTTCCAGGTGTGACTAATGAATCCAGTGCCATTTAATTGTTCCAGGTGTGACTAATGAGTCCAGTGCCATTTGTTTCAGGTGTGACTAATGAGTCCAGTGCCATGTTTGACCTGGCATCTGCCCGCCGCCTGCTGACACTGGAGTGTTATGCTGACATCGTCCACCAGACCAGCCTGCTGCAGGTCGTTGACCTGACTCTGCTCCAGTCCCAGCAGGAGAGCCTGTGTTTTTTTGTCAACCTGTTCAATCTCATGATGCTTCATTGTCACTTGTCTCATCTCACACACCAGGTAAATGTCACCTGTCTCACCTCACACACCAGGTAAATGTCACCTGTCTCACCTCACACACCAGGTAAATGTCACCTGTCTCACCTCACACACCAGGTAAATGTCACCTGTCTCACCTCACACACCATGTAAATGTCACCTGTCTCACCTCACACACCAGGTAAATGTCACCTGTCTCACCTCATACACCAGGTAAATGTCAACCTGTTCAATCTCATGATGCTTCACTGTCACCTGTCTCACCTCACACACCAGGTAAATGTCACCTGTCTCACCTCACACACCAGGTAAATGTCACCTGTCTCACCTCACACACCAGGTAAATGTCAACCTGTTCAATCTCATGATGCTTCACTGTCACCTGTCTCACCTCACACACCAGGTAAATGTCACCTGTCTCACCTCACACACCAGGTAAATGTCACCTGTCTCACCTCACACACCATATAAATGTCACCTGTCTCACCTCACACACCAGGTAAATGTCACCTGTCTCACCTCACACACCAGGTAAATGTCACCTGTCTCACCTCACACACCAGGTAAATGTCACCTGTCTCACCTCACACACCATATAGATGTCACCTGTCTCACCTCACACACAAGGTAAATGTCACCTGTCTCACCTCACACACCATATAGATGTCACCTGTCTCACCTCACACACCATATAGATGTCACCTGTCTCACCTCACACACCAGGTAAATGTCACCTGTCTCACCTCACACACCATATAGATGTCACCTGTCTCACCTCACACACAAGGTAAATGTCACCTGTCTCACCTCACACACCAGGTAAATGTCACCTGTCTCACCTCACACACCAGGTAAATGTCACCTGTCTCACCTCACATACCAGGTAAATGTCACCTGTCTCACCTCATCCTTTATACCTTTGTTCCTTCAGGTACCTGGTGAATATCTTGAGCTCAGCGAGCACGGAGCAGCAGACAACATCGCTTATCTTGGCAGTTTCTCATACTCAGTTGGTCAGATGGGCCTAGTCAGGTGGGTAGTGGTCAGGTGGGTAGTGGTCAGGTGGGTAGTGGTCAGGTGGGTAGTGGTCAGGTGGGTAGTGGTCAGGTGGGTAGTGGTCAGGTGGGTAGTGGTCAGGTAGGTAGTGGTCAGGTGGGTAGTGGTCAGCTGTGTGGTAGTGGTCAGCTGTGTGGTAGTGGTCTGGTGGGTAGTGGTCAGGTGGGTAGTGGTCAGCTGTGTGGTAGTGGTCAGGTGGGTAGTGGTCAGGTGGGTAGTGGTCAGCTGTGTGGTAGTGGTCAGGTGGGTAGTGGTCAGGTGGGTAGTGGTCAGGTGGGTAGTGGTCAGCTGTGTGGGTGGTGGTCAGGTGGGTAGTGGTCAGGTGGGTAGTGGTCAGCTGTGTGGGCAGTGGTCAGGTGGGTAGTGGTCAGCTGTGTGGGCAGTGGTCAGGTGGGTAGTGGTCAGCTGTATGGGCAGTGGTCAGCTGTGTGGTAGTGGTCAGCTGTGTGGGCAGTGGTCAGGTGGGTAGTGGTCAGCTGTGTGGGCAGTGGTCAGTTGGGTAGTGGTCAGCTGTGTGGGCAGTGGTCAGCTGTGTGGGTGGTGGTCAGCTGTGTGGGCAGTGGTCAGGTGGGTAGTGGTCAGCTGTGTGGGCAGTGGTCAGTTGGGTAGTGGTCAGCTGTGTGGGCAGTGGTCAGCTGTGTGGGTGGTGGTCAGCTGTGTGGGCAGTGGTCAGCTGTGTGGGCAGTGGTCAGGTGGGTAGTGGTCAGCTGTGTGGGCAGTGGTCAGGTGGGTAGTGGTCAGCTGTGTGGGCAGTGGTCAGGTGGGTAGTGGTCAGCTGTGTGGGCAGTGGTCAGCTGTGTGGGCAGTGGTCAGCTGTGTGGGCAGTGGTCAGCTGTGTGGGCAGTGGTCAGGTGGGTAGTGGTCAGCTGTGTGGGCAGTGGTCAGGTGGGTAGTGGTCAGCTGTGTGGGCAGTGGTCAGCTGTGTGGGCAGTGGTCAGCTGTGTGGGCAGTGGTCAGCTGTGTGGGCAGTGGTCAGGTGGGTAGTGGTCAGCTGTGTGGGCAGTGGTCAGCTGTGTGGGTAGTGGTCAGCTGTGTGGGCAGTGGTCAGCTGTGTGGGCAGTGGTCAGCTGTGTGGGCAGTGGTCAGGTGGGTAGTGGTCAGGTGGGTAGTGGTCAGCTGTGTGGGTAGTGGTCAGGTGGGTAGTGGTCAGGTGGGTAGTGGTCAGCTGTGTGGGCAGTGGTCAGGTGGGTAGTGGTCAGCTGTGTGGGCAGTGGTCAGCTGTGTGGGTAGTGGTCAGCTGTGTGGGCAGTGGTCAGCTGTGTGGGCAGTGGTCAGCTGTGTGGGCAGTGGTCAGGTGGGTAGTGGTCAGGTGGGTAGTGGTCAGCTGTGTGGGTAGTGGTCAGCTGTGTGGGCAGTGGTCAGCTGTGTGAGCAGTGGTCAGCTGTGTGGGCAGTGGTCAGCTGTGTGGGCAGTGGTCAGCTGTGTGGGCAGTGGTCAGCTGTGTGGGCAGTGGTCAGCTGTGTGGGCAGTGGTCAGCTGTGTGGGCAGTGGTCAGCTGTGTGGGCAGTGGTCAGCTGTGTGGTAGTGGTCAGCTGTGTGGTAATGATCAGCTGTGTGGTAGTGGTCAGCTGTGTGGTAGTTGTTTCCTGTTTGATGTACCTTTAACCTCTACAGTGTCCTTGACCTTCTGAGTCTGATTTGCCCTGAAACTCTGCAACTTTCAAGTCACATGACAGCTGCACGCAAAATGGGTAAAAGGCTAGACAGTGCATAACTTTAGAACTATCAAATTTAAACAGTACATGTAGGTTTAAGTAGGTTCACCTGGGAATGACCCACTATAGACAGTCCATGTATCTTAGTGTCACCTGGGAATGACCTGCTATAGACAGTCCATGTATCTTAGTGTCACCTGGGAATGACCCACTATAGACAGTCCATGTATCTTAGTGTCACCTGGGAATGACCCACTATAGACAGTCCATGTATCTTAGTGTCACCTGGGAATGACCCACTATAGACAATCCATGTATCTTAGTGTTACCTGGGAATGACCCACTATAGATAGTCCATGTATCTTAGTTTCACCTGGGAATGACCCACTATAGACAGTCCATGTAGTGTCACCTGGGAATGACCTGCTATAGACAGTCCATGTAGTGTCATCTGGGAATGACCCACTTTAGACAGTCCATGTATCTTAGTGTCACCTGGGAATGACCCACTATAGACAGTCCATGTATCTTAGTGTCACCTGGGAATGACCCACTATAGACAGTCCATGTATCTTAGTGTTACCTGGGAATGACCCACTATAGATAGTCCATGTATCTTAGTTTCACCTGGGAATGACCCACTATAGACAGTCCATGTAGTGTCACCTGGGAATGACCCACTATAGACAGTCCATGTAGTGTCACCTGGGAATGACCCACTATAGACAGTCCATGTATCTTAGTGTCACCTGGGAATGACCCACTATAGACAGTCCATGTATCTTAGTGTCACCTGGGAATGACCCACTATAGACAGTCCATGTATCTTAGTGTCACCTGGGAATGACCCACTATAGACAGTCCATGTATCTTAGTGTCACCTGGGAATGACCCACTATAGACAGTCCATGTATCTTAGTGTCACCTGGGAATGACCCACTATAGACAGTCCATGTATCTTAGTGTCACCTGGGAATGACCCACTATAGACAGTCCATGTATCTTAGTGTCACCTGGGAATGACCCACAATAGACAGTCCATGTATCTTAGTGTCACCTGGGAATGACCCACTATAGACAGTCCATGTAGTGTCACCTGGGAATGACCCACTATAGACAGTCCATGTAGTGTCACCTGGGAATGACCCACTATAGACAGTCCATGTAGTGTCACCTGGGAATGACCCACTATAGACAGTCCATGTATCTTAGTGTCACCTGGGAATTACCCACTATAGACAGTCCATGTATCTTAGTGTCACCTGGGAATGACCCACTATAGACAGTCCATGTATCTTAGTGTCACCTGGGAATGACCCACTATAGACAGTCCATGTATCTTAGTTTCACCTGGGAATGACCCACTATAGACAGTCCATGTATCTTAGTGTCACCTGGGAATGACCCACTATAGACAGTCCATGTAGTGTCACCTGGGAATGACCCACTATAGACAGTCCATGTAGTGTCACCTGGGAATGACCCACTATAGACAGTCCATGTAGTGTCACCTGGGAATGACCCACTATAGACAGTCCATGTATCTTAGTGTCACCTGGGAATGACCCACTATAGACAGTCCATGTAGTGTCACCTGGGAATGACCCACTATAGACAGTCCATGTATCTTAGTGTTACCTGGGAATGACCCACTATAGACAGTCCATGTAGTGTCACCTGGGAATGACCCACTATAGATAGTCCATGTATCTTAGTTTCACCTGGGAATGACCCACTATAGACAGTCCATGTATCTTAGTGTCACCTGGGAATGACCCACTATAGATAGTCCATGTATCTTAGTGTCACCTGGGAATGACCCACTATAGACAGTCCATGTAGTGTCACCTGGGAATGACCCACTATAGATAGTCCATGTATCTTAGTTTCACCTGGGAATGACCCACTATAGACAGTCCATGTAGTGTCACCTGGGAATGACCTGCTATAGACAGTCCATGTAGTGTCACCTGGGAATGACCCACTATAGACAGTCCATGTAGTGTCACCTGGGAATGACCCACTATAGACAGTCCATGTATCTTAGTGTCACCTGGGAATGACCCACTATAGACAGTCCATGTAGTGTCACCTGGGAATGACCTGCTATAGACAGTCCATGTAGTGTCACCTGGGAATGACCCACTATAGACAGTCCATGTATCTTAGTGTCACCTGGGAATGACCCACTATAGACAGTCCATGTATCTTAGTGTCACCTGGGAATGACCCACTATAGACAGTCCATGTATCTTAGTGTTACCTGGGAATGACCCACTATAGATAGTCCATGTATCTTAGTTTCACCTGGGAATGACCCACTATAGACAGTCCATGTAGTGTCACCTGGGAATGACCCACTATAGACAGTCCATGTAGTGTCACCTGGGAATGACCCACTATAGACAGTCCATGTATCTTAGTGTCATCTGGGAATGACCCACTATAGACAGTCCATGTATCTTAGTGTCATCTGGGAATGACCCACTATAGACAGTCCATGTAGTGTCACCTGGGAATGACCCACTATAGACAGTCCATGTATCTTAGTGTCATCTGGGAATGACCCACTATAGACAGTCCATGTATCTTAGTGTCACCTGGGAATGACCCACTATAGACAGTCCATGTATCTTAGTGTCACCTGGGAATGACCCACTATAGACAGTCCATGTATCTTAGTGTCACCTGGGAATGACCCACTATAGACAGTCCATGTATCTTAGTGTCACCTGGGAATGACCCACTATAGACAGTCCATGTATCTTAGTGTCACCTGGGAATGACCCACTATAGACAGTCCATGTATCTTAGTGTCACCTGGGAATTACCCACTATAGACAGTCCATGTATCTTAGTGTCACCTGGGAATGACCCACTATAGACAGTCCATGTATCTTAGTGTCACCTGGGAATGACCCACTATAGACAGTCCATGTATCTTAGTGTCACCTGGGAATGACCCACTATAGACAGTCCATGTAGTGTCACCTGGGAATGACCCACTATAGACAGTCCATGTATCTTAGTGTCACCTGGGAATGACCCACTATAGACAGTCCATGTATCTTAGTGTCACCTGGGAATGACCCACTATAGACAGTCCATGTATCTTAGTGTCACCTGGGAATGACCCACTATAGACAGTCCATGTATCTTAGTGTCACCTGGGAATGACCCACTGTAGACAGTCCATGTATCTTAGTGTCACCTGGGAATGACCCACTATAGATAGTCCATGTATCTTAGTGTTACCTGGGAATGACCCACTATAGATAGTCCATGTATCTTAGTTTCACCTGGGAATGACCTAATATAGACAGTCCATGTAGTGTCACCAGGGAATGACCTGCTATAGACAGTCCATGTATCTTAGTGTCACCTGGGAATGACCCACTATAGATAGTCCATGTATCTTAGTGTCACCTGGGAATGACCCACTATAGACAGTCCATGTATCTTAGTGTCACCTGGGAATGACCCACTATAGATAGTCCATGTATCTTAGTGTTACCTGGGAATGACCCACTATAGATAATCCATGTATCTTAGTTTCACCTGGGAATGACCCACTATAGACAGTCCATGTAGTGTCACCTGGGAATGACCCACTATAGACAGTCCATGTATCTTAGTGTCACCTGGGAATGACCCACTATAGACAGTCCATGTATCTTAGTGTCACCTGGGAATGACCCACTATAGACAGTCCATGTAGTGTCACCTGGGAATGACCTGCTATAGACAGTCCATGTATCTTAGTGTCACCTGGGAATGACCCACAATAGACAGTCCATGTATCTTAGTGTCACCTGGGAATGACCCACTATAGACAGTCCATGTAGTGTCACCTGGGAATGACCCACTATAGACAGTCCATGTAGTGTCACCTGGGAATGACCCACTATAGACAGTCCATGTATCTTAGTGTCACCTGGGAATGACCCACTATAGACAGTCCATGTATCTTAGTGTCACCTGGGAATGACCCACTATAGACAGTCCATGTATCTTAGTGTCACCTGGGAATGACCCACTATAGACAGTCCATGTAGTGTCACCTGGGAATGACCCACTATAGACAGTCCATGTATCTTAGTGTCACCTGGGAATGACCCACTATAGACAGTCCATGTATCTTAGTGTCACCTGGGAATGACCCACTATAGACAGTCCATGTAGTGTCACCTGGGAATGACCCACTATAGACAGTCCATGTATCTTAGTGTCACCTGGGAATGACCCACTATAGACAGTCCATGTATCTTAGTGTCACCTGGGAATGACCCACTATAGACAGTCCATGTAGTGTCACCTGGGAATGACCCACTATAGACAGTCCATGTATCTTAGTTTCACCTGGGAATGACCCACTATAGACAGTCCATGTAGTGTCACCTGGGAATGACCCACTATAGACAGTCCATGTAGTGTCACCTGGGAATGACCCACTATAGACAGTCCATGTATCTTAGTGTCACCTGGGAATGACCCACTATAGACAGTCCATGTATCTTAGTGTCACCTGGGAATGACCCACTATAGACAGTCCATGTATCTTAGTGTCACCTGGGAATGACCCACAATAGACAGTCCATGTATCTTAGTGTCACCTGGGAATGACCCACTATAGACAGTCCATGTAGTGTCACCTGGGAATGACCCACTATAGACAGTCCATGTAGTGTCACCTGGGAATGACCCACTATAGACAGTCCATGTATCTTAGTGTCACCTGGGAATGACCCACTATAGACAGTCCATGTATCTTAGTGTCACCTGGGAATGACCCACTATAGACAGTCCATGTATCTTAGTGTCACCTGGGAATGACCCACTATAGACAGTCCATGTAGTGTCACCTGGGAATGACCCACTATAGACAGTCCATGTATCTTAGTGTCACCTGGGAATGACCAACTATAGACAGTCCATGTATCTTAGTGTTACCTGGGAATGACCCACTATAGATAGTCCATGTATCTTAGTGTCACCTGGGAATGACCCACTATAGACAGTCCATGTATCTTAGTTTCACCTGGGAATGACCCACTATAGACAGTCCATGTAGTGTCACCTGGGAATGACCCACTATAGACAGTCCATGTAGTGTCACCTGGGAATGACCCACTATAGACAGTCCATGTATCTTAGTGTCACCTGGGAATGACCCACTATAGACAGTCCATGTATCTTAGTGTCACCTGGGAATGACCCACTATAGACAGTCCATGTAGTGTCACCTGGGAATGACCCACTATAGACAGTCCATGTATCTTAGTGTCACCTGGGAATGACCCACTATAGACAGTCCATGTAGTGTCACCTGGGAATGACCCACTATAGACAGTCCATGTAGTGTCACCTGGGAATGACCCACTATAGACAGTCCATTTAGTGTCACCTGGGAATGACCTGCTATAGACAGTCCATGTAGTGTCACCTGGGAATGACCCACTATAGACAGTCCATGTATCTTAGTGTCACCTGGGAATGACCCACTATAGACAGTCCATGTATCTTAGTGTCACCTGGGAATGACCCACTATAGACAGTCCATGTATCTTAGTGTCACCTGGGAATGACCCACTATAGACAGTCCATGTAGTGTCACCTGGGAATGACCCACTATAGACAGTCCATGTATCTTAGTGTCACCTGGGAATGACCCACTATAGACAGTCCATGTATCTTAGTGTCACCTGGGAATGACCCACTATAGACAGTCCATGTATCTTAGTGTCACCTGGGAATGACCCACTATAGACAGTCCATGTTTCTTAGTGTCACCTGGGAATGACCCACTATAGACAGTCCATGTATCTTAGTGTCACCTGGGAATGACCCACTATAGACAGTCCATGTATCTTAGTGTCACCTGGGAATGACCCACTATAGACAGTCCATGTATCTTAGTGTCACCTGGGAATGACCCACTATAGACAGTCCATGTAGTGTCACCTGGGAATGACCCACTATAGACAGTCCATGTATCTTAGTGTCACCTGGGAATGACCCACTATAGACAGTCCATGTATCTTAGTGTCACCTGGGAATTACCCACTATAGACAGTCCATGTAGTGTCATCTGGGAATGACCCACTATAGACAGTCCATGTATCTTAGTGTCACCTGGGAATGACCTGCTATAGACAGTCCATGTATCTTAGTGTCACCTGGGAATGACCCACAATAGACAGTCCATGTATCTTAGTGTCACCTGGGAATGACCCACTATAGACAGTCCATGTAGTGTCACCTGGGAATGACCCACTATAGACAGTCCATGTATCTTAGTGTCACCTGGGAATGACCCACTATAGACAGTCCATGTATCTTAGTTTCACCTGGGAATGACCTGCTATAGACAGTCCATGTAGTGTCACCTGGGAATGACCTGCTATAGACAGTCCATGTATCTTAGTGTCACCTGGGAATGACCCACTATAGATAGTCCATGTATCTTAGTGTCACCTGGGAATGACCCACTATAGACAGTCCATGTATCTTAGTGTCACCTGGGAATGACCCACTATAGACAGTCCATGTATCTTAGTTTCACCTGGGAATGACCCACTATAGACAGTCCATGTATCTTAGTGTCACCTAGGAATGACCCACTATAGACAGTCCATGTAGTGTCACCTGGGAATGACCCACTATAGACAGTCCATGTAGTGTCACCTGGGAATGACCAACTATAGACAGTCCATGTATCTTAGTGTCACCTGGGAATGACCCACTATAGACAGTCCATGTATCTTAGTTTCACCTGGGAATGACCCACTATAGACAGTCCATGTATCTTAGTGTCACCTGGGAATGACCCACTATAGACAGTCCATGTAGTGTCACCTGGGAATGACCCACTATAGACAGTCCATGTAGTGTCACCTGGGAATGACCAACTATAGACAGTCCATGTAGTGTCACCTGGGAATGACCCACTATAGACAGTCCATGTATCTTAGTGTCACCTGGGAATGACCCAATGTATCTTAGTGTCACCTGGGAATGACCCACTATAGACAGTCCATGTAGTGTCACCTGGGAATGACCAACTATAGACAGTCCATGTAGTGTCACCTGGGAATGACCCACTATAGACAGTCCATGTATCTTAGTGTCACCTGGGAATGACCCACTATAGACAGTCCATGTATCTTAGTGTCACCTGGGAATGACCCACTATAGACAGTCCATGTATCTTAGTGTCACCTGGGAATGACCCACTATAGACAGTCCATGTAGTGTCACCTGGGAATGACCCACTATAGACAGTCCATGTAGTGTTACCTGGGAATGACCCACTATAGACAGTCCATGTATCTTAGTGTCACCTGGGAATGACCCAATGTATCTTAGTGTCACCTGGGAATGACCCACTATAGACAATCCATGTATCTTAGTGTCACCTGGGAATGACCCGCTTAGGAAGCTGTGTCCAGTCAATGACCCATGGCTCATGTTCGTCATCAATATGGGATGTGTGTCCTCACCTCCACTACAGGTAAGAACTGGTTTGGGAGGGGGAAGTGGCTGCTCTAAATATGCTAGAAGTGATGTATGTATGTAGAGCATATGGATGATAACTTTTATGTATGTGTTTATGTATGTTATAGAGCAGATTGCTGATAACTTGTATGTATGTGTTTATGTATGTATGTAGAGCAGATGGATGATAACTTTTATGTATGTGTTTATGTATGTATGTAGAGCAGATTGCTGATAACTTTTATGTATGTGTTTATGTATGTATGTAGAGCAGATGGATGATAACTTTTATGTATGTGTTTATGTATGTATGTAGAGCAGATTGCTGATAACTTTTATGTATGTGTTTATGTATGTATGTAGAGCAGATGGATGATAACTTCTATATTGTACATTTGTTTAGGTTCTTGTGCCCGATGAAGTGAATTTAGAAAAAAGTTTGTCAACTTTTTTGTCACAAACTGTTCTGATCTCTGTGGAACAAGAAAGGGTAAGTGGTAGTCAGTTTGTGGTGTTGTTGGTCAGTTGTTGTTTGTGTTGGTCAGTTGGTGGTGGTGTTGGTCAGGTGGTGGTGTTGTTGGTCAGTTGTTGGTGGTGTTGGTCAGTTGGTGGCGGTGTTGGTCAGTTGTTGGTGTTGTTGGTCAGTTGGTGGTGGTGTTGGTCAGTTGTTGGTGGTGTTGGTCAGTTGTTGGTGGTGTTGGTCAGTTGATGGTGGTGTTGGTCAGTTGATGGTGGTGTTGGTCAGTTGATGGTGGTGTTGGTCAGTTGTTGTTGTGTTGATGTTTGTTACTGTGTTGATGTTTGTTGCTGTGTTGATGTATGTTGCTGTGTTGGTGTTTGTGGCTGTGTTGATGTTTGTTACTGTGTTGATGTTTGTGGCTGTGTTGGTGTTTGTGGCTGTGTTGATGTTTGTTACTGTGTTGATGTTTGTTGCTGTGCTGATGTTTGTTTGCTGTGTTGATGTTTGTTACTGTGTTGATGTTTGTTACTGTGTTGATGTTTGTTGCTGTGTTGATGTTTGTTGCTGTGTTGATGTTTGTTACTGTGTTGATGTTTGTTACTGTGTTGATGTTTGTTGCTGTGTTGATGTTTGTTACTGTGTTGATGTTTGTTACTGTGTTGATGTTTGTTGCTGTGTTGATGTTTGTTTTTGTTACTGTATTGATGTTTGTTACTGTGTTGATGTTGGTTACTGTGTTGATGTTTGTGGCTGTGTTGATGTTTGTTACTGTGTTGATGTTTGTTGCTGTGTTGATGTTTGTTGCTGTGTTGATGTTTGTTACTGTGTTGATGTTTGTTGCTGTGTTGATGTTTGTGGCTGTGTTGATGTTTGTGGCTGTGTTGATGTTTGTTACTGTGTTGGTGTTTGTGGCTGTGTTGATGTTTGTTACTGTGTTGATGTTTGTTGCTGTGTTGGTGTTTGTGGCTGTGTTGATGTTTGTTTTTGTTGCTGTGTTGATGTTTGTTGATGTTTGTTACTGTGTTGATGTTTGTTGCTGTGTTGATGTTTGTTGCTGTGTTGGTGTTTGTGGCTGTGTTGATGTTTGTTACTGTGTTGATGTTTGTTTTTGTTACTGTATTGATGTTTGTTACTGTATTGATGTTTGTTACTGTGTTGATGTTTGTTACTGTGTTGATGTTTGTTGCTGTGTTGATGTTTGTTGCTGTGTTGATGTTTGTTTTTGTTGCTGTATTGATGTTTGTTACTGTGTTGATGTTTGTTACTGTGTTGTTTGTGGCTGTGTTGATTTTTGTGGCTGTGTTGATGTTTGTTGCTGTGTTGATGTTTGTTACTGTGTTGATGTTTGTTGCTGTGTTGGTGTTTGTTTTTGTTGCTGTGTTGATGTTTGTTTTTGTTACTGTATTGATGTTTGTTGCTGTGTTGATGTTTGTGGCTGTGTTGATGTTTGTTACTGTGTTAATGTTTGTTACTGTGTTGATGTTTGTTGCTGTGTTGGTGTTTGTGGCTGTGTTGATGTTTGTTACTGTGTTGATGTTTGTGGCTGTGTTGATGTATGTTTCTGTGTTGATGTTTGTTGCTGTGTTGGTGTTTGTGGCTGTGTTGATGTTTGTTACTATGTTGATGTTTGTGGCTGTGTTGATGTTTGTTGCTGTGTTGGTGTTTGTGGCTGTGTTGATGTTTGTTTTTGTTGCTGTGTTGATGTTTGTTACTATGTTGATGTTTGTGGCTGTGTTGATGTTTGTTGCTGTGTTGGTGTTTGTGGCTGTGTTGATGTTTGTTTTTGTTGCTGTGTTGATGTTTGTTTTTGTTACTGTATTGATGTTTGTTACTGTGTTGATGTTTGTGGCTGTGTTGATGTTTGTTGCTGTGTTGGTGTTTGTGGCTGTGTTGATGTTTGTTACTGTGTTGATGTTTGTGGCTGTGTTGATGTTTGTTGCTGTGTTGGTGTTTGTGGCTGTGTTGATGTTTGTTACTGTGTTGATGTTTGTTGCTGTGTTGATGTTTGTTACTGTGTTGATGTTTGTTGCTGTGTTGATGTTTGTTGCTGTGTTGATGTTTGTTTTTGTTGCTGTATTGATGTTTGTTGCTGTGTTGATGTTTGTTTTTGTTGCTGTGTTGATGTTTGTTGCTGTGTTGATGTTTGTTGCATTGTTAATGTTAGATGTGTTGTAAGATCCAGCCTTGTTGCTGTGTTAATGTTAGATGTGCTGTAAGAGCCAGCCTTGTTGCCAGGTTGTGCTGCCCCAGCTGCTCCAGTGGAACCAAAGTTTGTTGGTGCCACAAGACGCCAGACCTGGGCCCACCAGCCTCCTACAGTGGACTTTGCCCTTTCTTCCAGCTGGGGCACAGAAACAGCTGGAGCAGCTGCTGAAGCTGGACAATTCAGCCACCACAGGTAGGGCAAGGGAGAAATGGGGGGTGGGTTCAGCCACCACTGGTAGGGCAAGGGAGAGATGGGGGGTGGGCTCATGCCATGTACACTTGGGGTGTCCTATCTGTTGATGTACACTTGGGGTGTCCTATCTGTTGATGTAGACTTGGGGTGTCCTACCTGTTGATGTAGACTTGGGGTGTCCTATCTGTTGATGTAGACTTGGGGTGTCCTATCTGTTGATGTAGACTTGGGGTGTCCTATCTGTTGATGTAGACTTGGGGTGTCCTACCTGTTGATGTAGACTTGGGGTGTCCTACCTGTTGATGTAGACTTGGGGTGTCCTATCTGTTGATGTAGACTTGGGGTGTCCTATCTGTTGATGTAGACTTGGGGTGTCCTATCTGTTGATGTAGACTTGCGGTGTCCTATCTGTTGATGTAGACTTGGGGTGTCCTATCTGTTGATGTAGACTTGGGGTGTCCTATCTGTTGATGTAGACTTGGGGTGTCCTACCTGTTGATGTAGACTTGGGGTGTCCTACCTGTTGATGTAGACTTGGGGTGTCCTATCTGTTGATGTAGACTTGGGGTGTCCTATCTGTTGATGTAGACTTGGGGTGTCCTATCTGTTGATGTAGACTTGGGGTGTCCTATCTGTTGATGTAGACTTGGGGTGTCCTATCTGTTGATGTAGACTTGGGGTGTCCTATCTGTTGATGTAGACTTGGGGTGTCCTATCTGTTGATGTACACTTGGGGTGTCCTATCTGTTGATGTAGACTTGGGGTGTCCTATCTGTTGATGTAGACTTGGGGTGTCCTACCTGTTGATGTAGACTTGGGGTGTCCTATCTGTTGATGTAGACTTGGGGTGTCCTATCTGTTGATGTAGACTTGGGGTGTCCTATCTGTTGATGTAGACTTGGGGTGTCCTATCTGTTGATGTAGACTTGGGGTGTCCTATCTGTTGATGTAGACTTGGGGTGTCCTATCTGTTGATGTACACTTGGGGTGTCCTATCTGTTGATGTAGACTTGGGGTGTCCTATCTGTTGATGTAGACTTGGGGTGTCCTACCTGTTGATGTAGACTTGGGGTGTCCTATCTGTTGATGTAGACTTGGGGTGTCCTATCTGTTGATGTAGACTTGGGGTGTCCTACCTGTTGATGTAGACTTGGGGTGTCCTATCTGTTGATGTAGACTTGGGGTGTCCTATCTGTTGATGTAGACTCGGGGTGTCCTATCTGTTGATGTAGACTTGGGGTGTCCTACCTGTTGATGTAGACTTGGGGTGTCCTATCTGTTGATGTAGACTTGGGGTGTCCTACCTGTTGATGTAGACTTGGGGTGTCCTACCTGTTGATGTACACTTGGGGTGTCCTATCTGTTGATGTAGACTTGGGGTGTCCTATCTGTTGATGTACACTTGGGGTGTCCTATCTGTTGATGTAGACTTGGGGTGTCCTATCTGTTGATGTAGACTTGGGGTGTCCTACCTGTTGATGTACACTTGGGGTGTCCTACCTGTTGATGTAGACTTGGGGTGTCCTATCTGTTGATGTAGATTTGGGGTGTCCTATCTGTTGATGTAGACTTGGGGTGTCCTACCTGTTGATGTAGACTTGGGGTGTCCTACCTGTTGATGTAGACTTTGGGTGTCCTACCTGTTGATGTACACTTGGGGTGTCCTATCTGTTGATGTAGACTTGGGGTGTCCTATCTGTTGATGTAGACTTGGGGTGTCCTATCTGTTGATGTAGACTTGGGGTGTCCTACCTGTTGATGTAGACTTGGGGTGTCCTATCTGTTGATGTAGACTTGGGGTGTCCTATCTGTTGATGTAGACTTGGGGTGTCCTACCTGTTGATGTACACTTGGGGTGTCCTATCTGTTGATGTAGACTTGGGGTGTCCTATCTGTTGATGTAGACTTGGGGTGTCCTACCTGTTGATGTAGACTTGGGGTGTCCTACCTGTTGATGTAGACTTGGGGTGTCCTATCTGTTGATGTAGACTTGGGGTGTCCTACCTGTTGATGTAGACTTGGGGTGTCCTACCTGTTGATGTAGACTTGGGGTGTCCTATCTGTTGATGTAGACTTGGGGTGTCCTACCTGTTGATGTAGACTTGGGGTGTCCTACCTGTTGATGTAGACTTGGGGTGTCCTACCTGTTGATGTAGACTTGGGGTGTCCTATCTGTTGATGTAGACTTGGGGTGTCCTACCTGTTGATGTAGACTTGGGGTGTCCTACCTGTTGATGTAGACTTGGGGTGTCCTACCTGTTGATGTAGACTTGGGGTGTCCTACCTGTTGATGTAGACTTGGGGTGTCCTACCTGTTGATGTAGACTTGGGGTGTCCTATCTGTTGATGTAGACTTGGGGTGTCCTATCTGTTGATGTAGACTTGGGGTGTCCTATCTGTTGATGTAGACTTGGGGTGTCCTACCTGTTGATGTACACTTGGGGTGTCCTATCTGTTGATGTAGACTTGGGGTGTCCTACCTGTTGATGTAGACTTGGGGTGTCCTATCTGTTGATGTAGACTTGGGGTGTCCTACCTGTTGATGTAGACTTGGGGTGTCCTATCTGTTGATGTAGACTTGGGGTGTCCTACCTGTTGATGTAGACTTGGGGTGTCCTATCTGTTGATGTAGACTTGGGGTGTCCTATCTGTTGATGTAGACTTGGGGTGTCCTACCTGTTGATGTAGACTTGGGGTGTCCTACCTGTTGATGTAGACTTGGGGTGTCCTATCTGTTGATGTAGACTTGGGGTGTCCTATCTGTTGATGTAGACTTGGGGTGTCCTATCTGTTGATGTAGACTTGGGGTGTCCTATCTGTTGATGTAGACTTGGGGTGTCCTACCTGTTGATGTAGACTTGGGGTGTCCTACCTGTTGATGTAGACTTGGGGTGTCCTATCTGTTGATGTAGACTTGGGGTGTCCTATCTGTTGATGTAGACTTGGGGTGTCCTATCTGTTGATGTAGACTTGGGGTGTCCTACCTGTTGATGTAGACTTGGGGTGTCCTACCTGTTGATGTAGACTTGGGGTGTCCTACCTGTTGATGTAGACTTGGGGTGTCCTATCTGTTGATGTAGACTTGGGGTGTCCTACCTGTTGATGTAGACTTGGGGTGTCCTATCTGTTGATGTAGACTTGGGGTGTCCTATCTGTTGATGTAGACTTGGGGTGTCCTATCTGTTGATGTAGACTTGGGGTGTCCTATCTGTTGATGTAGACTTGGGGTGTCCTATCTGTTGATGTAGACTTGGGGTGTCCTACCTGTTGATGTAGACTTGGGGTGTCCTATCTGTTGATGTAGACTTGGGGTGTCCTATCTGTTGATGTAGACTTGGGGTGTCCTACCTGTTGATGTAGACTTGGGGTGTCCTATCTGTTGATGTAGACTTGGGGTGTCCTACCTGTTGATGTAGACTTGGGGTGTCCTATCTGTTGATGTAGACTTGGGGTGTCCTACCTGTTGATGTAGACTTGGGGTGTCCTACCTGTTGATGTAGACTTGGGGTGTCCTACCTGTTGATGTAGACTTGGGGTGTCCTATCTGTTGATGTAGACTTGGGGTGTCCTACCTGTTGATGTAGACTTGGGGTGTCCTATCTGTTGATGTAGACTTGGGGTGTCCTACCTGTTGATGTAGACTTGGGGTGTCCTACCTGTTGATGTACACTTGGGGTGTCCTATCTGTTGATGTAGACTTGGGGTGTCCTATCTGTTGATGTAGACTTGGGGTGTCCTACCTGTTGATGTAGACTTGGGGTGTCCTATCTGTTGATGTAGACTTGGGGTGTCCTATCTGTTGATGTAGACTTGGGGTGTCCTATCTGTTGATGTAGACTTGGGGTGTCCTATCTGTTGATGTAGACTTGGGGTGTCCTATCTGTTGATGTAGACTTGGGGTGTCCTATCTGTTGATGTAGACTTGGGGTGTCCTATCTGTTGATGTAGACTTGGGGTGTCCTATCTGTTGATGTAGACTTGGGGTGTCCTATCTGTTGATGTACACTTGGGGTGTCCTACCTGTTGATGTAGACTTGGGGTGTCCTACCTGTTGATGTAGACTTGGGGTGTCCTATCTGTTGATGTAGACTTGGGGTGTCCTATCTGTTGATGTAGACTTGGGGTGTTCTACCTGTTGATGTAGACTTGGGGTGTCCTATCTGTTGATGTAGACTTGGGGTGTCCTATCTGTTGATGTAGACTTGGGGTGTCCTACCTGTTGATGTAGACTTGGGGTGTCCTATCTGTTGATGTAGACTTGGGGTGTCCTATCTGTTGATGTAGACTTGGGGTGTCCTATCTGTTGATGTAGACTTGGGGTGTCCTATCTGTTGATGTAGACTTGGGGTGTCCTATCTGTTGATGTAGACTTGGGGTGTCCTATCTGTTGATGTAGACTTGGGGTGTCCTATCTGTTGATGTAGACTTGGGGTGTCCTATCTGTTGATGTAGACTTGGGGTGTCCTATCTGTTGATGTACACTTGGGGTGTCCTATCTGTTGATGTAGACTTGGGGTGTCCTACCTGTTGATGTAGACTTGGGGTGTCCTACCTGTTGATGTAGACTTGGGGTGTCCTACCTGTTGATGTAGACTTGGGGTGTCCTATCTGTTGATGTAGACTTGGGGTGTCCTATCTGTTGATGTAGACTTGGGGTGTCCTATCTGTTGATGTAGACTTGGGGTGTCCTATCTGTTGATGTAGACTTGGGGTGTCCTATCTGTTGATGTAGACTTGGGGTGTCCTATCTGTTGATGTAGACTTGGGGTGTCCTATCTGTTGATGTAGACTTGGGGTGTCCTATCTGTTGATGTAGACTTGGGGTGTCCTATCTGTTGATGTAGACTTGGGGTGTCCTATCTGTTGATGTAGACTTGGGGTGTCCTATCTGTTGATGTAGACTTGGGGTGTCCTATCTGTTGATGTAGACTTGGGGTGTCCTATCTGTTGATGTAGACTTGGGGTGTCCTATCTGTTGATGTAGACTTGGGGTGTCCTAT